CCATCCCTCCCCATCACGAACTAAATCGTAGCGGCAGTACCACCTAGTACGCAGCACGGCCGGCTTAGATTGTCCACAGGCCGTCTGGTCGGCGACCTGGTGCTCGCCGGCGTGTTACTTGACTGCTAATTAGGCTTCCAACCTCATCTGGGGGCATGCTAGTCGGTTCATGTAATTTCGCGGACAAGGCTTGCTGGACGGGCTCCCCCAATTAGCAGCCGTCTCCACCGGGGGGAGGGGATGCAAGCATTTTCATGGTTGAGGGAGGAAGGCTAGACGGAAATACGAAGTCGCAGTGCTAAAATCATACATCATCAGACTGGAAAAGAAGCAAAGGGTAAAAAGGAAAAAGAAAAGAAAAAGTGCCACAGCTGGGGCTGACTCGAGCGACATGTCCCGATATGTTGTTTTCTGGCTAGCTGGATATCAGCAATTAGGATCAAACGATGCCACCATCGTATCGTATGCGGCTGGCGGAGTGGCATCAGCCGGCACCCGCCTTATCTGCCGGTATTGGCGCCGACGATCGTCGCCGCCAAATATATCGGGTATCTGGTATTAATCTCAACGAAAGTACATACTGGTACTAGCAAGGCAGTAGTAAATCAACAAACGGTTCTATCTAACATGGTTCGCAAGGTCCTATCCCGCGTCTATTACGAGTACTGATATTCATGCTCTAGAGAGTCATGTACCTTTTCCCTCCCGCCAAGCATCGACTCGTAGGGCCCCCCTTCGCTTGATGGATGGGAGCATTGCTGGGCAAGAATGTAATCATATCGGCCTCTCCAGAGGCAATGGTTTGATTACTTGCACTGTACGCAGATCAGCCTCATCTCTTCCCTTCTCTGCCTTCTCCTGCTTGTTTACTCACCACCACTCATGTTACGTATGTACCTTGGAAACCGAATCAGCATCGTTTAGGCAACCCGAGGAAGGCAATTCTGTCCTCCGTCCATGGCATTTTCGCATTCTCCGAGCCGGAGAAAAGACACTGTGCCCTCAGCTGTGGAGCATCGACACCCCTTGGAGGAGAAAGCGAGAAAAGGGATCCCTAGTCCAAGTGGCGCGTTTCATGTGTCCCAATCAGGCCTACCGCCTCCGCACCCAAATCCTCGGTTCATGGGAGTGAGTTCGTAAAAAAATGCTGGTCCGGTACTCGCACGCTCCGCTTGTAGGCGTCTCAGACAGGGCCAACTCTGGTCTCACTTTGGGAAAAAACACGAGAGCGACACTAGCGGCGCATTCGAGGGCAGCTTTTGGGAATGTGAAGAAAAGAGACGAAGAAGGAGAAAAGAAAAAAAAGAAAAAAGGAGCAAAAAAGAGAGACGGAGTGAAACGCAGCGATGTCCGTGATGCTGGCTGTGCGAGCCGCAGACGGAGTTCGCAGCCTGTGATTCGCGTCCTCGTACCGGCAGACCCCAAGGGAGCTGCCACGCTTGGCCTCTCATCTCCACCCAGCTGTTGGGGGCCACTGAATGGCACTTTTCTCTCTCTCTCTCTCTCTCTTTTGCCCATGGAAACGCCAAAGCAGAGCGGCCAGTGGAGACCTGCTGTCGCTGTCAAATGTGATTTCATCTTGTTGCTGCTGCCGTGTTGCTGTTGACCTGGCACTCCCCATATTACACCCACAGCCTTAATCAAATATGGCTTCATGGAAGCGGAAAAGCCGCTGATGTTTAATATCAGCCTTCTAAAAAAAGAAAGGGAAGAGGAAACAACAAGAATTAGTATCCACCACCAAAAGGGCCTTTTTTCTTTCTTTCATCACGCCTGTGTTTCTTTTTTACACGGAATCAGTCATGCGAGCACGCCTGTATTACGGGAGCACCGTGTGGTTTCCGGGGCGTTTAGATGTAGGATTACGGGTAGTACAAGCTGCACCAGCTTTAAAATGAGATTCCTTGGAACAAGGATTTGATCCCAAAAGGCCCTTGGATAGGGTGTGGAAGGAGGTGAAGCAAGCGGTCGTTGAAAGGACGTAACCCGCGGAGGGCGATATAGCACATGTGCCTCGGGAGTCACAGACTGCATAGCAACCTGAACTCGATCAGTACCAGATGCAGATGACATTCATTGAGGAGCGGCAGAACTTTCACCCTCGTCTCACCTGGCTTATTCTTCAATTTCTCTTTGCTTTTTGCTTGTTACCTACGCTTCTTCCGCTTAGTACATTGACTACATGTACACCAGTCAGTCAGTCACTGCTGGCTAATTGCCAATCAGCCCGTGTAAAGCATCCTGGATACTACATACATAGTATTGACTAAAACCCTCCATTACTCGTACAAGCAGGTCGACTTGCACAGTATCTAATCTACACCCACCTTAGAATGTGTAATACTTTGTGAAACCGTCTGCTGGCCACTCGTACAGAACACAGAACCCAATCTTGAGCCTCAAAGAGATTGCCCATTTGCCCCAACCAGCCAGCCAGCCAGCCAGAGAGTCAGCCACAACCAGACTGGCGGACCGGCCAGCGCCACTGGGGACGACAGACGGGGGTTTTTGCTAGCGAGTTTTGGGAGGGAACAAGAACAAGCAACAGGCTAGATGTAGTTTCCATCAACCAGTGGAGCTGCCGCAGTGGTGGGCCTTGCATCCTTTTTGATGGCCGGCTAGCGGGAACATTTTCGATATCCCTGAAGCGGCCATGTTAACACCGATCGCGGCAGCCCGCTGGCCGGTAAGGAGATGGCCGGCAGACATGGGCATCAGCACACTACAGTGTATGCCTTCTCCTTTTCCCTCTGCTGTCCAGATATACCAGTCAGAGCCTGTATCTGGTTTCGTCCTTGTGGCATTACCAGGTCTTTGCAAGCACTCCCCCCCTCCTCATGCCCGTCTTCATGCGGCTGCTGTACGAGCACATGGAAAAGCCAACAATAAGCACCATAGAATTTAGCTCTTTCTCATATTCTCCGTACGACGTTTCAGCCGGCAGCATTGTCTCTGCCTTCTTCCTTGGTCGTAGTTCGAAATCTTGATGTATCGTATCGTGTCATGGCAGCTGGAGCTTTGATGGGAGGGGGGCCTCGTAGGCGATTTTATTCCCGGCGGAAGCCTGCAGCCCGGGGGACCAGCGCCACTCCCAGCGCACTGTCCGCCAACCCTAAACACAAGCAGCCTAGGGGGGTCCCTAGTGACGTCTTTTGGAGCTGAAATACAGTGCGCTGATGTGACGCACTGTGTTGCCTCTCCTAGGACTTTGGTTGCGCGCTGAAGAGGGCGGTAAGCGGCGACGGAGATAGTATTGGATTGCTTCCGTGCGAATGAGGATTCAGACGCATGTTCCGCTTAGCAAGGATATTCCGCAACAGATGGATACTAACATGCTGGCCTTGGTATGGACGCGCTTTGGTGCTATGCTGCTAGTAATGTGTAATTGTGATTTGAGAAAAAAGAGGCAGCCAAGGCACCCAAGGATAAATGGGCCGGGGGGGATTAATTCCATTTGCGGGTTGGGCGACAAATACTTGTACATGCTCAGAGGATTAAAAAAAGAAAAAATGTGAGAAGTGAATGAAGTCGTACAAGACTTACCTAGCTCGCCCCCTACATACATGTACCTAAACGAGCAGGATATAGGCAAATAGGATAGTGCAGCGAAAATAAAGAGAGGTGGAGGCATGGTTCACGGGTACCGTTGCACGGGTAGCGTAGCTGTGATGCATGGAGGCTGAGAATCTGCAATCAGCCTGCCAAGATACAGCTGTTGGAGCCCCATCCTTTTGAGCACAATGACGAAAGTCGAGGGCCAAAAACTTGCTTGAGATGCTGCAACCCGCCCATGAGATGACGATGACGGGCATTTCCTCCGACAGCCCGGTTTGGGGAGGAGGAGGGGGCCCAGCTTGGGTCGACTTGGCCGTTTGTCTCATCAACACATGGACTGCATGGGGGAAGTCCCAAAGCCGTCCAGCCTTGGCGCGGGGAAAGGGCAAGGCAGAGCCGTCCGTCAGCTAGCACTGCACATTACATAGTACACACACAGCGAAAAAAGCCAACGCAGGTGTATAGGTGTGGTGATGGTGGAGGTTATCGTGATGAGATCCACCGAAACGGTCATAGGCGCAAAAGTTGGCTGCTGGTATTAGCCGCCCCCCTCTCCCCGCAGGCGAGCGTATTTGCTCACCTCAGAACGTTGCGGGTGCAGCGAAAAAAAAACATGGCCGTTTTGGCTTATCATACGTATGTGTGATTGTATCCTTGATCCATCTGCATCCGTTTTGAGAACAAGGCTGGATGCCATGACCCTCCCTTTGGGGGAGTATATCGTCAACTCCATCGAAGTGTTGATGTCTTGCCCTGATACTTGTCCGCCTTGTGACTGCATGTTATAGCGGTCTCTGCTTTGAATTCAAAATGAGAATTTCGTCATCAGTCATTCTGACGCTCCCTTGACATACAGCCATCATGTCTCATCTTGTCCTCTCCGCCTTGTTTTGTATGTACCCAGTTGTACGCCCTGCATCCCATCTCTTCTCTCTGATCACGGCAGTATATTGTGTACCAGCCCTTCTCAGTCCCATCCCCACCCACCCCGGACGGCGTGCTTTCTGCTCTGTGTCCGTCGTCCTGTTTTACCGTAGCCAGAAATCGCCAGAAGAGCTAGAGGAGGGCCCTTTACGTCAGGGCTGCAACTGCGTCGACGCCCGGGTCGGCCAAAGAGCTGGACCCCACCGGCCCGGACGGGATCCCTGTCGCTCCGTGTTCCGCACGGGGTCCGTACGGAGTACTCGGCTCGTACTCCGTATGAGGAATTTCTGGCCAACGCACTTGGATGAATTGGAACTGATTGAAACCACCCCCGTACCCGGCATGCACCCTATCCGATACGGCCAAGCTTCCCCCTCAGCTAGACAGATTGCTTTTTTGCTCCCTTGTCTTGTTCGACAGGAGCAAATGTCGGTGCTTTTTTCTTTTTTCTGTTGCCAAAAGATCATGAGATGTTCCTATTCACTCTCTGCCTGTAATTACCTAGGTACTAACTCCCTTATCTAGCTCAGGTACCTGCAATGACTCTTCTTCTTCTTCTTCTTCTTCTTCTTCTTCTTCTTCTTCTTCTTCTTCTCTCTCATAGACACCCTACCCAGATCATACAGTACTGTACAGTTTCAGTATCTTAGTACCCTTCCCACGTCCCCAGTGCAGAACACACACACAACTCTGCACATTTCGGCATTCTTGCTCGCTGCCCCCCTGCATAATCTCCTTCGCAGAGCCGTCCGCCTCTCTCCGCAGTGGCGGCAAAGGCCAACATCCACCTGTCGCAGGCCCCTGGTCAAACTGCCGTAGCCTTATCCAACAAGCATCAGATTTTCTCGCTGGCCCCACCGCACCTTGGCCACATCCCTGCTTTGCCCTGTCCCGGGGTTGGCACTCGTACCGTGCGGGACAGTGCGCGCCGCCACGGCTACGAGGTACACCAGGCCAGGTGCGCATGCCAGCAGGGGATGTACCCAGCCCTTGTACTCCGTGCCGTGCCAACTCCACACTGCCAGTACATACAGTACAGCACAGCACAGCACAGCTCTTATACAGAAGTTCATATTTGTTGGAGCAAGACGAGGCAAGTTCTAGTTCTAGTACCTTGATAGAACAGAACCCCATAGCACCTTCCATGGTAGCACCCTGTTGCAACTGCAAACGCAGGACCACCCAACTTGCAGCTTTCCTCGAAATCTGCCACAGACACCCACTCCGAACTTGAAAGTGCAAGTGCGAGTACTGCTAGTACCAGTTAGCACGTACAGTACTCGTACCTGTAGCCTGCTCCTGCCTTCCTCCACCCCACCCCACCCATGTTCCCACACCTCCCCTGTCGTGCCTTCCCAGTCCCACAGATTGCATCTCCACCCCCCTTTCAGATCCACGCACGCTGGCTCTGCTTGTCTCGCTGTCGACATCATGGCTCCTACTAGCTGGCCCGAGTACTCCATACCTGGCGACAGCACACAGCTAACCTGCGTCTGCTGGTACCTGTACTCGTGGATTGTACTGTACCGTACCTACTGGCAGCACACAGTGGAATACCTAGAATGAACGAATGTACTCGTACCTGTATCGTATCAACCTTCTGCTCCTTCGTCGCCTTCTGCATCTTACTCGTAGCACAAATCATCTCCTCCCCCCCTCTTGGTGCTGAATTGACTTCATTCCATTGTGCCAAGTACATCATCGTGCAATTTCTCAAAGATACAAAGTACCTCTCTGTCTTTGCGCCTGTCTCACACTTGCCACAAACCAGCTACAATCTCGGCATCAGCTATAGAGGTAGCATTCTCTCTTTCGCCTCCTCATCTTCTTCTGCTCCCCCTCTTCCATCACCAGTGAAATCTCAAACCAACTCTTCAGCCCATACCTGGATTGCTGGACTGCCATCAAAGACACAGCAAACGCCGCATTCGCAACAAACCCGCCTTTTGCCCACTTCAATTCTTCCCCTGCCCGCTCCTGCGCACTTTCTGGAGCCCTACCGGGAAGTAGGTCGCAGCACTCTTCAAACTTGTTTTTTTTTTCCCCTCTCCCTCTCCAAGCCGTCGTCATCCCTATCATTCCCAGCATCTTCTCTTGTCTGCTCTCCTCTTCGCCTTCTCCATACTCTCCACCGCGATTTGGCCATTGCGCTGCTCCATAACGGAGTTTTGGTGGTTCCCTGTGGGTTTCTCCCAAATGCTCGTCACTTAATTCAACTAGCCCGCAGCCCTCCCCGGCCGGTTCTTGTTCCTAGGGCCAGAGCATTACCCTACTTCATCGCCGCAACCCTGTCGCCTCGGGCTTTGCGAAAGGGACATTGGCCTGCCGATCACTTTGCACCACACAGCCAGAGTCGTCACACCAGACCAACCTGGGACCTCCTCTGGCATCCCGCTAAAACTGACGCACGTCAACTCACTGACCCAAGGACACACTTAAGACTTCGCTGATCCCACCTTGGTCTTCCCGACAAATCGCTCCCAACTCCAGACGGGATCTTCTTTGACGTTAGGACTGTGTTACCGACTTGGCAATCTTCTAGTCGGGATCCCGCATTTGATCAACAAACCTTCTTTTCCTCTCCCACGCACCACACACACGCACATCACCCGAAGAACGTCTCTGCTGTCTAGAGTCTTGTTCATCACTTGCACAAAAAGAAGAAGAAGAAGATAGAAGAAAAGGATTACTGGGCCTTGCAACAAAATCACACTACACTTCACCATCGATCGCCACTGCATTACACCATGACCATGACGCTGGATACGCCACAACAGCAGCGATTTGGGCCCGTGATGAACTTTGACTATCCGCCTCACGCCCAGTCGCCTGCCTTTTCAAACCCATGGTCGTCCTCGCCGTCGGCACCTCATACAGCTGCCGTGGCCGGCAACAGTCTTTACGTCGGCCCTCCACAGCCTTCTCTCACTCACAGTCTTATTACCAAGCCTCTGACAGCGCGGCCCCCTACCACCAGCGCACCTCCTTTACCGTCGTATGCTCCAATGCCCGTCGCTACGACCTCAGCCGGTATGTCTCCTCACCCTGTATGGTAATCGTTTTGTGCTTCACCGTTGCTCACCCAACCGCATCTGCAGATCTACTCAGCTTGAACCGCCTACAGACTTCTTCTGCTGCGTATGCAGACGCCACCTACGCCACGACAGCCTCTCCCGTCCACGGCCACTTTGCGCCCCCTTCAGCTGCTCCGTACGATACCATGGGCTATGCACCAGCTCCTGTGCGGCCTTCTGCCTTTAGCTCCATTGGCCACGAATCAGATGCATCGCGGAGATTTTCTCAACAGTGAGTCGGCCTCGCCATCTACACCATGAAACCAAGATGACTGACCTATGCATCCCAACAGCGTCCACGCTGATGACCGCAGAGGCTTTGCCGAAGCCCTTGATGCCAGCCACGGCATGCTTGCCATGAGCCAAGAGACACCAAGAAACATTTATGGCAACCGCAACGATCGATCTTCTGTAGATTCATATGGTTTCCCGTCAACCCACTCGACCAGCTCCTCCATATCGTCGTCTGGCAACTTCAGCTCCTACTATGGCGATTCTGTGTCCGACTACTCAACTGCAGGCTCGGACATTGAATCTGTCGGCTCGAGGACGCTCCCTCGACCTCAGGGAATGTTGTCAACATCGCTCCCCCCTGCGCCTCAGTCCATGATGGGCCAGTTCAGCTCCAAGGTCTCATCCAGCACCCAGAAGAAGCACAAGTGCAAGGTCTGCGAAAAGCGATTCACACGACCAAGCTCACTTCAGACACACATGTACAGCCACACAGGTGAAAAGCGTAAGTACTCGATACCAAATTTTATAGTTGTGAAGAACCCCAAACTCATTTTCATAATTAGCTTTCGCCTGCGAAGTCGAGGGTTGTGGGCGCCACTTCTCTGTTGTCTCCAACTTGCGACGCCACCGAAAAGTCCACAGAGGCGATGCTCGATCCGAGGCTGGCTCAGAAGACCACCATTCAGACTAAGCCGCCCTTGTTGATTTTCTTTCGGTTGTATCAATAGACATTTTTACGACTGCGGCCTTGTATGGCCACCCCTTCAGCATTTTTTTATTTTCTTTCAGCCACTCATCTCCGCACTTTGATCATCTGTAGCAGCATAGAAGATGCATGAGATGTTGTTGCGGGATGGTGGCGGCTGAAGGATTGACTATCATTACTAAGATTTAATTGGGACAATAATCAGACGACGACTTCATCTCATGACACTATTTTAGAGGATGTGGGACTACAAGAATCAGGGGGCCAGGATTTCTTGACGAGATGGCGCGGCCACATATGCACATGGATTTCTGCCGCCTGTTAGGGATACCAATGCAACGCATTGGAGAATCGGTATCACACCAGGAGACCACTTGATTGGCGTGTGATGCCTTTATTTTATTTATTTTTCATTTGTCTTTTCCCTTCAACTGTTTTATTTCCTTTGTCATTGCTGGAATGGCGGCTTCCTTGGACTACGAAACTCGACTGGAACGATGGGATACACGAGATCTTTCCAGTCTGGCGTTTAGGGCGTGGGATTTTTTCCATTATTCAAAGGGGAATTCTTCCTAGGATCGAGTTTGTGTTACGTTTAGCCTTCCTTACTTGGCTTTCATTATCGATTGCGGGGGGAAAGCAACTGGAGCTTGATACATCACGAAAACAGGCACAGTTGGGAGGGAAGGAAAGGATGGCAATCGCGCAGCTTCGCGTGGTGGTTTAGTATTGTATAAATAGGCCCTATCTCACGGTGATGATATACCCATTCGATAGCACTGTGGTTTTTGGTTGAATACACGAAATTCATTCTCAATTCTGTTGCAAGTGTTTTGGTTTGTTTCTTAGCACAATTGTGCATGGTGCCTGATGATCCCTCTGCCTACTGCTTCTACACGACTCATGGTGCATTGGCGGTCGACTCCATGGAGGCAAGGAGAACTCAGGAGAGTTGAACAACCAAATCTCCAAGGGCGACGATCACGGCGCTGCTGCCCCAAAGAGGTGGATGAAGTTGAGCGGAGGCGCCGAATCAAATGCTATCAAAGTTCTTGTCTTGTGATTGCGATTTTAACGAGGATCGACATAACTTGCGGGAGAGGCGTTTCTAGGGAATTGGCAAATTGCTTAGCTTCCACGCTTACATGTAAGCTCTCTGCACACCGTACTATGTAGGCTAAAGCTGATGTCTACGCTACCCAGTAGAAAAAAAAAGGGATATGCATACGCGAGGCAAAGATGGAGCAGGGATGATTTGGAATGATTGAAAAAAACGAAAATGGTTGATTTTTAATCGTGCTCTTTCTTCTGACTGTCTTTGCAGCTTATCTTATTGCAACTATACGGTGAAGACACAGGCGAGAAATTACTCGTTTGAATGCAACTGTATGAATCTAGACAAAGGATTCGATGATGGAACATGATTCGGATTGGTATCCGGATGAGGATGAGGTGTACGCGGGCCGATCATTTGCTTGAGTGGGAATGGAGGGCGCGTTTCAGAGTCGACACATCACTGCTTGATCAGGTATAGGAGGACCCATTAAGAAATGTTGTCAAGACCGGACAAGCTTTTGTGGGGGTAGTAATGCCAAGTTGAACTTTTAAACGGTGCAAGGGCTTGTTCTGGAGGCGAGAAATATGTGGGTGGATTTTTAGGACGGAAAGATTATGAGGGTGGGTAAGGAAAGGGATGTTTTGGAGGGTTTTGGAGGTTTTGGGCATGGGTTGAGGCGAAGCGACTCGGTGGGTTTTTTGGTTTTGGGGGCTGGCTAGCTGGCATCTTGATATTATGATGTAGTGGATGGACATGATTTTGAATGTTAGAAGAAGGTGGTGATATCAGTTTCCGTGCTACCTACCTGTACCGGGCAGGGTGCTTACATTTTGGGGGCTCCTATATTCTATTTTGATACGAAGACGTAGGTGGTGGGCACGGCATGATGAGAAGGTGTGGTGATATCGAGATATGGCCGCCGAACGGTGCCACGACGATTGGACGTGTATCGAGTTGATGAGGAGAAGGAACGGATTCGTAGGGAGATCGCCCAAGTCTCTTTGCAGAATGGATGGTTTTGGTTACCAAGTTGCATCTCCCGCCTTGCCAAAACTGGAGGGCCCGTCGTTACGCATTTGGCGGTGATGTGCGTCGAATCATATCAGAAACCTTGTTGCCGAGGCAAGTATACAGCTGATAGAATGTGTGTGTCGTACTTTCGTACATGTCCTATGTTGCATATGTGAGCGTTGGGTCGAGGTAGGTTGGTGATGATGTGAGAGCGCATGTGATGCTCTTACTGGTGGGAGGCTAAGTTCGAAATCTCGATGGGAATGAAGCTACTCGGTGTCTTGGCCGTTCATTCAGCCGGATACGGCAAAAGCACCTTTTTTTGAAGGGTTTGAAATACTTGCTGCAACGCTATGATGCGCATTCTACGTATGTGGTGACGGAGGTTATCCGTGTAGAGGCGTTCTATCAGCCCTGCCCAAACGAATCAGATCCCTCCGTTATCAAACAATGGGAGAGAACGCCCGTCACCGTTTTTCATAGATGCACACACAGGCACACACACACACACACATACGCAAACAAAGGGGACGGTTTGTGACCTTCGACGAAAGTGGCGTTTGATACTTGGGGTCGTGTGAAGAGCTATTGTGTTGGCGCAGAGAACGTTCTTTTGGGCGGGAGGCTGGATTTGGGGAACTTGGGGGGGAAAATTAGTGCCTGTCAGGCGCCAAAGCTTCTTCCACTTCTTTTCCTCTTTCTTTTTCTTGTTATTCTAATACTGAATGGATGAATACTTTCATTGTTCTTTCTTTTTTTTACATCTTGTTTTTGGTGTTGTCGAGATGTTGAACTGCCGCGTGCAATGGGCCAGGATAATGCTGGTACATAGCATGACGGAACGACGCACCTCGGCGTCCAATTACATGTGTAGCTCGCCGAAGGATGCCCTTTGCAGTAGTGGTTATCCACACGGTTCCAAAAAGAAAATAGAAATGAAGAAACTTACCAGCCAATCAACAACTAGGAGCAGTGCCTAGCAGAAAAAAGGTACATGAAACCAGGTAGCTCTCTCGCCCATACGGTGTACTTGTGTGGTGCAGAGGCCAAGTATACAGTGTTTTTTTTTTCTTCTTTGCTCGTGACGAACGGACAGGGGTTGGGGGCGTGCATCTAAAACAAGCTTTTGCCGTCCTGGTTTTCTTCGTCAAAAAGGTGTCGAAAAGGGGGCTGTTTTTGGGATGCCCTTCCCTACGGTTGCAGCAGTGACGTCGGGGGCTATGCTTTTTTTCTTTTTTCTTTTTTTGTGCCTTGTGAGAGGCTGAAGAAAATCTTGGTAAAAAAGGTCCCTTGGCTTGGTGTATTTTCCCTTATTCGCTCGGGAAGCCACTTCCAGCCCCGTATGTGTGTTGTACCGCAGGATACCGCTGGATACTGCTAATACCAACTTACACCAACTAAATACTAGTATATATTTCTGCCTAGAATACACTCAGTGGGTCGCCGGGTTACCTCTCCCGGACTGGCTGTTGCTGCTAGTAGCAGCTAAAGAACACAGCTGATGAGGACAGAGATCATCTCAATGATGAACCTGAACAATGACCCAAAAATAATAATCAAGCATTAACGGCGCTGTGGGCCGAAAAAGCTTCTTTCTTTCTCTTATGCCGCTGACAGGGAGGGAAACGGGCGGAACAAGAGGTTCTACCTTCCTGTCTGAGAAGTCCAAATGCTCGCACTCTTTGCAAGGATTGCTGTAGAGTGTAGATTAATACTTGGCAAGGGAGGTAGCTTGCACAGCATATACGAGAATAGAGATTCTCACTCTCTTCTTTGCCCTCTGCCCTCCCTCTTCAGCCTCTCTCTTTCGGGCAGTTGGGGTTGGGTTGCTGGCGAAGGCGAAAGGGGGAGTGGGAATTAGACTGGGGGGGGGGGGGGGGGGGGGGGGCGAATCAGGGGAAGCGTACAAGTGCTTCAGGGGAGGGGAAAAAAAGGCATTACATTTTAGCAAGATGCATCGGATCGCATCGGATCGCCGTTTGCCATCTGAGTTAATGCGGTTCTTGCTGCTTTGTTTGTCGTTGGCGGCCTGTTTGCGGTTAGTATTTGGAGATGGGAGAGGTGGTTTTGATTCATGCCGAGGGCTTTGTGGGACTTGGACGCCTGGCATTTGATTGAGAGGTGGGATTAGTGCCTTGTTAGCAGGAATTTGCTTTGATTGAAGCTCGCCTCTGGTGTGCTGTGCTATGTACTGTACTGTAATTCTCCGCCCGCGATGGAGTGTCATGTATGTACGTACAACTACAGTGCTGCTACAAGTATATTGCCAAGATGAGCTATACAGGCTACGAATGTATCTTGAGCGGCGAAAGATACCAGCCAGGGAACAATTCAAACAACAAACCGGATTTCAGCCACTCAATTGCATCCTCAAAAAAACAAGGACAGCATCCCATACGCAAGAAGGCGCGTTGGAGGAGCTTTTCTTGCCGTCGAAGCACTAGCCCTCTCTGATACTAGCGCGCTTTTTGGGATGGACTAGGGTGACGTCAGAGGCTGCGGCACAAGGGTCCCTCGCATGGCGCTAAAGAACCCACATAGTATGGATCTCGAAACGTCATTCTGTAGCGCCGTCATTGGGCAGCGGCTTCATTGCAGGATTGCGCTGTGCTTGTGCTTGTGCGAGTTGCTGCGGGTCTTGGGGATACATCATGATGACTGGTGACTGGCCGAGGATGCGCGTACTCTGAGAGCAAGATACCTCTTACTGTATACGAGTAGTAGTACAGCTGCAAGGGAATAACTCTCGCTGTTTAGGTGGTAATATACGGAGTATTATACGGATATACTACCTTGTACCTTGTTACTGTTGTAGTATATTAACAGCACCCCCCTTTCTTTTGCGCATTGGCATAGATCTCCCTCGCTATCATGCTGGATATTAAAAATACCCCGTTGCATTTGATTGCTTTGATATTAAATCACTGAGATGTGACAGCCACGCACTGTGACGCAGATTCCCGAGCCACAAGTACCTGCGGAGCGGCACACAGTGCGTCCCAAAGCTGCAGGTCGAGGTACATTGTATCGTCCTGCTCCACCGCTGTAGCTCCAAGCTGGCATGCGCTGTATTTCCCCGGGCCATAGCGCTTGTTGGGGGTCATGAAGTGGATGGAGTGCGCTGTAATGTATTCCCCCGTCGACAAAACTTGAAGTCATTTTGGAAGCATTGGAAACTTGCCCAATGCTTTAACCATCTACAAGACAAGTTTAGTTCGGACAATTCGTGGGTGCCTCCATCTGCCAAACCATGCTGTGGCTTCTTTTAAAGAGTTGCCACTGACGCAAAAACCCAGGTTTTTCGTGTCTAGAAAGAAACGCCGCAAAGAAAAGGAACAATAAAGTGGACGAGAAGCCACCAATGCTGTGGCTTTCCTTTTCTAGTGGTGCTACCCGCCCTGATGATTCTGTGGCGCCGTTTCGAAGCCTTCGAAAGAACCAGTTTTTTCTTCGAAATTGCTTTTAAAAAAACGACTCAGGTTTAAACTTTTGCTATATCGACGGAGGGACGTGAGCTTACAAGAAAGAAACGGGCCTTTTCGGCGGAATTTCCTTTGGAGAGAGAGCCCTGCCCACCCATCTTGGGCAAAACAATAGCCACCGTCATCATTTGCCCGTTTCACAAGGGGCGATTTAAAATAAAGTAAGAAGGTTGCTACGCACTGTATCGGGCCGTGTGTATTTTTTCCGGATTTTTTCTCATCTCTTTTGTTGCAGAATTTTGATTTGTTTTGCTTGAGACTTGGGTAACATTGTGTGTGGCAGGATACCCAGTCTTTGATGCAGATAGATTGAGATGACAAGACCCCCTGGCTGCTAAAAATAGGGAGTGCAGGGAACTGGTATTAATAAGAATTTCATATCAAAAAGACGACTCTGTTATTATAATCAGTTGCTTCTATATTTATTGTCTTGATCGTTCTAAGCAAATCGCTGTCTGTCTGTATACCGTAAAGGGACATGTTGATCTTTTGGGTAAGAACATTAGCATGGCGACAAGTCTCTACAATCAACATAACCCAACACACACGTAGCTTGAAACACCAAGAGAAGTTTCTACATGGATTTCACAGCACATACACCCACACACTTGCTTAGTTGGGCTAGCTACTCTAAAAATACTCTGTAACAAGCCAAGCCAGGGTCGCGTCTGCTCTTTTATTTTCTCACCAGTCCTTTTGCAAGCCACATAATCAAGCACATGCTTCCGCCGTTGACCTAGCATGTTCTAAAGCACTGTTTGCCAGCCGGGTCTTTCCGTGTCAATTCTTTCTTCTTCTTTTTTTAATGATATTTTTTCTTCTTCTATTTTCGGTCCGTGAGTATATATCAGTGGCAAGGCTGCGTCACGGCCGACTCCAGTGACTCCATAACCCACGTATCAGAAAAGTGGACATCGTCATTTCTCCCGTCATATGATACAAGGTGTGCACTTCTACATCCATACTCTTATTCACATTGACTCAGTATCTCTCCTATATACCACATCCATAATTTTCCCGAGTATCCCGCAAAACCAGCGCTCTCCTTGTGGTATTCAGCCCGTTGCTCTCCCTGTGGATACTGCGGATTAATCAATCTCGGACTGCGCGTCCCTAGTAATTCTTGCCCATCCCTGCTCCGCTTCGAGTTTCCAAACTGCTTCGCCCCCCTCGGTAGGTCCGGGGCCAGTAAAAATAAAAAAAACCACATAGTAATATAAAAACCCAGCCAGCCTAATGGGATTATACGCCAAGTACAGCTAAGCTGCCGCTGTCTAATTAAAATGGCGGAGATATTCGCACAGACGGCCGATGCTGGCTTATATTACGAGCAAACCGCTAGATCTTACCAGGGCCTCTTTTGCTGCCCTGGGACCCCTGCCTGCAGCGTTGACAAGACCCGCCAGCATAAGGTTCTTGGAATTGGAGTAATAAACCATGGGGGGCCTAATATTATCGAGCACTATAATAGCTTCATCTGGAGAAAGAAGATGGGGTATCGAGTTCCTTGCTAGCACTTTCGACATTACCATCCCTCTAAAGGTAGTCTATATATTCTATACTTGGATTGCAGATTGGGAGAGTGTCTATAGTAATTGTTTCAGGTGGTAGATATGCCTGATAGACTACGAAACGAAACCCACAACAAACATGTCAAATGACTTGGCGACTGGGCTCGAATAGGTAGTAGCTGCACATATGGAGCACACAACTTCTCGTATAGTTGGCACGACAGACTCTTACGCAACGTAGCATCAGTCCTAACGAGACTTGATGCCTAGGACAAGCCATTCATCTCATTCACCTCATTTCGGCCCTTGTTTCTCCAAGAAATTGCTGCGATCATGTCATTTTCAAAATACAAGGTAACCATATTCATGTGGACACATTGCGATCAAACTATTCTTCTATCCACTCATTGCTGGTAAGTGGTTATATGATATTCATACGAGCCCGTATGGGTATAAAATACAATCTTCTTTGAAATTCTTAGAGCAAAAATTTGGCACTGTTCAACCTAGGAATTATACTCAATGGCTAAATGTATAAAAGAGAAGAGGTTATGTAGCAATGCCTTGGTAAAGGAGATTCCTAAGATAGAGAGATAGCTTCATTTGCATCATGCAACAAGCTGCTCAAAGGTTGAGGTATAGACTTTTATTGAACCAGCAGTTACAACTTTATAGGCCCTGTCATCATCATCATCATAAATATAACTTCTATGTAATAAGCTTCAAATAGATCTCTTGAGAAAAGATGACGATATTGGATTACTATGCTGCCCGTTTCACTTGACAATTAATGAGCATACACCGCTTGATACTCTTAGTAATAGACAGGTAAATATGTTTACATCCTTCTATTCTTCGAACGCATGGTTATCTACTAATTTCAATATGCATTTCAAACATTCAAATATTGTTCAACACCTCTCGCGAGACGCATTACTATTTAATAATTCTATCATTGCCAACCAGATTCTTTTTCACTCAGATTAGGCTGCTCCTATTCTATCCCCCATATGCCCAGTCCAAGAGGTGCCAACGCATCTACCTGCCGACGAGAAGGAATACTTCTACTATTCCGACCTCACGTCATCCACGGCCACTCTCCTTTATCTCCCAAAAACCAAACCCTACTCCTCTCTGCGGCCAATTCCAAAAAAGAAACGAGAAAAATACCACAATACAGAGCCGCGACAGTCTTTGTGTCGGAGACTGCCTGAAATATATAATACATTTGAACGAGACCGCAAAAAGATGGTCAAAAGAAAAAAAGTAGCATGGAAACTGGGTATCAAGGTCCAAACCCAGAGGCGTCTATGCGAGAAGCGAATGAAAAAAGGAAATAGGTTAAAGTATTAACCGGTAGTCATAACCTCGTAAATGGCGAGAAGAAAGGTCTTTGAAAGTAAAGACAAGATATTAAAGAGGAGTTATTGCGTAAGGGAAAGGCTGACGACATTAAGTTTTGGTTGAGAACGATGTATCGTCTGGCAGTTTCCTCGCATCGAGACAATTGCCAAAGGCAGCGGAATGTTTCGAGTTACTCTCCTCCGGCTTTTAGACCTTCTCCTCTCCTCTTTGTTTTTATTGTTTGTAAATCTTTTGGTATGTTCCAAACTCCTATCCAAACGCCGGACGCTGAATCGGATATGTATGCTGAAAATTATTATCTCATTTGAGAGTTGTAGCCTCATACGTGCGGTGCTTCTCCAGGCCGGGTTCTCTCAAGCTGCTCAAGTAGTTCACGAGGTGGTATCCGTTGAATACCGCTTCCACGATCGTACATGGAGGTTGGTGCTGGCGAATATCCTTCGCGCTTCTTGCGTATCCGATCTAATACGATTCCTGAAACGACGAGGATAACAATAAGTGCCAGCGAGATGGCGAGGCCGATGAGGACAACGAAAACAAGAGGTAAGTGTTTAGCTGTTGAGTACAGAGTTAGTAAAAACAGAAACCATGACACTGGTAATAATACAACTGGTAAGGGGAGAAGATTAAACATACTGCTAGATGTAAAGAAGTTGTCCTTTTGCGAGAATATTTTGGCAATGCTTCCAGCTCCAGTGTCCGTGCTGGTTAGAGCGTAAGGCAGGTAGTCGGTACCGTTGTAAATGACGGCCGAGGCCATTCCGACATTGGGGAAAGGTATGGAGCCGGTGAGCATTAACACTTCCTGATCATCGAAAAGAGCTGACTTGGCGTGGGGCTTGGTCACTGTAAAAACTTGCAAGCTCTGGACGTTGCTGCCTGGGGGTGGTAGCAACTGAGGGGTCTGCCATTGCTTGCCGTCATATTTCATGATGAAGACGGATCCGTTCGGCGAGTTACCAGAGATCCAGATCTGACTGTTATCATTCGAAGCGGCTGTGATGGCGTTGACAGGGCCCGGGATCTGACTGGCGCCCGCAAAGTCCGTCCAAACCTGTTTGTTGGCATCGTACAGGGCAAGGAATCCTGTGTTGGTTCCATTGGTACGCAAATCGCCACCAGCAATGAGCTGAGACTTGCTGTGCCACAAGAAGCAGCTGACTCGTCCAGCCAGGGTACTGCCAGGCCTTGACCATTGAGCAGTGTCGGCATTATAAGTGCAAACACCAGGGCAGTCCAGAGCGCCGGCCTTCTCGAATGAGCCGCCTGCATAGATCTCTGAAGTGTCAGGTCGAACAGTGACGACAGACAGAGTCTGATTCCCGCCCAGCAGTGACGCAGGTTGTTGGCTGGAAAACGATTTGGAAGCAACATCGTAGGCGATGAGACCGCTGACGCTGCTGCCATCAACATTGCCGGTGACATTTCCACCCGCATAGAGGACGCTTCCGAGAAAAGTGACACTGGTGAAGACTGATGATGAGGATATGCCAGACTTGAGTCCGGTGACGGTGTTGTTGTTGGCGCCGTCGATGAAAACCAGGTTATTAATGGTAGAGCCATCGGAAGCCCGAGCCGAGAAATGACCTGCGAGAACTGTAATGTTGCTGTTGCTGTTGCTATTGTTTCCGGTGTAAAAGGCTCCCGTCAGAACACCAGATGTGGGTTGTGGGGAGAGATCCCGTCGCTTGTTGCCAGATGATTGACTACTCTGCTGGATATGAACTGGAAATTGACCTAATCCTTGGTCACTAAGCGTGACGGCACCATTGGCCTCCAATTGCGAAGACTCGATGGAGCCTGCGAAGAGGGAATTGCCGGTGGTGAGGTTCAGCTGAGAGGCTGTGAGCATTCCGCCAAAGTCCGGAGTCGGGCCATCCAGATTCTGCAGCCAATTGTCTCTTGACAAAACCCAAACAGCAAATCCGTCGACGGCAAGTGCTTCATAGCCACCATAGGCTTCGCATTCGGAGAAGGAACCTGTCAGGGCAATGGCATTCTCAGTCACGCTGCTAATATTGACCTGGAATGCCACAACCTGCTCGACTCTGCCATTGACGCCTGCACCCAATGCGCTCCAGGACTGGCTCTTTGTGTCATAAACCGCCACATGATTCAACCCGCTTTTCCCGTTGGATCGTAAATTTGTAAAGTCTCCACCTACGAATAGCTTCGTGTCCTGGAGATACATATCTAATACTTGGCCGTTGAGACCTCCGTTGAGAGGCATAACCTTGCCGCTGGTATCGATGGCAACGAAGTTCTGGTGTGCATCCGAGGTAAAGTTACCGCCGATGTAAGTGATATCACCTGACGTTGCAAGAGAGTTGACGCCCGTATTGTGATCGAAACTGGCACCAAGCTGGTTAACTGGCGATTCGTCCAGGCTAGATATGTCCATCTTTGTTTGGCTTGGGTCAAAGTCGAAGAGGCCGTTGAGGTTTCCAGTCGAGTTGAGAAGAGTGAAGCCGACTTTTTGAGCCACAAAGGTCATTTCACTCAGGTCTTGGCCGTCGAGAGGGGTGAGTGTAACTTTTGGTCTGAAGGTGTCTGAGGTTCTTTCGATATAACCAAAGTAGATCTGATCGTATTTGTCAAAGTTGTTGGTCTGGTAGATTGAAGTAGTAAAGTTTGATTGAATGGTGCCGCTTGACATGATGCCGGTAATATTGACACGACCTCTAGTCAGGCACGAGCCATCGGGCACGCAACCCGGGGTATACATGTTGACAGAGTAGTTGCCAGATTCAATGATGTTGGGTACGAAAACGACAGAGGCTGATTTGGACGAAATGGGACTGGATAGCTGTGCTGTCAGATACTTTGAATCGCTCTGCAAAGAAGGCGACTGCTTCCAAGGCCCGGTTGCAGAGGCGCTGGAAGGGAAGGTGATGTTGCACGACGGCTCGTTGAAAGAGTTGATGGCGTAGGAGAACATATTGTCCTCAAACAGCTGTACACTATTGAGACCAGCTCCCTTTCCATACCAATCTGAAATGTCGATTTGGAAAGCGTTCATGCCAATTCTATTGACGAAATGAAAGTCTTGGTATAGAACCTTGGGGTCGTGGCTCAGCGGGCACTCGCTTGTGCAGCTCGAGTTTTTTCCTGTAGCAGGATCGATATAGGTAAAGTTCATGATGCCGTTAATCGGTAAGGCGATGAAGCGGAACGTTTTTGTGCCCCGTCCATCTTGATGTGTATTCCATAGCCGCAGCTTGGTGGGCTCAAATCCAAAGTCAAAGGTCGCCTGCCAAGATCCAGGGACCTCGTCCTGGAGCAGCCAAGTCTTTCCTGGCGCTCCAAGGCCATCGTTACAGATGACATTCTTGGGGTCGTTGAAGCCCTTGGTCGAGGCGGTGTTGTCGGCCGAGATATTCGCGGTAGAAAGATTGATAGCCTGTCCATCCGCCTTGTTTGGCGCAGTAACATTGCCCAAAGCAGTGAAGCTCCCGCCAAAAATGACATGGCCGTTGGCTGCCTTTGTAATGGAGCTCACAGGGGCATTGAAGCCTGCAAAGGGCAGGTTCGTCCAGTTGCCATCAACCTTCCACGCAATCGCATTTGTCGAGTTGCCCCCCTTAAGGTTTCCGCCCACATAAACTATTCCCTTGGCATCGTCGCACAGCAGCGCATTGACCTCGCCCTCGAGTCCTTCAAGCGGCGTAAACGTGGTTGTGTTGGCATTATAGATGGCGATGGCTGTTGACTTGATGCCGTCCATGCTGGTAAAGTTTCCACCCAGGAACACACCCTCGGCGCCATCCTTGAGCGTCAACGAGCACATGGCCAGAATCGACGCGTCGGTTGCGGCAATGGGGGCGAGAGCGCCATTTGGTAGCTGTGTCAATAGGTATTCGCTGCCATTCGTGCTCAAGGGCTGTGCAATCTGCTCCTGGAACTGGTAGAGTGAGATTCCATTGAAGTCTCCGGCTATGCCTATACTTCCCAGCTGGGAGAAATCGAGGTTCGCGGGGGGAGCTGCTGTGATGTTGAAGGCACGTGCAACCGAAGGCGCAATAATTGCCAACGACGCAACGCTCGAGCTCAACAGACGGGGGCGTCGCGCCGCCCGGCGTCGTTGGGAGGATAATCGCATGGTGAGTTTCGCGCCGCGCTAAGGAGAGAAGGCGATTCGAAAAGATGCCGATGAGAGGGCGGAAAGTCGCAGATTCGGAGCGACAGACGATGCGAACGATGATGGAGACGTCGGAATCGATGGTGTTCGAATGGTCATTTCAGATGCAGACAGGCTGAGGGCGCTGGTTGAGGCTATCGCATCACGGGCTTGCGTGCGTGATGAATTACGAGTACAGTAATCAATGGCTGGTTGGCGGCAAAGTCGAAGGGAGGAGGTATTAAAAACTAAAATAAACAACGACTGGGTATCGATCGAAGAAACGAGCGTAACAATGAATCTTGAAGCCGAAGCAGCAGGCTGGTATCGCGGATAGGAAATGCTCGGGCAGTGTCTCGTCGCCTGCGATGAGTTGGTGATGGGGCAATTGGACTGGATTTTTGATGGAGCAAGGCGAGAGTGGCTGGTTGGGCTCGAGAAGCAGGAAAAACACCAAGAATGCGGGAAATTGCTGGTTGTTGCTCCTGGCCAGGGCAGCTAGCCTTATAAGGTTAGTGGCCTGCGCACCGCTGGAGAGTGGCTCCAGGCGGGAGAGGCGCTGAATCAGGAACCGCTGCTTTATTTTTTGGGGCGGCGCGTGGTTTGCGCAGTGATTTGGCTCGTGGGTTACACTGCTTGGACGAAGAAGTTGACGAGAAATGAATGCTGCCGAGCGGTGTGGTTGCTGGCCGGGAGCGAAGCGAGATTGTGCGCGACGAGATCGAATCGGCCGGAGCCTCTCACCAGCACACGTACTTGTGCTCAGCCTCACTAGAAAATCAGTGTTGCACTGTTGTAATACAGGTCCTCGTAATACGAGAGCTTCGTGGGACGGTCTGATGATTTTGGGTAGCAGTAGCAGCCAATCAAGAGAGTGTGACTGAACTCGATTGGACCAAGTGAATGGATCGTGAGCTGTTGTCAGTCTTGAAACGAGGGCACAGAGAAAGACACAACTCAGTCGAGGGGGAAAATGAGTGACAGAGGCTCTGCTAGTGAGGCTCGAAATAAATGAAAAGGGCTAATGATCCCTCCACACCGACGATATGGGACACTGCACGAGTAGGGCTCTTCTATTATTATATTCAAGGGAGAGAAAAATGGGCAGATTGTGAGCCTTTTACCGGAAACACCCCTGGCGGCGTTTGTGACTGTGAGATGCATCGGAGCACGGCTCTCTCAACGCCGGCTTCTTATTCGCGGAATGCGTCTTTGCATAATGTCAGGGGCACAGAGCATCGGTCCACTCTTGCTTGGCCACAAATGATGCGAAACACTGATATACAACATGGGCGGAAACAAAAACAAAGATTGTCGATCCATCTATCAAGGTTGCATTGGAGATGGACGCGGAAGAGATCCGAGAGACGCACAATCCACGGATCACTCATGGATGAGCTCTGAAATCATCGCTTCTACATCCTATTGCTCATCCGGCCCAGAATCCGTGGCTCCTGGAACCCGCAGCCATGTCACCATTAGCCGTCCTGAATTGTTTGTTTGCTGTTGCAAACCCAGGCCGTGCATGTCATTCCATTGGGATAACACCTAGTTGCTGATCATGCCATGAAAGCGATGGCCCGGCTCCGCTTATGCGAAAGCCTCACGCCCTCCTGCAATGACATTCGAGTGAAAAGTCCATGCTACCAGTGGTGAATGCCGTTCGTTTCACACAGTATCTTAAGGCGAAGCACGGGATCGTTTCGGGTCGAGTAGCTGCTGAGGGTGAATCACGAAACACCTGGTGCCGCAGATAGGAAGCATCAGGGTAGCCTCGCTCTATAGATAGCACCAAACGACTGTGCCATGCCAACAAGTGAGAGCTAAAAATCTCGACAACAGAATGATAGCACTGAGATATCGTTCGTACCTGTATTTTCTCACAACACAACAACATTTCATTTGCCTAAGTCTTCATTGGGCCTTGTCTTGCTGCGACGCCCACTTTGTCTTATACTCCCTTGGGCTCTCATAGGTCTTTGGATCTCCAGCCCACATTCCCTTGCGCTTCCTCTTTGCCTTGGCCTCGGCCTTTTCATATCGTTCCTTCAACCCCCCAAATTCGCCGCCGCTCTTTGCTTCGTAGACTGTGGCCAGCCCGCTCTTGATCATCTCTAAGCCCACATTCTTGCGCAGCAGAAATCGGCGTACGTAGACGGTGGCCACGATCCGCTCGTACTGGTCCGTCTTGTAAATGTACGCACGCACGTTTCGGTGCAAGATGTAGTTTCGAAGCCACTGCAGGGCCTCGTCTGAGTAGGGCTGAGCTGGCTTTCCAAAGTGCGCTCCCTCAGGCGCATCAACCGCAGCAATGCGAATGGGTATCTGTGGTTGCGTCCCGGGTTAGCAATCACATCTCTGATAGAGGCAAGGGGTGAAAGATGAAATCCTCACAGTTCGTCCCTTGAGCTCTTTTCTCGTCTCGGGGACCTTTCTCAGCCATCCCCAGCCCACCGCTTTCCCTCCCGGCGTGTGGAACAGATGGAAGTTGTCGCCGTCACCAACGCTCGTCACCTTGCCATACAAACTCCTATTCCGAAAGAAATTGGGCCGCACATACGCAGCGCCTGGGATACGGCGTAGGTAATTCGCATAGAGCTGCAGCGCCGCAAGGCCTACCAAGGAGAATCCGACCACAGGTGCCCATTCTTTGGCGGCTGCTAGCGGACTCGAATCTTGAGTGCCCAAAGAATCCGGCCATGAGACGGGCCGCTTCTTGGGCTGATCGTCATCATCTGCGCGCTTGTTGGATGCTGAGGCTCCAAATGGCCATACCATCGTATTTGCGACCGGAGGGTCGACACTGGTAAGTTTGAACGGCAGGCCGAGGTGTGAGGCTGGCTGCTAGTTTATGTTCCACAGTAAAAAGGGCGGGTTTACAGTGGCGTGTTCGCTATAAAAGTGCCACAAAGCGAGCTCTCCGCAGTGACATCGAATGAGTACTGTCCATCTTGGAAAGCTCCATGTAAAAGTAAATTGAACAAAGAGCACAGGCAGCAAACGACCCCTATGACATGCCGTTGGATGCAAACCGCCTACGAAATGAGAAATGAATAGTCTCATGAAAAAGCAAATGACAAAGCATCGCCAGGTTTATGGAAAAAAAGAGATATGGCTGTATGTTTCCCATCATAAAATTCATCTACACCTGCCAATAAGTCACAAACCTCAAAACCACCCCTGCTCTAACGAGAGGCTGCATCTACTCAACATGCCATACTTAAATCTACAACTGGCCGGAGAGGGAAAAGAGGCATGAAGCTCTGCGGCTCTCTTTAGCTGCCCTGCACCTTGAATGTCCTGCCACTGGCCGTCTTTCGTTCCCGTTCCTCGTTCTCTGGGCGTGCGCGGCGCAGCACTTTACAGCCGTTAGCAATCTGATAATATATATACATGTTATATTGGACTCACCTTGCAGAAAGTCTGCAGTTCGCTTCCTCATTCGGGAGTGGATGTAGGCCTTGGAAGCCTTGATGTGGTAATGGAAGTTATCCCGGAAAGTTTGAATGTGAGAGATGACAGACGCCATCCTCTGGGGAGTGAGGTGCCTTGGGAAGAGAACTTGAATGAGTTAGCATAACAAGTCAAATCAGATAGTCCATCCCCTTCTTACCGAATGTGACGTATCCAATCTCTCCAGATCCGGTGTCTCGAACGCCGGGGACGCCCTGCAGCTCAAGTGGGGGGTCGTTTCTGAACAGCACCTGAGGTGCATTCTGAATGGCCCGTCTTCGTGCGTCAACAAACTCCTGGATAAAGACCTTGCCGTACACCCTGTCGGTTTCCTCCCGGAAGATTGTGCTGAAGATGACCGTGACACGGTCGTGACTGGCCTTGACGTAAATAGCCTCCTCCTCTCGGTAGTGGATAGCCTTGACCTCGCCACCTTCCATCACGCCCTTGGGGGCATCCTCTGAGCTAAATTTGGATGCCTCCTCTTTCAGCGTATAATGCTCCTGGTATGCTTGCTCGAACGGCGCAGCCATTGCGTGGCGCTTTAACAGGGCGAACTGCATCGCCAACGCGTCGCGTTCCTCTATATTCCAGCGTGAGTTTGATGCCAAGGAACATGTATGCTTCTGTGATTCGCAATGGCTTACCCTTGGACTCCGGCAGGTTCTCTAGATCAACCAGCACCGAGAAGTCGTAGCCAACCTCGACCGGAACGACATACTGGCCGTATTCCCGCTGGAGAACCTGCTCCGCACCGTATTTGGCCAAGTCCTTGAAGCATCGGATCTGGATGGAGAGCAGAATCTTTGTCTTGACCTCAGGAGTCGAGATGTGGAATGTCACGCCGTCGAAGTCGGATACGGTCTGGTCGATGTGTACGGGCGGGGCACTATGCCGCGGTCAGCTCGGCTCATCCTCAGGGCAATGGGCCTTTTTATACCCGGAAAATCGTTCGGTAAGCACCGACTGAATGAGGGCGTTCTGGTAATCGAGAAGAAGCATCGTGGCGGCTGTGTCGTGGCAACTGCTGGTGTCTCTCCGGCTCGTCTTGGAGCTGGTTGACGACTCCGACCCCCGTGGTGGGGCTGAGCTACGTTGCTGAAGACGTCAAGCTTGGGGGGCAGGCAGCTCACCACGTGACAGCACTGAGCTCACGGAGTTGGTAGTGGACCATATCCTCTGTAGTATCCTTAGGTAAGCAAGTTCATTGGAATGGCAAGCTACTGTAACGCTGCGGAGCGCTAGCCGAATCCCCGTTATCGATAAGCGCTACGAAAAAAAATATCGATACCCGCGCAATTGGCTAGCAGCGGCGTGTAAATGCAAGTTCCTTTGGCAAGAGCAAAATCCAGTATTCGAGGTTGACATCGACAACCATGGTCAAATCATACCTGTGAGTAGTTCAAATACCAGCTACACGTGGGGGAAAGGCACCGTACTGACCATTGGTACAGCAAATACGAGCACGCCAAGTCATTTGGCACAATCCTGTCCAGCTCCTCGAACCTTGTCTGGACGTCCAAAGACCGAACGGGCACTGGCGCAGGCCAGGCCATCACGGCCGCAAACGAAGAAGTCTTGTGCTGGGACATCAAAAAGGGTGAATTGACCGGACGATGGAGGGATGAAAGATGCTCCTACCCCGTCACTGCCATTGCGCAGAGCGGCGTGGACAAGGACATGTTTGCTGTGGGATACGAAGACGGAAGCATTCGTATCTGGGACAGCAAAATTGCCACTGTTCTAGTCAACTTCAATGGCCATAAATCAGCCATCACGCACCTTGTCTTTGACAAATCCGGAGTGCGACTTGCCAGTGGCTCCAAAGACACCGATATTATTGTCTGGGACCTTGTCGCAGAAGTCGGACAGTTCAAGCTTCGTGGACACAAAGACCAGATCACAGGCCTCCGATTCTTGGAACCCGAACCCAAAGTAAGCGACGAAGATGGAAACAAAGCCATGATTCTCAACGGTGAAGATGCAGCCGACGGATTTCTTTTGTCGACCGGCAAAGACTCTCTTCTCAAGCTCTGGGATCTGTCGTCAAGGCACTGTATAGAAACACACATCTCGCAAACGAATGGTGAATGCTGGGCACTTGGCGTGTCTCCGGACCTGAGCGGCTGCATCACGGCAGGCAACGATGGAGAGATGAAGGTGTGGTCATTGGACACCGATGGACTGAGCTCGACTGCGCAACGGGTGGAGGTGAACGCCTCCGCACAGTTCTTGCAGGACCGGGGAACTCTGTTTCGACAGAACAAAGATCGGGCGACCGAGGTTATTTTCCACCCTCAGCGTGACTATTTCGCTGTCCATGGTTCGGACAAGAGCGTCGATATCTGGCGCATCAGATCAGAATCTGAAGTCAAAAAGGGTCTGGCCCGAAAGAGACGACGAAGACGAGAAAAGCAGAAGGATGCTAAGAACGACGACGAGGATATGGAGAATGGAGATGATGCGCAAGATGACGTATCAAAAGCAGACATTAGCGATGTATTCGTTCAATATGTCATCCTAAGAACGGGCGGCAAGGTCCGATCAATCGACTGGGCTTTGCCGGCTGGTCAAAAGCAAATCCATCTAGTGGTGGGAACAACTAACAACCAGCTGGAGTACTACAATGTACAGCCCAAGGAGAAGAGCGACAAGAAATCAAAGGACGATATCCCCGACTATACCAAGGCCTTTTCAGTCGAGATTCCTGGACACAGAGCTGACATACGAGCCCTGTCACTAAGCTCAGATGACAAGATGCTGGCATCGGCTTCCAATGGTTTGCTCAAGATTTGGAACATCAAGACTCAGACTTGTATTCGGACATTTGAGTGTGGATATGCTCTTTGCTGTGCCTTCCTTCCCGGAGACAAGGTTGTCGTCGTGGGTACAAAGAACGGCGAACTGCAGCTGTTTGATGTTGCGTCAGCATCTCTCCTAGACAGCGTCGAGGCACACGAGGGAGCTATCTGGGCGTTGCAAGTCCACCCCGATGGCCGATCTGTCGTGTCTGGAAGCGCCGACAAAAGCGCCAAATTCTGGGACTTCAAGATTGTGCAGGAGCAGGTTTTGGGAACGAAACGAACGACACCCAAGCTCAAGCTTGTCCAATCTAGGACACTCAAGGTTTCCGATGATATTCTCAGCCTCCGGTTTTCACCCGATGCCAAATTGCTGGCGGTATCACTTCTCGATAGCACGGTCAAGGTTTTCTTCGTGGACTCACTCAAACTATACCTCAATCTCTACGGACACAAATTACCAGTACTAAGCATGGATATCTCGTATGATAGCAAGCTTATTGTCACGAGTTCCGCCGACAAAAACATTAGAATCTGGGGTCTCGACTTTGGTGACTGCCACAAGGCCTTGTTTGGGCACCAAGACAGTATTCTGCAAGTGGCCTTTGTTCCTCACAACTCTGATGGCAACGGTCATCACTTCTTTAGCAGCGGCAAAGATCGAACCATCCGATACTGGGATGGAGACAAATTTGAGCAGATTCAGAGGCTAGATGGCCACCACGGTGAGGTATGGTCTATAGCCATGAGCCATAGCGGAAACTTCCTTGTCACTGCCAGTCATGACAAGAGCATTCGCGTATGGGATGAGACCGACGAGCAGATTTTCCTAGAAGAAGAACGGGAAAAGGAAATGGAAGAGCTGTACGAGAGTACTTTGACGGCTTCCTTGGAGAAGGATCCGGAAGGGGGCGACGAGAATGGCGAGGTTGCCGCAGCAGGAAAGCAGACTACGGAGACCTTGATGGCTGGTGAGAGGATAGCGGAAGCTCTGGAGATGGGCATGGCGGACTTGAACCTGCTAAAGGAATACGAGGAGGCCAAGCTCACGAATCCTCACGCAATGCCTCCTCAGCGCAACCCGGTTTTCCTTGCTCTGGGTAATATCACTGCCGAGGCCTACGTCATGTCTGTACTTCAGCGCATCAAGGCTTCCGCTCTGCACGATGCTCTCCTGGTGCTTCCGTTTGCCTCTGTCCCCATCCTCTTTACATTCATCAACATCTTCGCCATGCGGTCGATGAACATTCCTCTTACATGTCGAATCCTATTCTTCATGCTGAAGACGCACCACAAGCAGATTGTGGCCAGCCGGACGATGAAGGTCATGATGGATGGCATCCGCACCAACCTGCGAGCCGCCCTGAAGAAGCAGAAGGATGAGATGGGAGTGAATATCGCTGCGCTCAAGGTTGTGGGCATGCAGATCCGGGAGAAGAGCGTCAAGGAGTACGTTGATGAGACGTGGGAGGAGGAGAGCCGGGAGCGCAGCGCCAAGAAGCGAGCGTTTGTACACGTTGCTTGAGTGGAAGCTGATGTTGGTGGTGCGAGAGAGTAGCATTGCATATATAGATTCACTGGTGATGTCCTGCTGTGTTGCGGGTTTAGGAGTCATTCTGGTTCAGGATTCGAATAATGAAGAGATTACTTATAAATAAATAAATACATACATACATACACACATATACATGTACATAAATAAGCAAGATCATGCTAGAGAAGCTACATGATCTTGCTTAGCGTTAATGCCATGATAATCAGGGTAGTTTTCACGCTCAGAAGTGCCTTCTCTTCACTTGTATTAAGTTAACAACTCTGAAATTAAACATCAAAGAACTCTCTCATAGCAGTCAATACAAATTTTTACTTTCAATGCAGTCTTTTCCCAGCGTCCATGAGCTGCTATGAGAGTACATCCCTCTCACCAAAAAGCATACAACTATCCGGCATCACGTGACCCAATCGCTCAACACCTCATTCAGTACAACTTGCGTGTGGGACCGCATTCATCATGAGCCGTGACATTTCACCCCAGAAAACGACCTGAAATATATCGAGCGCTCCAGAAATATATCTAGTACAAAATCCACAACAATTGCAATCCCAGCTATTACCCTTCGAGGCCGCACATCGCCGTTCTGAGCACCGCATTCGAACTGAAGCTTTTTTTTCCCTTGAGCTCACCCCGCCGCCTAAACATAGCTTGAGGGTAGCTGAAATCCCGAATCTGTCATCATGCTCTTCTTCAGGTGAGTGTTTGCCCGTGATGCTTATTAGCATTTGAGGCAATCATGGCAGTGACAGTGGTAGATATGGATGCTGATACTTTTTGGTAGTTTCTTCAAGACTCTCATCGACCATGAGGTCACCGTGGAGCTCAAAAACGACATCCAGCTCAAGGGCATTCTGAAAAGCGTCGACCAGTATCTCAACATCAAGCTTGATGACATCCAAGTGGTGGAGGAGCTCAAGTATCCTCACCTGGTACGGAACAATCCAACTTCCACTGTTGGAATAGTACGGCTGACGAATCTTGTAGAGCTCTGTCAAGAATGTCTTCATTCGTGGTTCTGTCGTGCGATATGTTCACCTCCCAGCGGCGTCGGTTGATACGCAGCTGTTGGAGGATGCTACCCGAAGAGGTGAGATGTCGAAGTAGTAGGAATCACGTACCAAACACTAACTGTGTCTACAGAAGCTGCTGCACAGCAGGCCAAAGCGAAATAACGGATCTTTAGCGTGAGATGTGATTATCAGCTAAGGAAGAAACAATTTGATGTTTGCTTGAGATAGAAGGGGGAAAAAAAGAAAAATTTAACACCTGTATTCCTGGATCGGAGCAACGGAGTGTGATGGAATTTACATATGATGGATGGTCACTGGGGTTGTTGCAGATATAAAGCAGTCAATTGGCGTTTCTCATGGCATGGGCAACGGACCACCGGTTTTCTCACCAGCATCACTTTGGACGTTTTAATAAAGCTTTACAATATCCAGCTGGTTTGTTTTGGATTTACCACCAAGCTCCACCTCCTTCGCCCGCTTTGCCTTGCCACAGCTGTGAATCATTTTTATGCTCGTCGTCTTCTCCTTCCACCAACGGTCTTACCAGTCCTCCCTTTCTCCTCTCAGTCATCCATCTATCGATCCAGCCCTTCATTCTTTTTCTTGATTGCTCGCTACCAACATTGACAGTGGGGATAACTTTATCGATGCGTAAACTCATGACAAACATGGCTAGCTCACGAAAACTGCTATGCTCGGAATAAGGAACGCCAAAGCACATGGCTTCCTTCGTGCTACCTCTCTGAGCGACAAGGTCCTTCACTCCGAATCTTGTCCTCCAGCCCTTTCCGTGAAGAAGCTGCTGGGTCGAAATGCTGCTTGGTGGAGTATTGGCCCCGACAGCCTTGCCGTTTCCAGGCCGGAAATTCCAACCGCTGGGGCGGAAGCCAACAATACGGCTGAAATGCGGCCTGTAGCTGTCTAGATACTCTTGCAAGGTTTCTGCGCGGATCTCCATGAGCATTTGCATATGAACTTGGGCTTCGACAGGGTCAGACGTCAGTAGCGAGGTCAGTTCGGGATCATCAAGCTGTTTGCATATCTTTATTTTCGCCGGAGATGCAAAAATCTTGGAGCCAAGGGCTTTGGCTATAGCTACGCAGATTCTCTCCTTTCCGATGGAATAAGTACCGCATATCACCAGCAGGCGTTGTTTTGGTCGGGACGTCGATTTTGATTGGGCATCGCCTTCTGATGGCTTGTCGCTCTGAAAGTATTTGCTCATGGTCCCTGTCTCAGCAGACTTCTCTGACCTCTGCCACACATCATCAGAGCAGTTGGGATCAGCCGACATGGATCCACACAGCTCTGCACAGGCTTGGATGACGTCTCCCTGAGGAGGGAAAGAGTATCGTGGATTCAAATATGTCGTGTCGAGATAGCATATGTCAATCCGCTGCTGTCTCGATTTACCTGATATTGAATCTATCACATCAGGTCTGAGCAAGGGATGCCGAACATGCTCTGGGCAAGCCCGGAAATCGCCACAATGCAATATTCTCTTTGTTCGCTTGTTTGGCCCACTACCAAACGATTTTTGGAAGAGAAACAGGGAGCTTCCAGGACAATGATTCGCGGGCATCATGGTAACGGATGCGCCGTCAGTCCCCGGAATATCATATGGTTTCTCAAATTCCAGTTCAACAACCCATTTGGCTGCAGTCCGGAGCTGTTGTTTGACCAAGCTCCCAGTTACCTTACTGCAATATATTGGGCCGTGTCGCCAGTTTGCAGTAAGGCCAATATAATGGTCACTGTGGAAGTGGCTCAAGAAGTATGCTTGGCACCCTTCAACAGCGCCGTAGCGGAAGGCGTCAACGCATATTGCGAATCCCGGCATGATTTTATAAAATGGACACGTTCTTTCATATGCGGGCCGGCCCCGAGACGCAGTTTCTGCTGCTGCCGCCGTAGCCCAGGCCGAATCCTCCGCATTGCCAGACATCAGCTTAGAAAAAGCACTCTTTGTCTTAGTCTCAGTATTGATCTCGAAAGGATTTGTCTGGCCAGGTCTGGGGACGGCAGCTCGGGCAAATCTTTTGCTAATTTCCATGGCCTCCACTTGAGCAACATCCTTGGATGCGGCGTCATCTTTCGTGGGTAGCGGAATGGAATCACCGTCGAGGCATGAATTGACATGTCGCGAAGCTTCGTCTGGAGATATGCCGAGCAAGCTGCCGCCGCAAATGGGGCAGTTTTCCACCATGGCTTGATTATCCAAAAGGCCGTCGAGGTCGTCGCCCGGAACTCCAGCTTCTTCAGCTTCAAGCCGGGCCTGCTCCTGCATGAAGCGCATTTCCCGCATCTCTTCACCTTCAAACTCGTCTATGTCGAAATCATCCATGTCAGCGAAATCCCCCAGTTGGTTAAATTGAGCATCGGTCGAGGTTTCTTGCTCGAGCAGCGGCGGCGGTTCATACTTGTCATTGGCATCCTTGACCGGCGCGGTATCGCTGGATAGTTCTGGTTGAGCGGATGGAGGGGATGGATCAGCAGTGTTGGCGTTCTTATTAGGCGGCGGTGTGACAGGCTTGGATGTGCTGCTGTTGCTGTCGTCACCATCGTCACCTTCGCTGTCAGAATCCATGACAAAGGGCGTCTTAATCCGAGGTCTAGGTTTCTTCGGCTCGTCTCCGTTTTCAGGCTTTACCGGCTTTATTGTGCTATCATTGGAGGTTGCTTCTAATGCATCTGCCGCTTTCTTCTCCACCGCTGGCTGGATGGAATCTTTGCTGACTCTCCTCTTCTTATTCGGGGCTTCAACCTCATTGAATCGAGTTTCATCGTCACGGCCATATAAGTCATCCTTGTCAGCTGTGTCCGCAGGTACCGCACCGACAAATAGTGAATCTTCTGGTTTTGCTGTCTTCTGGAAGAAGCTTAGGATGCTGGCATTGGGCTTGGCGGGTTTCTTATTAAAACTTGAAACTGCAGCTGCCTTTTTCGGCGTGCTCATCCGGTTAAGCTTTGTGGAGGTGACCATGATGGCAGATGCTGCTTCGAAACAGCAGCACCAGGTTTTCCGTGAACTTGCATGAGTTTCTACAGGCTATACACGTCTACACACGAACTCGCGTAATGGACTTCACGAAGTCACGTGGATGTGAAATGGCGGGGTCTGGGGATTACATAACACTGGATCATTCTATTTTGGGACTTGGAGTGTTGATCAGAGAGATTTGAAGATGGAGTAGAACCAATTATGTAGATGGTCTTTACATGGAGAAATATGTGCAATTGTGAATCGAAAGAAGTTCGTGATGGTACTTGGCCATTAGCAATATCCATGATATCTAGAATGACCAAATTGCCGCTGCCAATGCCCTCATGTGTCGGGTCGTCGTCTATGAATGCCTGCGGTGTAAATGATGTCCCGTGCTGGGATTGCTGATAACCCGAATCCCAAGAGATGGCAGCCATCGATTGATGACGCTGCTTATCAGTTAATATTTCTCATGTGCACCACCTATTCAGCGCTATGATATGATTCCCCGAGAGTTTATTTCGAAATACGCCCTCGTGCTCCTTGTTTCAGCTGACTAGCCTCCCTGGGCTTCGTCACCCCTATATAACGACGAAGTACTTTGTGAGACGTAGCAAGTCTCTGGTTTCTACAAGTACCGCCGCACCTCGCTCTTTAGCATTCCTCGCCAAACTTTGCATCCCCTGAGAGGCGTCAACACCACTAGCGAATCATTTGTTTATTTGTTTTGAGCAGTCAACATTACAAAACCAAATCTCACTCGACATTATTATTAATATCTGGCCATCATGTCCTGTGAGTCCTCATCTGCCATCAAATGGGCGTGGCATTTATTGACAATCTTGTAGCGTGGCTTAATACTACTGCAACGCTGCAAAATGTAACAACTCTGCCTGCGGGCATTTCAATTGCCAAGGCTCTGGAAGTTATCCAAAATCACAATCTTCACATGCAGTGCGATCCTCACATGGTCAAGTACGAATCCATTCCTCGGCCATCAAAGGTTGAGACCCCCACCATCCCAGCCAACAGCGGACTTGTCGCGGTAGGGGAGCCAGAATACTACTGTGTGACGGACAAGGTGCACACGCTTCCTGCAGGACTGTGGGATTCCAACGTTGAGAGCACAAACGAATTTGTGAATCTGGAAAAGGGCGTTTTCGTGAGGCTGTACAGCCCGCTCAATGTGGTGATGGAGACGGTCTGGACGGTGAGAGAGAATGGGAATGGCGGCATAGAGCTGGTCGAGGATGTCCTGATCAAGGCGTCTAGACTGTTAGTTGGCACCGTGAAGAATATGTGCAGCACCAATTGGACAACGTTTCACGGCAAGATTGTGAATCTGATGAAGGAGGGCTCGTCGTCATCATCATAGGGGGCGAATGCAGGAAGTCATCTTGTCAGCGTCTAGCAAGGCGGGGAATGGAAACACAAGTATGGTTGCTTCTCGGTACAAAGAGATGTATCAATGAGAGCTGCCCTTTTGATTCGTTTGATGACCATATCATGCTTATATAAATAGGTACCTAAGGCAGGTATCGAATACTTGGACAGAAATACCTGTTTGGTATCTCTTTTTTCGATTGCAGCCTCTGTGTCTTATCATTGCAGGACAATACTAGTTGAAGCAGCACGACGTTCCAGACTGGAGGCTAAATTTGGCACCAACGAAATGAATGGCTGAGGCTTCACGCGGCTAAACCCCGCCTAAGCGCTGCGCCTCTCTCCCTTGGACTTCAATGTCAGGCACCTCGTCTTTGCAGCTTTTCTCGCAAGACGAAGCAATTCCATCCACGACGTTCATTTCATCTGGGGCTGGTGAGCTGCACGAAGATGGCTGTGGCAAGTCTGGGCCATTCTCGTTACGAGTGAGCTGAGCAGAGCGTTTGTGTACCCTTCGTACGAGGTCAATTGCATTGCGTACTCGTACGAAACACGAAAACAACCAGTCCATGACATCGCCATATCCATCCAGAGGTCTGACGCAAAAATGTCCCTCCAGGTAAGATGGCCCGACGGGTCCGCCACAAAGCAAAAGGCTCTTGAGGATGCAAAGAAGATGCAAAATGCCGTCCTCGAGAGCTGCACAAAGGCAGGCAAGGAAGCCCCGCAGTATGAGCTTCAAGAGCTCGTTGGCAAGGGAAGTTTTGGCCGTGTTTACAAAGCAACCGCCATCAAGACCGGCCAGTTGGTTGCTGTCAAGATCATCGACATCGAGGAGAGCGATACGCTGAATCCCAAGCTGGCCGACACTTACAGCGACCTGCTCAAGGAGATCAATGCCCTGCAGTTGCTGAGCGACAGCGGGGCCAAGAACATCAACCATGTCATCGAGGCGTTGCCAGTTGGCCAGTCCATGTGGATGGTTACCGAGTATTGCGCCGGAGGGAGCGTTGCTACGCTCATGAGACCAACAGCCCCCGGCGGGTTGCTGGAGAAATGGATTATCCCCATTGTGCGTGAAGTTGCCGAGGCTATTCATTGGGTCCACGGCCAAGGCATCATCCATCGCGATCTCAAGTGTGCCAACGTCCTTGTCACCGAGACCGGCGATGTTCAGCTCTGCGACTTTGGCGTTGCCGGTGTTATCGAAACAAAGGTTGACAAGAGGACAACCTTTATTGGAACTCCGCACTGGATGGCGCCCGAGCTTTTCGACAAGGATGCGTCTTATGGAACCGAAGTCGACATCTGGGCATTTGGTGCCATGGTGTTTGAAATTGCATCTGGCTTGCCGCCTAATGTCACCGCTGGAATCGATTTCACGAGACTGGGAACGCATCTGAAGCACCATACACCTCGACTCGAGGGTGATCAATATTCAGCTGGTCTGAGAGATTTGGTGGCGTACTGCCTTCAGCACGACGCCGAAAAGCGGCCAACGATTGAAGACGTACAATTCCATAGATATATCCGTAATACCGAAGAGTCGCATCCGACCTCCTCTCTCGTTCATCTGGTTCGGGCCTTCAAAATGTGGGAGGCCCAGGGAGGAGACCGGAGGTCGCTCTTCTCTGCTGGTGGCGCCCAAGGCTTGGCCGATCTCTCAGCCGCAATCTCCAACGACGAGTGGAATTTCAGCACTACTGCGGCTTTTGATCAACAAGTCTTCGACCAAGGCGATGCTCAAGATGTTTACGATGTGTATGGATCAAAGGTGGAATTCAATCCGGAAGGCTACGATGAGACTTCGCGTCCACAAAAGCCCAAGTCGCGAAGGAGGCCACCACCACATCTTCCTTCAGTGAAGGCGCCTTTGGAGAAAATCTTTGATCCAAATACCATATCAACCTATGAAGAAAACTCGAGAGCATATTATAGCCAACCGTTCCAGGCCCCCATATCAGATCTGCCTCTCCGAGACGAGAGTTCACATACGCCAGATGTCAGAGAGTCCCTGATTGACCTGGACGTATCGCTGCACGGCGGCGAGCTGTCGCAGTTTGTCGACCTGGACACTATCAAGCCCAGCGATTCGCATGCATCCTTGGACTATGACTTTGATGATTCAAGCTTTGTCAGGGCACCGATGAGCGACCCAATCGATCACAAAGACAATAGGCGCACACAAGATTGGAAATTCCCTTCAATGGCGGCGCCTGCGTCTGCCAACCCGGAAGAATTCAAATTTCCTTTCACCAGTAACATCCCTCCGTTGGATGATGGCCGACCTGCACTTGTTCATCACGCCACGGAACCCCCCTATCAGCATACTGCTAGTTTCAGCGAAATCTCACAAACTCCCTCGGGTGACCATCGTGCATCCGTGGGCAGTCTGATAGATCTCGACATGAGCTTCGCCGACTCATCGACTGACTTTACCCGCCCCTCGACGTCCCATTCTGATGTCGGATCCATCAGCGGCTCAGAGATTGGCGGCGGAAATCCCTTTGAGCTAGAAAAACACGCTTCGCTCTATGTCATGAATGCTACAAACAGAGAACCCTCGATTTACATCTCAGACGATTCTGAATATGCACAGGTGCTCACAAGTATCCCGGACCTCTCACTGGATGATGAGGCAAAGCACGATGATTCCCACATTAGCAAGGAGTCCAACACCTCGGTATTCAATGAAGGCCGGCCCTACTCTCTGAGCGACTTCGCCGACATGGACCCAGAACTGCCTCCGGAGCCGGCTCCTGCTCCAAGCACTCCTCAGTATGCACTGTCGCAGTATGCGCCGTCGCTGCGAGAGTACTCTCCCAAAAGTCGGTCCCCCCATAGCCAATCTCCCCCTCTTCCGCGTCCACGTCCGGCTATGCGGCACTTCGAAGCGCCACTTCCTCCTCTCCCAGCGGCGCCTATGCCAAATGCTATGCTTGGTCAAGCTTCTCCTGAGGAAGTCAGAAGAGAGTTGCGGCGGTTGGCCATGAGCCTTGGAGACCATCTGAGTTATGTCAACTCGTACCTGTCGACTCTGCCTGTTCGGAGGAAGAGTACACATACGCACTACTCATTGGATCCAGAGGGCGGTGCGATATAAGCGTAGGAGCGATTGGAATTTTGCTTGAGAGAAAGGTATTGTGATTTGATTGATCAATTTATTGGAAAAAAAGGTGTTTGTTGGCGATGGAAGATAGGAGGCGCAATATGTCTGTACCATGACAAATGTACGTTAAACAGCACTTACTTGCTACGTAAAGCTTGGTAAAGGGACATCGTTGCAATGTTAGCAATGGTACATCTACAATAGGCGCGATGGATATGTTAGTATTGGATTCAACGGGAATTTGTTTTATGTTTCAATATATTAGTTTTGATACGATTCCACAGTGTTACGTATTCTCTTTCACCGTCAATCTACCCTCCTCCTCATGAGAAGCCAATCATGTTACCCATCAATAGCGCCTGGTATTTCTCAATCGCCTCTCCGAGCTTAATCAGTACGCCCGCGGATAGCATCTTGACCTCGTTTTCCTCCCCTCCATCCTCGCCTCGAATCTTATTGAACACGGCTGCGGCCCATTCCCGCGTCTCCATGACCTCACGCCCCTGAGTCTCGCATAACCTGCGCATGTCGCCGTCATTGACTTCTAGTAGGGACGCCATGGCGACGAGCCAACCTTTCAACGCACCGAGATCTTCTTGCGTGTGAATCCTGACGGCGAGAAGCAAATTCCACAGCTCCGTCGTGAGCTGCGGCAGCGAAAGCGTCGAAGGCCCCGCTGAATGGATGACTATGCCCAACGTTTGGAGGTACAATGCCAGTAGCGCGGGATTGAGAATGACAGGTCTGGAGGATCGAAGGGCGACCTGGAAGTGAGCAGTAAGAGGATAGAAGAAGGACTCTGCGATGAGAGCGGCGGTAGTATTGGGGATTGCGCGGACTCGAGGTTTTGCTTTGGTCTTGGACTTGTAGCGGGCTGTGAAGGTCTGCAGTTTGAGGATGTCGGGGCCGGTCGTGGCGTCTGCTGCCTTGGCGGCCATTGGCTGTAAGAAGGATGATGTGAGAGACTGCGCTATCGTGTCCAGAGCGGTTGGAGGTAGTGCTTTTAGCTGAGATGGAGGGTTTGCATCGCCCTGCTTCGGTGAGTCAAGGTATAGCTGCTCAATTTTCTCTGGCAACCGCTTCGAAGGGAATGATGCAGTTGCTTGATATTCAGAGACATCAAATCCCGCGAGTTCCCTGGCTGAGAGCCCAATGGCAACGAGCACTTGTGTTCGCTGCGATAAGGAATAATCGCCTTCGAAGAAGGTCCGGGAGAACCAAGGGGCCATGGATTTCGGCTGGGCGACTATCAAGGCCATCATGCCCTGCAGCTTCAAATTCGCAAAGTCTTCAATGTCGAACTTGTCTTGCAATCCGACGAGCAAACCGGCGAGTTCATTTGCGTGTGAGCTTACTTCCATGCCAAAGTTTGCTTTTCTGCGAATCAAGAGCGGTGCACTCTGCAGGGCCAGCTTCTGCTTATCGTAGGATTCTGTGTCGCGAAGATAGACGATCAGATCGCGGATATAAACGGGGGCCTTTGGTTTGTTGCGCTGGACTAATGTGGCGTCGTCGTCGGAGTCTTCTGGATCAGAGCCTTTGGCATAAGGGACAAGATCTTCATCATCGTCTGAAGAATCAATTTCTTCGATGATGGCTATGGGCTTGATGGTCGAGATATTGGGTTCGGGTTTTGCTTTAGACTTTGCTTTGGGCTTTTGCGTTCGTTTCTGGGGTGGACGATTCTCCTTCTTTACTGGCAGCCCTGCAACTTCTGCCTTGAGGATAGGTTCAATCGAGCCGACCTCGTCAGAGATAGTGGTGAGAGATTTTAGCTCTTGAGCTTCTTCACTCTCGGTTTCCTCCATATGAAAATCAAGTTTCTGGCTCTTATCATCCATCAGTGTCGAGAGGGATTCTCCAACAACTAAGCCTAAGAATCGAGCTCTTGCCTGGGTTGCTGCTATCCGATTTGAGATTGCTGTCAGGTAAGAACCGGATCTTACGATTATTCTGAGCTTGATGGGAGACATTCTGGAGATGTATCCTGCACTTAGCAGCAACACTTCTGTATGGACTAAAAGGAGGTCAGCGCGCTGTGAGAATGTGACCCGTCTAAAGAAGTCCTACCATTTTGTTGCAGAATTGCCGCATGCTTAATGTATAGTTGATCTCCAAACTGAGCTAAGCTCTTCTCAAACACAGTTGTAATGCCATCCTTATTTTGGGCTACAACTGCGAGAATGGCTCTTCGGATGCCCACAGCATCCCCTAGGCCAGCACCTGATGATGAAGCGCACCAAGTAACGAGATGGTTATAGAGAGCATCATTACCCTTTATGACTGCGTCAATAACACCAGCGGCAGCAGAAATAAGACCTCTAGAAGATGGATCGTCTAAATCGAGGCCATTGAGTTGTTGAGCAAGGTGCTGTAATAGGATATTTATAGTCTTCTTGGCGCTATGCGGCTGAGCGAAGCAAACTTTGGCAAAGTCCTTGGGATCATTTCCCTTTTGAAGAAGAAGACCGTCAATGACCGTCTTGACAAGTGTTTCTACTACCTGTAAGTGGTGGATGACAATGTTGATATTTGTAAACACGTACCCAGATAACCTAGCGACATTCCTCGCTGAAAGATGTCTGAGCAGAAGTGTAATTCGCCCTCGCCTCTAATTAGCTTGGCCCAGGCTATGACATTATGGCCAACCCATTGCGAATATTTGGCTCCATCGGCCTGCCATGTCGATTTGGGACGGACATTTTCTGACCCGGCAGCTTCAATTGCTTCGGCAGCTATAGATTGTATACGCCCCCCAGTAATCAACGAGAGAAGTGCCTGGGATTGCACTTTTTTCAGTGTCTGGGTGTCCAGCTTCTCCGTTGAAGCTATCCACAAGGCTTGAATCGCATTCTCACCCTCCAGCAGTGTCGCCAGTAAATCGAGAAAGATGTTAAAATGCAGCACCAAATCGGGCCGCTTAGATTCCTTAGACCCTAACTTGTGCTCTTGTGTGAGAGCTTTGAGATGAGAAAGAACGGCATTAAGGCCGGTGACGCTTTGTAAACATGCCACAAATAGGCGTAGGTCGTCCGCATCATCCTCGACGCTGTCATTCTCTCCACCCTCCTTCAACAGAGTCCAGTAGTTGGAGGCAATTTCGGTGACCAGGACGTGAATTACCGCTGCGCTTTTCGGACCTGGCACGTGGACATTGAAACCATCTGTCTTTGCAGCATCTTTGGTGAGGTATCTCAGCACCTGAACAAGTGAATCGTAATCTGGCTGGTTTCGAAGAAGCTCCAAAGCTCCATCCGGCGAGTCCACCTGAGTGATTTTGGGAACCTCGGCCACTCTCTTAGTTGAACTGACTTCGGATAGCAGCGGCTGGGCGTCCTTTCGGGGCTTCAGATATGTGGTGCTGACCGGGGTCAGTAGTTCGTCCATAGCCGCTACCTTGCGCTTCTGAAGGTGCTTCAGAGTAATGGTAGCGGCATCTAAGAGCGATCAAGTTACTGGACAAAGTGATGATATTAAATGAGGTTTCAAGTGCACGGTAGAGTAAAATAAATAATCAGTTGTTTGGTTGCTTGTGACTGTTGCAGCTTACAAAAATGCAGAGCTACGAAGCTGCGATCAAGGGAAGTCGAGACCCCACATTCACCTGATCTCACCGGCCCTCACCGACTCTCACCGACGCCAAGGCAAGCTCCTCCCCACCTTGCCCAACAGCTGCACGAAGCTTCCTCTTCCACACCTCAGCACCTACGAATTTCACAATCTTTCCTGGCAAAAAGCTCCCTTTCCGCCTTGATATTGATATTCCCACTTCCCATTCGACCATCGTTTGCCACGAGATGAGTGTCGAGACTCAGAGAGCAGCGGAGATTGCTGCTGACAGCAAGACGGCACGATGGTCAGTGCCTGAAATGGTGATACCCCAGGCTTGTATTGACGGAGATGTAGGAAGTACCTCGAGCAGATCAGACGAAACCCGGGCCCGTTTACAAACCCAGAAGCTGTGGAAGAAGAGTTCCTGGCTCAGTTTGAGCGATTCAAGATTCTGTACGTAGCACAAGAGACGAAGCAGAGTTGGAAGTAGGCGTTTGGCTAACCAGGCACAGGGTGATGTTTGTCCTACCTTACACCTATATTTCCTAGTCGAGCCTCAGACTGATAGCGGCGGCAGTGGCGCAGGCGGTCTGGGATGCGAAATCCTCAAGAATCTAGCCATGTCCAAGTTCAAGGATATCCATGTTATTGATATGGGTAAGGCGCATTAGTATACACGAGGGATGCCGTCGCTCGAACTAACAAGGTGCACTGGAAGATACCATCGACATCTCTAATTTGAACCGACAATTCCTCTTCCGCAAATCAGATGTTGGGAAGTTCAAGGCCGAAGTCGCAGCGAAATTCGTCGAGAAAAGAGTCAAAGGCGTCAAGATCACCGCTCACAACAAACGAATTCAAGATTTCGACGATGAATTCTACAAGCAATTCCAGCTCGTCATCTGTGGCCTGGACAGCATTGAGGCTCGACGATGGATCAACGCCATGCTGGTTTCCATTGCTGAGGAAAGTGAAGATCCCGATGGCGTCAAGCCGTTGATTGACGGCGGTACTGAGGGCTTCAAGGGCCAGGCCAGGGTCATCTTTCCATCCTTTACTTCATGCATAGAGTGCCAGCTGGACATGCACGCCCCCAGAGCTGCTGTCCCTCTTTGCACTATTGCATCCATCCCGAGGCAGCCGGAGCACTGCGTTGAGTGGGCCCACGTCATTGCTTGGGAACAAGAGAAGCCGTTTCCAACGCTCGACAAAGACGATCCCGAGCACGTCACTTGGATCTACCAGAAGGCCCTTAAGCGCGCAGAGGAATTCAACATTCCGGGAATCTCATATGCGCTCACGCAAGGAACGATTAAAAACATTATTCCTGCCATTGCCTCGACGAATGCCATCATCGCGGCTGCTTGCTGTAATGAGGCATTCAAGATTGCCACGACCACAGCAACGTGCCTGGGCTTTGAGAACAACTACATGATGTATTCTGGTAACGACAGCATCTATACGTATACATTCAAGCACGAGAAGAAGGAAGACTGCCCAGTCTGCGGGCGGGAAGCTCGACCCTTGGAAGTTGATCCCAACATGACGCTCCAGGATCTTTTGGACTCGTTTGCCGTTCGCCCCGAGGCTCAGCTCAAGAAGCCATCGATACGAGCGGAGGGAAAGACTCTTTACATGCAGGTTCCTCAAAGCTTGGAGGAGCAAACCAGGCCAAACTTGAGCAAGTCGCTCAACGAACTGGGGTTGGAAAATGGCCAAGAGGTCGTCGTTACCGACCCTGCATTCCCCCTCGAGTTCAATTTCTATTTCAAGTTCAAAGCGGAAGGTTCCTAGCGGGGCATTGGTTGATTCTTCTATTATTAATGTTTCATCTGTAATGACGCTTTTGGTGTTTGCGGAAGGGATTTTTTTTTTATCTTGGGCATTTTCCTGGCGTTGGAGACATGAGTGGCGGGACGCAATATTACCGTCTTCTTTCTTTCTGGAGGCCATATCAACACATCTTTGTACTCGTGTCCACAGACTTGGGGAAAACAAGAAGAGGTAGGATCTCAGATATTTGATTCTTTTCTTTTATTTATTCATATCCATGAGATAAATGAGACAGACAGAGAGAAAATAAAAGCATGCGTCGAAACATATGTACAACGCAATAACCATGCCCCCGTTTATGTACAAAACGCCTTCAACCAAAACAAAGACAATTATTGAACCATGTTGACGACCTGCTGCTCCAACTTTTTGCACTTTAGCTTCAAATGCTTGACGGCCTCGAGGAACAGCTCGTCGCTGTCCCACTGCCCTGTGCTCTCGATGGAGAAGATGAAGTGGTCTCTCCTCCGGCCGAGCTTCACCTTGCCCTCGAACTCGGGATGCCGCAGCGCCTCTCTGCTGACGGTGTCTTTCATGGAGTCCTTGACCACGGCCTTGAGCTCTCCGGCGTGGCCCTCGTAGCCGCTGCCGGACTTGCTGGCCTCTTCCCTCGTGATCTTCTCGAGGCCAATGACGCCCTGGGGGAAGCAGCGCTGGAACTTTTCGGCGTCGGCGCCAATGATGGGCTTGGTGATGTGGATGAGGGGCAGCAGTCGGTACGAGGCGGTTGCCACGGGCGAGAACTTGGAGTGGTCGGCGCCGATGCCCTTGTGCATGTGCATGGCCAGGTTGATGGTCTGCTTCGGCCGCAGCTTGGCGATGAGGATGTCCGGGTTGGTGGGGGCGATTGCGTTTTCGCCGCTAAAGTACTCGACCTGCCTGCCGGTGGGCACGAAGACGATGTCCTTTGCGTAGACGTGGGCGTGGTTGTAGGCCTTGAGCGGGTCGTTTTCGTTGGGGGAGGCGTCGGGGTTGACGGTGCAGGTGATGTTGAGCTCGAGGCGCACCGTGTTCCAGTCGAAGCTGTTGGCGTAGGCGTCCTCGCCGGCCTCGGGCTTCTTGTACCACTTGAGGAAGTTGTGGATGCCCTCGCGGCCGCCGTTGAAGGGGATGAGGCCGAGTCTGTGGGCGAGGACCTCGTCCTGGATGACGGAGGTGTTGTTCTCGATGTAGACGTCCTCAATGGCGAGGGTCGGGATCTCGGCGATGAGGATGCGTCGGAAGGCGTTGGCTAGCGAGGCGTCGATGCCGATGAGGGAGAAGGACGCATCGTTGAGCTCATTGCGGTGGAACTGGACGGAGAAGGCTGATCGGAAGCGCTCAATGGTGAAGGCGTGATCCTCGCCGGGGAAATGGCCGGGGAAGTCAGTCGAGGCGACGTTGGAGACTGTCTCTTTGTTGATGCCAACCGTCTATGAAGAAGAAGAAAAAAGAATGTCTCTGTCAGCACTCATGGGGGAACAAGACAAGCCAGAGGGAAAAAATTGGCGAGACTGGTGTAAAATTGCCTCTTACATTTCGGCGCAGCAGCTCCTCCGCGCTGGGAGCCATGGTGTCTGGACGGGAATATGAGATTGGAGAAGCAAAAAGGTTGACTCGGCTTCACTGGGTTGGTGATCTGGGGAAATTTTTTGGATGCGATAACGATTTGACGATAGCTAGAATTTAGCCCCTCCAAGGTGAGGGTCGGTGAAGGACGGGCGCTCACCGAGAGGATGGATGGATCGAGGGCCCGCGACTAAGCCGTTTTGGGATTTGGTGTTACTGACGCTTTGTATACTCGTATACATCGTGTTTGTGCCTTGTGAAGTTCCTGTAAAACCAACACATCGTATATCACAGAGCTGGATTACTCCTGTTGGTTTTGATTGAAAGAGCTTGAGATTTATTATAGATAGCTGCCTGTGGGCTGTAGATATATCACTTTATCTCCCATGGCCTCATCTCTGATAACGGCTCATGATATGGTACCAATAACACGGAATAGATGACCAGATCAATCACATGAAGAGGAATTAGTGAATCATGTTGAGTATTAGCCGTGTACAATGTGTTTTTCATTTATTTTAATACTGTAGTAATCTCTTACAACTCTCTGAGGCCTCCATTTAAACGCCCCCAGCCGCTTATGTACCGACTGGCTGGCATCCAACGTGCATGTGCATGCGTCTCAGAAGGATTCAGCGAATTACATCTGATGGATGCACGCGGCATCTTTTCCGCCATTATTGTTTCCCCCTGTCTTCGCGTCTCTTCCTATTGCTCTACCTCTTCTACCCTCACAAGCAAATCACCATATTCCCCAAACCCAATATTAGAGACTCTCAGCACAATATGGATCCCCCTCCCTCTTCTCAATGTCAATCTCAAGACACCATGAATCCCCCTCCGTCGTCTCAATCCCACTTCGACAAGTTCCAAAACTTCACGCCCAGCCACGACGCGCCGTTTGACAAAGAATTCGCCCGTCTCGCCTTATCCCAGAACTGGATCCCCGGCTCCCAGGAATACACAAAGGAGCGCACCATTGCCATGCGCGAGGAGCTCAAGACGCACTACTTCTCCTCGCAACACCTGGACAGCACCCAAGAAGAGCCCACAGAGGAAGAAATCCTACAGGGCTACCAGGACCTGTGCATAGAGGTCGGCATCCCGCCGTGTGACACCGCCGCCGAATGCAAGGGCAATCTCAAGAAGAAGCTCGTTAACATTGTCGACTTGATTGATGCGCGGCGCACAAATAGAAAGGTGCGAGTGTGGCGCGACTTCCAGGCGTTTCGCAAATACACCCTGCAAAAGGAACACAGAATCAGCGTCGACGAGGCCAAGAAGGACGGCGGCTATCTTGCGTCCCTCCTTCAGCGGTTACGAGATCCGCACGGCGAAAGAATATTCAGGATGAGGAGGGCGGGATTAGGACGGAAGGCATGAAATATGCAGTGATTATTCCAATGATGGCAATGATGGAGGCTGAACGAGATGAGGCCCTATAAGACGAATTGCTGCTATAACGAGTCCAAGAAATCCAATACGACGTTAATAATAACGAATCAAATAACCAAATCTCTCACACTCTTGATTAACACCCAAAGAGAATTCAACATTATAACTCCATATCCAAGAAAAGTGTGCAAAATTCATAACCCATGACGAGATGCTTTAGTTGTGCCAAAGCTGAGCTTTCATGACATGCTATCTAACCTATAAACCCATTGAAGTAGCCTAAATTTCCATCCCCCAAATCAAGCAGCCTTGCTATATCTGGCAAAGCGGCCAATTCCTCCTATCCCAGTTTTCATTTTCATTTGTTTTTCTGTTTCTTCCCATTTACTCGATATCTTCCATGTTCCACACACTAACGCCCTTCTTCTGTACGTTATCCTTCAGTCTGCCAAGTATCGCCTGTCGCTTGGCCCTCTTATCCATTAAATCTCCCTTTTCCTCCCTGCTGTAGCCACTGACCTTCTTTCGCGGTGTGGCTGTCTTTGTCGGGGTTGTAAGAGACATGACGCTGCTAGATAAGCTCTGGCGCATGCTACGAGCTGGTGTCGCGTCTGGGGAGATCAAGAGGCTCCTCCTTGCCTGCGGTGTCCGGAAAGGGGACTCCTCTCTGCTAGGAGTCTCCAGCCGCATCCTCCGCAACTGCGTTTCCAACACATCAATGTCTCCGCTGCGCTTCTCCACCATGCTGGTCATTTTGGTAATCGTCTTCATCACAGCCTCCACGGTGGGAACGTTTGTGGTTCCCCTTCCGGACGCACTAGAAAGCGATGCAATGCGAGTCTTGAGAAGAGTCAGTGCTTCTTCTGCTTCTGCAAGAAGCTTCGAGAAGTTTGTATACTCCCTCCTCAGCTCATTCTGCTGCGTTTGCTGTTCAGCACTGAGAGGGAGTGACCGCGCAGCGTCTGCCTGGTTAGGATCCACCTTGGTCATGATGACCTTTTTCAGATCCTCCTGCTTGGCTCGCAGTCGATGCATGTCCCTGGCTAGATCCTGGCAGGCCTCGAGCTTATCGGTTAGATCCTGCACCCGGCCTTCCTCTAGATCACCAAGAAGTTCAACTTCGAGAATTTCCCCCAAGTCGCCAATCTCGCACAGAACCCAATCATCCGGATCCTCCAGATCATCAGGACTCCGACCATCTGGAATACGGTTGTCTGTATGGCCTTTTGTAAAGGCCCTTACAGAGCGAGCGTTGAGTCCAAGTGTGTCAATCATTGAGTTGATGTCCCTATAAACAGCTTCAACTTGAGCAGGAATGCTTTCCTTGGCTGGCGGCGCGATGTTGGAGTGGGCAATGAACTCATCCAGGTCCAGAGTACCCTCAATTTCAGAGACAAGCACTCTTTGCACCTCCTCATCCTCTTCATCAATCAACAGCTGGGCCTCTTCAGCTTGCTGTCGCTCTCTCAGTTTTCTAGACTGTGCTACAAATGTATCGTCAGCGGCAGTTTTGTCTTTGCCTGCGGTAGCTGATGCAACGAGCTGCGACTTCTTTGGACCCGAGAGCTGAGCAGCAGTGCCTGGTGCACTGACGGACCTAGTGACATCCGGTGCGAGAGCGCGGTTCCGTCCTCCGCTTCGCATGGGGCTGGGCGATCGAGAGCTCGACGCGCCTGGCTGAGAAATTTGAGGAATCACTGGCGCGCTTCCGCCAAGCTCTCCAAAAAGCGGTCGTGATCGGCGATCGTCAGCTTTAGGGGTTTCTACAGGACCGCCAAATGAGTGTTGTGGCGTCTCCAGTCCGATGGCCGTGGGACTAAAGTCTTTGGCCACATCCACGCCGCTGCCCTCGGAAGCATTATCGTCCAAATCACTCTCCGTCTCTCCCTCAGATGCTAGTGCCGGAGCAGACGTTACGCTCGGCCGAGCCTTGGGCGTAGACGTAGGAAGTCTAAAGGCGGACGGAGAAGTAACGTTGTTGGCTTTGGAAAAGAAATTTGACTTGACTGGATCGGGAGGCAGAGGAGCATCTTCAACAACCGTTGGCGTCTCATCAGAAGGTTTGGACACTTTGATAAAGCTGGATGATTTTGATTCGTCTGCCACCTTAGTACTCTTCAGAGCCGTATCCCTAGCAGCCGCAGTCTTAGCTGTTCCGCCTAGACCTTGAGCGAAAGGGTTGACTGGTTTGGACGCAGCGCCGCTACTAAACAAACTTGAAGTGGTAGACGTAGCAGATGAGTCCGAGGATTCGCCAATTAGATACGACGACTTGCTAGTCGCATCTGGAGGAAGAGGCGTGGCAAAGGGATTGACGCTTTTAGCTGTGGGCGTCTTAGACTCGTCTTCGGCTGGTTTAGGGCCAGAGCCAAAAAGACCAGAAGATGTGGCTGGTTTTGTAGCATTTCCAAATGACGCAGACCCGAACAAACCAGAGCCACCTGCAGGCTTAGTAGAGGCCCCTCCTGATCCAAATAATCCGGTACCAGTAGTTTGAGGAGTTGCTGCCTTGTTACCGAAGAGCGAAGTTGTAGCAGTGGTTGAGGCAGCAGGGGTTGTTGAAGCTGTAGTACCAAAGCTTGATGCTCCCTGTGTTGCTAACGGAGTTGCAGATTCAGTTTCAGTTTGTGGAGATGCATCGCCGGTATCCATATCTTCATCTTTGGCTGATACCGTGGAGTCAGGAGCCTTAGCTTCAGCGTCGTTGAGAGCAGATCCAAAAGCAGGTCCAAACATTGACGAACCAGAGGTTGCCGGTGCCTTGTCGTTGCCTCCTTGAAACGGATCGGGCTTGAATGAACTTTCTAGTTTGAATGGAGTAGAGCCAAAAGCACTGCCAGATGGCTTCTCTTGAGCAGTACCAAAGACACTCCCTGAAGGCTTTGGCGGAAAGGCTGTGTCTGTTGAGGTGGATCCAAAAGCACTCCCAGTTCCAGCAAGAGCGCCGCCACTACCAAAGACGCTGCCCCCGGTACTGCTGCTATTGTTGCCAGCAAGAGAAGCAAAACCACCCTGAGAAGAAAATCCGGCGAATCCTCCAGAAGGACCAGGTGTGGAGGCCTGAGCTGTGCTTGCAGGTGTGCTCCCAAACGGGCTCTGAGGGTTCTTGTTTGCGAAACTAGCAAAGCCTGATTGGCCAAATGCTGGACCGGATCCTGATCCTGCCCCTGCTCCCGCACCACCAGATGCCCAAGGAGAGGCTCGCATACCCAGTTGCGAGGATTGCCCGAATCCTATTGTACTCGGCTTGCCAAACGCAGCGGCTGGTGCTGCTGACCCAAAAGTACTCGATCCAAAGGCCCCTCCTGTACTTGGCGCAGCAGAAGCACCTGAGCTCGCTGCCGTACCCCAGGGAGACGTCTTCTGGCCAAGCTGCGCTGAAGACCCAAAAGTCGGAGCAGCTGCGCTGGATGAGGAAAAGGGTGACGGGCCCGCGTTGGAAAAGGGTGATGCCGAAGATGCGCCAGTTGCTGGCACAGATCCCGCATCCCCTTGGACTGCCGTCAATCCAGGATAGGGCATGGCTTTCTTGATTGAGTCGGTATAGATAATCCACCATGAGCAGAGCACACCACCATGAGTCAGAATCCAGAATCCTGGCAATGGAGTGGGCGATTCTTCAAGCTCCTCGTCCGATGGTATGGGCTTGTAAATCTTATCCTTGCTGGAGAGATCAAGAGCGATTCCAATGGGCGTAGAATCCTCCGTGCCCGAGTCGTCCATCGGAAGTGTCGGTCGTTTAGAGTCATCAAGTAACTCGGTGGTAGTGAAGACATTGGTGATGGACTCTGCAGGTTCATCGGTTGCCAGAGCATTTTTAGATCGAGTGAGCAAACCAATATCAGCCGATGCAGTAGAGGAGACGATAAGGAGGTCCTGGAGATCGGGGGGGAAATCTCTCAGTCGTAGTATAGAGTGGTGAGGGACCTTATCTGAGCCGAAAGGCTGAACAGGGTCCGTAATTTTTTGATAGGTAAATGATGAGGGCAGTTGGCGCGTAATGATGTGATATATGGAAGAGGGGGGCGAGTCATTAGTTGAGTGGATGGCAAGGAAAAGGTTGTTCTCAAGCCATGTGAGAGATGATACTATTTAACCAATGGTTAGCATGGGCTTTCTTCTTAGGAGGGGTGATTTTACCATGACAGTTGTCCACATTGGGAGGCTTGGGGATATCAGCTTTGCCCTCTCCCTCAGGCGTCATTTGGTGGATGGTTCCATCTGCTAATCCGGCACAGAGCTGCTTGCCCTTTGAGCTCCAGCTGATACAGCTGACCTGACTCTTGAGCGCATTGCTTATTTTCCGGTCTTGGAGATTTGCCATGTGGAGGTTACCGCCGTTTGTGACAATGGCACATAGCTCTGGAATCGTAGGATTTGGCGCCAGTGACCTGAGGGCCTCTCCATTGGTTGATAGCTCAAACGCGGAATTCGAAGACCCCTGCAAAAGACTCTGGACTTGGTAAACAGCAAGGCCGCCACCAGATTCTGCAGAGAGCACCAAGTAATTTTCGTCGGCAGTAAAGACTAGCTGCGAAACCCGCATGGGCATGGGGATTTTGAGCTGCGGCTCAAAGGCGCGAACGTCGGAATCGCCATCTTTGGGAGCCTCGAAAGCTTTTCGAATCGATTCGGTCGTGGCGATGATGAGCTGATCAGGCCCAGCAGCAGCAACGAGACCTCTTTTCGAGGCAACGCTGAGCAACGAGGACGTAGCAGTCGGGAGCGTCTCCCAAGAGGATGTGAGGCGAACTTTGGAATCGCCAGCGATGGATAGGAACCCGAGGGCCTGTGAAGCTATGTGTCAGTGATAGACTTGTGGCTTGTGTTGTACGAACACAAAACACAAAACACAAAGCGAACAAAGAAAAACGCTGCTGCCTACCTCTGTCTGGATAGTCGGCAGATCGGGCCCTGCATTCACATCCCCCGCGCCTCCGCTCATGGTGTTTGTCGCAGCGTTGAAGCCAAAGGACATGGCCGCAGAAGAGAGCAATCCGGACGAGCTCCGAATCTCGTTAACTATCGAGCTTCCGGAACATGGGTCTGCGGCGCGATGAACAAGTCCGTCGCTGGAGCTCCCACCAGCGGGGTTCGGGGTCCAATTCGGAGGCAGAGATTGCGAGAATGGCGAAGGTAGGGGAAATGGCCGGAGAGGCGACAAAACGCGTCGATTGTTCTGCTGCAGTGGATGATGCAAAAGTAGCGATTGGAATTGCAGAGGGAACTGCGCATGTACCATATTCTACCGGGCGGTCTGTCGCGACCCTTGCATGCACAATCAACTTTTTTGGGAGCTCTGAGCGCAATCACGTGGGTTCATGGCAGCTCCCGCCAATGGCGCTTGCAGCTGCGCTCCATCTTCCCACCAGTCCGCAGCGGGCCAATCACAGCTTGCCGTTTTGCCTAGGGGGACGGTTATAGAGGGGAAACAGCAGGCTGGAGCTTGTATCAAGTACCCAGCCCACTGTGTTTAGGTGCTGCGATACCTGGCAGACGTGCCGCCAGTGCCTAAAGGCAGAAGGCAGCTTTTAGCCTCGTCATCAGCTACTACTGCTTGCTTAGCATAACCAAACATCAACCTCCAACACAGCCAGCCAATCCTCCATTGAATAGCAAGCAACATCACCCTTGACGAGCCTCTACAGCGAATGCAGACACCGCACAGCTGGTGGATTCGAAGAACCATAAAGAGGGACTTGTACGGTACACGCAAGACATAGACGAGACGGCACGACCCGTTCGGTAGGGCATCGCAGCAGCAGAAGATGCCGGGCTTCGACTTCTCCAACTACAACCGCAATGCGGCCCTGCACGCCAGGGGAGTGCCTCTGCCCAAGGCGACCAGCACAGGAACAACCATTGTCGGGTGCATCTTCGACGGCGGCGTTGTGGTGAGTTGGGAGTCTGCGTTTCCCTGCCCTCTTCATCACCCCTCCCCCTCTCCCTGTTATACATACACGACTATGAGAAACTCCATCGCATGAGAGCAACCAGTTTCTAACTAGCTCGTTGCCAGATTGCCGCCGATACGCGAGCCACTTCGGGCCCCATCGTCGCCGACAAGAACTGTGAAAAGCTTCACTACATCTCCCCCCAGATCTGGTGTGCAGGCGCCGGCACCGCCGCCGACACCGAGTTCACCACCGCCCTCATCTCCTCCCAGCTCGAGCTGCACTCGCTCTCCACCGGCCGCAAGCCCCGCGTCGTCACCTGCATGACCCTCCTCAAGCAGCACCTGTTCCGCCACCAGGGCCACATCGGCGCCTACCTCGTCGTCGCTGGCTGCGATCCTACAGGCACCCACCTCTTCACCGTCCACGCCCACGGCAGCACCGACAAGCTTCCCTACGTCACCATGGGATCCGGCAGTCTCGCGGCCATGAGCGTCTTTGAGACCCAGTGGACACCTGACTTGACGCGGGACGCTGCCGTCAAGCTGTGCAGCGATGCCATTCTGGCTGGTGTCTGGAATGATCTGGGCTCCGGTTCAAACGTCGACGTTGCTGTCATCACCCAGGAGAAGACAACTCTTCTACGAAACTACATCAAGCCCAACGAGAAGAGCGCCAAGCTGCAGAGCTACCGCTTCCCCAAGGGCACCACTGCCGTTTTGAACGAAAAGATTATTACCAAGAGCGATATTGGACGATACGTCACCGTAGTCGACCTACCAGTTGAGGGAGAGAAAATGGATGTTGATACCTAATCTGGGGAATGAGAAGCATGAAAGGATGCGAGTTGCGATGTCACGGTGTTTGTAACCAATAAAATAGTAAACATACTAGAAATCAGACAAAGAGAATTCTAAGCCATCACATGACACCATGACAACAAAAGAGCGCTGTTGATATTGGAATTATTGGATTATAACTTTGTTATCGCCTTATTTGCCCTAGATACGAGACATTCCCACAACGTCTCTTTTTTGGATATATTGAACAGCCCAACGCCTGGCCAAAAAGAAAGAAAGAAAATCGACCAGCCGCACTCTATACGGACTCGGTTTTGAGAAAGAACAAAGGAAATATAGTATCTGGACGCCACAGCCACCATGGCGAACTCTCCCTACAAGTAACAAGAAATGAAAACTTCTCCAAGGGTAAAAATAAAAGAAAGAAAGAAAAAACCAAGGAGAAGAATAAGAAGTAGACTGGAGTTGCGTGCTCCAAAGAAGGGGTCGACAGGCTCATCCTAAAGCCCAATATGCTTTTCAAAGCATGTGAATGTAACGTAGTAAAAGATCCCGCCTCTACTAATATGCCAAAAGTAAAAAAGAAGAAGAAAAAAAAATCGAAAAAAAAAAAAAAAAGAAAAACGGAGGAGAGAGAAGAGAAAGAGCAAGACAGGCCGATAAGAAGAAATTCCCAGTATTCCATGCGAGACAACCCCAGTAGTCGATGCGAGACAACCGAACCCCAAAACTCCGGTATAGATGGGTAAAGACGAAGAGAGATATCATCATCATTATAGTTGGCCCCCTCACGAAACAGGCTTTTTGCCAAACATTGCGCGGGAGCGGGATTTGCTGCGGGCTCGGGTCTTCTTCTTATCCGCTGGGAGTTCAGGGGCATCCTCGTCATCCATGTATTTTGCCTTGTGAATCCTAGATAATTTCCTGAATTAGCCAATGTCTGTAGAAGAGGCATAAAGGAGCAAACTACACTTACCAGCTGTTGCCCACCATGCTCATGCCCTTGGCTTCAGCCATACGGTAAAACTTGGCACTCTTCTTCAAGTTCTTCTTGCAGCCGATTCCCTGCGCGTAGCAGAAACCAGCTTCCGCTAGAGCATCAACATCGCCCCAAGCTATTCAGAAAATGTTAGCATGGCCTAATCACACGGGGCTCATCGGGTCCAAACTTACTGCCAGCGATTTCGAAGCAACGCAGCGCAAGGGCTTTGTCTTGTTCAATGCCCCATCCATTCATATGGCTCACGCCCAGTTCATAAATGCTCAGAGCAAACTGGGCCTTGTGGGTCTTGTTTTCGGCAATATTGATGCGCTTCCCTTCCTTGGCCATCCCTTCGTCCTCCGCAACTTCGCCGCTTGCCATATCAGCTGCCTTTCGTAGCCATTGTACTCCTTCTTTCTGATTGGGCTTCATGCCCCAACCATGGCGACAGGCAAGAGCGTACAGAAGCATGGCTGTTGGGTGGTTTAGTCGGGCGGCATGCCGGAGGTGATACGTCGACTCGTTTAGAGAGCCGTTCTCGTGGCATTCTATCCCCTTGGCAAGATGTTCTTCGGCCGTCATTTCAGCAGCCGTAGGTGCAACAGTACTCGTATTAGATCGGACAGACATAGTAGGGCGTATTGTCTGGGCCGAGTCGCTTGTACCGACTGAGGCTGGTGTCCTGCCTCGAGGCGCCTCTCCAGCATGCAGCGTCCGCGATCTACCTCTGGAACTGTCTTCAGTCCCCCGCCTAGATTCAGTTGACGGTCTGCTGGGGTTTGGTGAGGCGCGTCCATAGGGCGCAAACTGAGAGCTTTCTGAACTGAGTTTGCCCGCATCGCTCCGCTGTCTTGACATGGCGCTGGAAATGCTGGCGGCATCGTCGGGGACAGCGCGAGCTGAGGAGCTAGAAGGTCGAGTAGGGGGTGAGGGTGGTGCACCAGCTTGAGGCGGAAGATCCGAGGATTCTGAACGCTGAATTGACTTTCCTCGAGGTAGAACAAACTTGGAATAGACATAAGACCCGCCGGTCTTGTCATCTGATGGCTGCTCTGTAAAGGCCTCGCTGTGCATACTTATGGGAGTCTGAGCCGACTCATCGGCCAGTATAAAGGATGGCTGGCTGTCTGATGAAGCCTGCCGGATAGGATGGTCCAGATTTGGCGTTCCAGCTCTGCTGATGGGTCGAGAAAAGTTGAAGGCGGGTCGAGGAAGAGCGGAGGATTCAGACGCAACGGATGGAGATCGTTGGAAAGGTGGAAGGACGGAGGATGCCATGTGTGGTGGGAGAGCCGCGCTACCGGAAGACAGTTTCCTGGAAGGAAGAGACTGAACAGAGCTGGACATGTTGCCGAACGTATCCTCGTCTGGGGGTACAGGGGAGGACAAAGAGCTCAGCGATCGTCCAGCAAGGAGGCTTCTAGGTGGCGCCAATCCAACCTCGTCGAAGGAGCTCTGTTTGAACCTTCGAGGAGACGAGTTTGAAAATGCAGAAAATGAGGTTGATTGAGGGTAAGACGGAGTCGGGGATTTTGTTGATTGACGGTCCAGCTGAGAGAGGGTATCGCTCTGGAGTGGTGATGGCGAACGATCCTGACGGGCACCGAAGAAGTTGATATTGTCGTTTTGATGCCCCAGCTGTCTGCCTCGAGCAAACTCCGGGATGTCTGGTACGTCTGGCATGTCCTCTGGCATAGGAGGGACGCCCTCATCGGGGGTAGGTGGGATTCGACTCATCCGTGGGTGCATAGATCTCGGCCGTTCGATTTCGCCCGAGAAGGCGTCTTCCATCTCGGTGCGCAGCCCCAAACCGCCAAAGCCAGCAGAAAGCGGAGGGGCGGGAGATTCATCACGTTCAGATCCCGAATCCTGGGACATGGATCGAAAGTATTCAGAGCGGCCTTGGATGATTAAAGGACTCTCCGCCGTGAGAGGTGGTAATCGGCTGACGCGATTTCCATCCTTGTTGGTCGTCTCTTGGAGCTGTCGAGCCAGCAGCCGGCTTTGCAGGGCGAAGGCATCCAGGGGGGACAGCTCGGGGGGTGCTTCCCCGGCAACATGAAGACGTGGTGATCGAAGGGGTCGAGAAGAAGACGCAGCAGAGTTGGCGGAATGGGATCGCAAGTCCAACAAGGACGGGCGATTGGTTACGGATTCTTTCATGTTGCTTGAGGTCCAAATCCAGCCGGGTAATGTTGAATGATAGCAGCAAAGGCGCAAGCGCTGGGTGCTAAACGGGATAAATAAATAAGACAAGTAGGCTCCAAAACGGTATCATCAAAAGCTGGGTGGGACGGCACGATGCCAAAATAGCGATGGGGAGAGCAACTGGAACGACTGGCTGGTTGACTGGGCGCAAGAGATTCGGTGTTCGTCGTCGTCGTCGCTGCTATTGATATTCCTGTCGCCGCGCAATGAATGCGCTGGCGCAGCTAGAGTTGCAGGTCCAGGTGCAGATGGAGATGCAGGTGTCGTGGCAGTGCGGCGATGATGTTCGGATGACCAGAGGAGAAGCGTATCAAGGTGGAGGCGTCGGCGTCGGGCAACGGGTGGCACGATGGATCCGAGAGAAGCTAAAGACAGGGACAAAAGAGAGAAACACGAAGAAAAGGTGCCAAGGACGGACTGGGGTGAGTTGAAAGGGCGAATCGAAGACGGGTCGAGAAGCAGATGCGCGATATCAAAAGTCGCCGCAAGTCGCAGCAGGCCGTCGAGGTTGAGCGGCAAAGCGATGTGCAAAGTATGGATACGGAGCACAGAATACGGAGCCACGGAGTACCTGGGTGTTGCACTTGACAACGTGCGTCTGTCGTCACACGAGGGGCTGCAAAAGTCGCGGGGAAGAAGAGAAAAAGGAAGAAGAGAAGGGCGAAGAGAAGCGCAGGTTGAGAGAAGTGAAGAGAAGAAGAGAGGAGTGGCAATGGCCTCGCAGCAAACGAATGGCTCAGCGCACACGGTAGAAAGAAGCAGAAGCAGAAGCGAGAAGCAAGAAGCAAGAAGCAGAAGCAGAATGAGAAGCACGGCAATGAGAGCCTGCACAGAAACCTGTTGGCGGCAAGTTCAGCGCTTCTGCTTTGCCTGTCTCACCGATCAGATTGTGACGGAGAAAGGAGGAGGAATACAAGATGGTGGATGGATACGAGGCACTGTTGCAAAAGGAGGTTAGGAGGCCAGTGGCGCCCCGTAGCTGCGGCTGGCGGCCGGGTACTCTGTACTTGCGCGCGTGGCCAGATGGTGTGGGCAGGCCAGGTACTGGGCACGGCGCGAGCAAAGGGCACGACCTAACCAAAGGTGGTGGCTTGTCCTTTAGACTTCAAGGTACAAAAGGCTAATCTCATCTAATAACATTGATCCATAAAGTCAAGCAGCATACAGTACTGTACAAGCACCGGCGGAGATGCCTGTTTCTGTTGTGGACTTGTATGCACGGTATTATTTTATTTTCCGGCTCCAGGTCCAGGGACATTTGCTTACAATCGCGCGAACAAAGGTACTTTACTGTAACGAATGCAACGCTTATATCCACACAAAGGCTCAGCGAGCTGGGCACTACTAGGTAGGCACTACTCCAATGACAGCTTCGTAGATCATGCCAGACACTGTAGTAGATATTGTGATCTCGTATCTCGTGGATACAGTAGCTTAATAAACCACCAATACAGTATCAGAAAAAAAAACAAGTGAGGTGCGTCCGAGAATCTCCAAGACATGGATACCATAGCGGAACCACCCTGGCTCGTGTGGCTTAAAGGTAGGTTTAGTAGCACCCAAGGTAATCTCGGGCAATCTCCCCAGCATGTCGTGGCCCCTTCAGCGCATCAAACCCTCACATGGCCTGCAAGTCATCAGACTCCATGTCTTGTCTTGTCTCGCTACAGACGGCTCGTACGAGCACTCGCCATCAATGCCCTTGTAAAGTACAGCCGGGCAAGATATTATTAACCTCGCTACCTACGTACTACACCTAAGGTACTGCCTTACTGCTCGTAAAGGTGTAGTAGATACCTAGTACCTACAACTGAAAGTACTCATACCGTACCAGCAACATTGGATTGCAATTGATCGCAGTTCATTCGAGCTGCAGCGCACATGCATGCGCGCCCGTGCCCATGCCACCCTCCCGCGCACGGCCATGTATCTATACGCGCAAACACCGTCCGATCCGGCCACGGCCACAGGTACCGCTACAGAACCCCCGGAGCGCCGTGTACAGGTACTTGGTGGCTCGCAGGCTACTTCGGGCGAGTTCAGGGACCCTTGCCATATCATTGGGCGCACTGGCAACAGCCATCGTCTGGGGTGCATTGGGCTCAGCAAATTGAGAGCAGCGACGGGCCCTTTTTTTTCTGGGGACTGCGCCAGTGAACTCAAGTACCGGGTACTTTGGACGGAGCCATTCATTATTTTCAAACATTGGCCGGAGAGGCTAAACCGGCCAATCCTTATTTCCTGCATGCGAGCAAGATGGTGATTTGCTAATGGATTTGCCGTGTATACACACCACTTGGATTTTTTTTACGAGTAGTATTACTGCTAGATTTGTGACCTATCTTTACAGCTGGCCTATTACTGCCCTATGATTCATTATACAGCGTCCAGCAGTAACAGCGGATAGATTACGCAACTCAGCTGCGCCGTCTTCGTGGCAAACCGATATGCCTGCATGCGCGGTCTCGTGTACAGGCTATAAATACACAATTCCAAAGTTCTATGCTCCACACTATTTTTTTTTTTTACATGTCCATAGGTAATTACGCCTGGCAACCGAGTCAGTCCATATGCCAGCAAGGGGTGCAGAGGAAAAGTCCATTGAGCAGACGCTTAAGCTGGAAATAAGCTGGCCCTGTTACTATAATTGAAATTGGCCAGCCTGCCACTAACACCCGAGGAGTGCGCCATTCCGTTAGAACCGTGTACGAAGATGTCATGCAGTTTCCCTTCCTCCACACGTGTGCGAGTACGTGTATTACTCGTTACGCAGCTCCTGGCCCTTGCTTCTGCTGCACATGCACCACCTGCTCTAGCAGCGATATATTAATATCGTTTCCGTGAGGTGAGGTCGGCAGTGCATGCACGATGAGGTCAATTCTGCGACCTGACGCAAGGGGGTTCCATATCTTCATCTCTTTCAATTCCAACGGAGCGCCGACACGCAGCATATGAATTCCAACTGGGTCGCCCGATCAACCGAGTGTGGCCTAAATAAAGAAGAGGAACAAGAAGAAGAGACGGAGAAAAAAAGAGCGGGTTCCGTACATGTGCATTGGCACATGAGCATGTATGTACATAGATGGAGCAGCAGGTTGGCTCAGACTCCGCCACGGCAACGAGTGAAACAGCGGTGGTGCAAATGCCAAAACACAGGGCGCCGCATATGATTCTGAGACGAATGCAGGGCAAAGGTGATGCCAATGCCTTCCTTAGCGCTATGGAGTGCTGCTAATAACAGGTACAGCTCGTAAGACAGCCATTGAGCCCCCAGCTTCCTACATGTACTTAGCAATGGGCATTTACTGCAGTAAGCTGTCATGTCCATCTCTACTAATGGTCACGAGGCCACAGCCGGGTCCCGAGAGTTGTTGGCGCTATGATGTACTTGTACTGCCTCATCTCTTAGATTGGCGGAAGAGCCCGCCCTGGATCTATTTATATCAATATTCCATACTAAGGCCGGCTGATGATAGCTGTATTTGCGGTCGGGTAGTTGCCGTCTATCGATAGTGCTGTACATGGAGGTTTGTCAGCTTCAGAACTAAGGTAGTAGCTCACCGAAAATATTGCTATATTTGCATCTTGCAAGGAACAGCTCTGCATTCGACAAAATTGTCTGAATATATCCCTCATTCATGCTCAAAGCTGTAACAATCTATACAAGGTGCTATATACTAGGAATATCAAACATCAAAACACTCAACAGGTCGATGGTGGAGTCATAAACAGTCGAAAGTGCTCATCACTGTCGTTCAAGTCCAAGATCCATCTATATACTGACAATGGGTCCTTTTCAGAAAAAAAGAGACGGGGGAAAAATACATATATATGCCAGCCAAAACGCCCTGGTCCATACGCCTCAAGAGTCCATGCAAAGCATTCTACAGAGGGACGTTTTTTTATTTGACCATACTCCTACTTACTTTTACATATCCTTAGATCGGAGCTTCTTGAGCCTGGAAGCTCCTTCGAACAATCCGCGATCAACAGCGGCGGCAACGGTCAAGGTGCCACCGACAATCGCGCAGAGACCAGACAGAAAGCCAAGGAATGTCTTAGCCCGCTCCTCACGGTTGATAACCTTCATGGGAGAAATATCCTAGACGCATTATCAGCTTACCAATTCTATATGTATATAGTGCACCATAAACACTTACGTATGAGAAAAAGACACCAGGAATACCATTCCTTGCGTGTAGTCTTTCCGGGTGGCCTTCCTGCGAGTCGTCGCCGCCCATAAGACTTCGCTTGTGGCTAGTGACAGAATACTGGTGTGTCTCGATGCTGCCGTCGTAGCCAGGCGTCCGCTTTTCCCAGCCCAGGGGAAGATAGGACGTGGGAACAATCTTGACAAAGTACATGTAGTTAAAGTTGGGATCCTTTGTCTCCTGATGGGTTGCATCTAGAGGGTTGAGGTGATGGTTGGTCCAAGTATTCTTACCACCCATCCGTTCAATGACAGTGTCGGGAAGCTGGGGTCCAAATCGGAGAGAGTGGATGATGTGGGTGAAGTCGTGCGGCTTGCCCTCGGGGAAGTCCCAGTAGGTTTTAAGATCATGGACATGCATGTTGCCATTGCTAAAGCTTCGGCCAGGAGCAAGGTGGAAGTTTCCAACAACCTTGTTGACCTGCAGCAAACCCTCAATTCGGCAGCCCTCTTCTCTTTGCTGGTCCAGCCGCTCAGCGTAGTGCTCTCTCTCACACTGCTCCACGCCCTCTCCCCTTCCAAAGGCCCATGACATCTGCGCATAAGCTTCTCGAACTTCGTCACAGGTGTTACAGCAGCCAGGCTTTTCGGCGTTAGCGGGAGCAGTTGCTCCGTAGCATCCACCGCAGTAGTCAGGAGCCAAGTGCTCGGCCTTTTCATGCAGCTGGGTAAGCGTGTTGCTCTCAATCTCGCCGCCGCCCTGCGCCGCGGGCCGCAGACGAATCTTGGAGATTCCGTGGGCGACGCCGTGCTGCTGCTCGCCAGAAACATCCATGACGTCCAGCGTCAGCAGTTCGCATGGCATATTGGGGAAGGTCATGTTGAGATGGATATCCATTCGTTCGCCTTCATGATCAGATCACATTAGCCAAACCATGCGCAGGGCACAGATGATAGGCGACTTGACATACCTCTGCCCTTATCCACGACAAGCTCCGGGTGCACCACGATGCGCCGATAATCGGTCCATTCTCCCCACGAGAGAAAGAAGACGACCAGCAGCGACACAATTGTGACGATTCCTCCGCTTGTCGTCCGGATGCGCGCCTCGTCCACCGTCTTTGTAAAGGCATCGAGCCTTGTGAATCGCGACTTAGGAGCCATGGTCAAGTTGGCCAACGAGATGCAGCAGCACTATTCCGTCAAAGCGCAGTCTCGTGGGAGAGCTCGCAGAAACAGAAGGCAAACAAATCAATCTCTCGTCAATTGCATCGACGGCCAGCAACCATGGACGAGGATGGCGCAAGAGCGGCTGACAAGAGCTGGAGGTTGTCAATGTCTTGAGGCCACCTGTCGCAACACCTGAAGCTGACTACTGGTTGTTCAATCCTAGCACAAAACTAACCCCGGGCTCAGGCGCCTAGACTCGCCGCAAGGCCCTGAACTAATGCGGGCTGCAGCGGCCAGTGGGGACCGCCGGCGAATCCTCGGCTGCTGGCCCGTTGCCTATTCCGGCCGCCACAGTGAATGGCCGTATCAAGCGGCTTGGGCTTTCTTGCAGAGCAAAACGCGAAGCTCCCAGCTTCTCGCCATCTCAACATTTTTCTTTTCGTCCGCCAACCACAGATACCCATTTGCACCTCCCTTCGACATTGTCGCGCAGTCGTATTCGGCAATCGAAAGCTTCACACGCTGAAATTCTCATTTTCAAGAAGAAAAAAAAAAAAAGCAAGAAAGCAAGCAGAGAAGCGAGAAGCATTAGTTATCCGGAGCCGCACATAATCTTCAAGACGCTACAGACAAGCCTCGTCGAACCCTTCCCCAAATTCTCAAATCCCCCAAAATGTCGAGTAGGCCTCCTTCAAGGGTCGTGTTTGTGGGAAACATTCCATATGGTCAGTTGCAGATGGGTCAATGGGTTTGGCTAATGCGGCCATCCGAACAAAGCATGTGACTGACAACAAGCTTCAACTCCAGGCCTCTCCGAGGAGCAGATCACCGACATCTTCAGCAGCGCCGGCAAGGTAGAGCGCTTCCGCCTCGTCTACGATTCGGAAACCGGACGGCCAAAGGGATTTGGCTTTGCAGACTATCCCGATACCGGTGCGATATGATCTCGTTAGGCTCTTTCAGCGACGTGCTAGCTAACCATACTCTCTCGCAGACTCGGCTTCCTCAGCTGTCCGCAACCTCAACGAATATGAAATCATGGGCCGAAAGCTTCGAGTCGACTTCTCCAATGAGCAAAAGAGCGGCGATGATGATGGCCAAGTATGTTACGAAACTCTATAGATTCCATCCTTTCGCTAACCCCAGCAGACGCCTGGACAGAACCCGGGTGCCTCGAACGGAGGCGCTGCTTCAAGCTATAGCTCTCAATCCGTACCCCTTCCTCCGCTTCCAGCCGGAAAGGAGATACCGCCAGGATTGACATGCACCGATGCCATTTCAAGGACCCTCAATACCTTGCCGCCGCCCCAATTGCTGGACATCTTGAGCCAGATGAAGACGCTGGCTACGTCGGAACCTCAACGGGCAACAGAACTACTTCAACAGGCTCCTCAGCTGGCTTATGCTGTCTTCCAATCTCTCCTTCTGATGGGACTCGTGTCTCCCGAATCCATCCAGTCCGTCGTTGATCCGAACGCCCCGCCTCCGACCCAACTCCCAACTGCCAATTACCCTTCGGCAGGATACCCCGGCGCTCCTGTCGCGAATCACACGCCCCCCGTTACGGCAATGCCTTATGCGCCTCCCCCAGCGAATAACTCAGCTTATGCTCCTCCGGCAGCGGCACCTGCGGCAGCCCCTACTGCTATGGGACAAGATCCTGATGCTCTGATGCGAGCGGTCATGGAACTTCCCCAAGCGCAGATTGACATGCTCCCAGAGGCAGATAGACAGCAGATTATGGCCCTCAGAGCCACATTTGCAGGTCAACGCCGGTAATTTCGTCGAACGCAGAGCCTTGAGAAAGCCTACATTTAGCATGGCAGACAGCAGTATCTATAGGCCGAATTAAACATAGCTAGTTCCTCAAGCAGAATCTTTGAGGGCGATTCAGGCATATGCCAAGTTATTGCACTTGATAATCACTAACGAACTACTCTCCCACGACTTAGCGCCGGCGCACGCTCTAGAGGGAGATGCGCAATGTGCGTCGATGTTCTCGGGGGTTTGGAGTATTGATTAAATATTAAAGAAGCATAAGAACATAGGGGAGTGAAGAAGGAAGATATACAATTGCCATTTGCGTCGGGTGCTCGCAATATTGGCTTCACATGCAGAAGAAGCAAAAGGTTTTTTTTTTTTTGAACTGAGAAACTACGCAGAATGCTCTGCTGCAATTTAGCCAGCAAAAGTATTGGGATAAAGGCGTCTCGAGGTGTACCAATGTATGGGTATTCGGAACTGAAGAGGAGATGGAGATGGAGGACACTCAGTGGTGTGCCATCAATTGAATCAAATAAAACAACCTAACCAATAATTACTACTCTGGCAATTTTCTTAGATGATTTTTGTTCGTGAGTTTATAATGCAAGCAGCACTCTCTTCGTTCGTGTGAAGAGCAGCTTGCCTGGGTGAGATCCCATCTTGCTACCCTGGACTATCCAATCCTGAATAATATTTGAGCTGCATTATGGTTTCAAAAAGCATGATTGGTTTAAAAATAAAATTGATAATGGAAATGAAAAATAAATAGAAACAGAGCATTTATTGCACCGCCAGTAGAGTAAAATGGGCTCCGGCATAGAATTGTGCATTGGGTGGTATCCAATCATGGGAGATATAGTACAGTGGATATCGCAGCTTCTGAACACTCACAGACGGAGGATGAAACAGCAAAAATGGAATGATTGGTTAGAAAAATAATTCACCTCTATATAGGAACCAATACGAAGTGTAACTAAAATAATGCTGGTATAAGATATGCTAAAGCCTTGATTTTACTGATATAAGCAGGCGGTCCGCTGTGCGCGGGCGCTGATGACTCCCCCTCCCATATCCTGTTCTATGTGGTGATATGCCATTCATTCTGATCCAACAGGATGTCAGTTCAACAAAAATACTAAAGAAAAATGCACGCTTGCAACGCCTAACCCATTCGCTTTTTGACACATGTCAAACGATATTATATACTCGCTTTGCGATCCAATAACACGCCAAGCCGAAGAAGAGAAGACCTGCCGTGATACACACAAACCAGGTGAGATCGCCCTCGATGTCTTGCCCCGGTACCCAGACGTTCATTCCCCACAGACCGGTGATGATGTTCATGGGCAGGACAATGGTACCCAGGACAGTGAGCTTGCCGAGCACGTCGGCGGTCTGCTCTTGTCGTTCGTTCATCCGGATATTGATTTGCGCCAGATAGTTGCCGTGAGATCGAGCCAATATTCTGGAAAAAGAAACGTTAGCTGGCTAGACGAATGGCGAAGATATCAAATAGGGGGGGCTGGGTGTTGGGGACTACGTACTTCTCATAGTGACTAAGGTTGGAAGTCATAGTCACAATGTGATCTTGAATGTCGCCAAGATACAGGCCAATCTCTGATCTGGGGGCAACCTCCCACCTCTCGTTGCAGCGCTTTGCGAATCCCTTGATAACGTCCGCCTTGTTACCTAGTAACCGGTATAGACTCATGACTCGTTTTCGGCAGTCTCCAACACGTCGAAGCATGTCGCCACTTGAGTCTACAATTGTTGTAGAGTCGTCGTGCTTGCTAGATTTTTCATCTTGCAATCGCTTATCTTCAGACGTATGGAGCTGCAGAATGGAGTCGTCGATTTCATCAACTTCGTCCTCAATGTTCTGAATGAGGGGTTGAAAAACGTCGGTAATATCGTCAATGATGGCATATGAGATCCAATCGGAAGAGAGGATCAAGTAGTCCCTCAGCTGTCGTATTCGTCGGCGAACGTTGGCGGGATGTGGCGTGACGGAAAAGTGAAAACTCAGGACTCCCTCCCGGAAGACAATTACATACATGTTGACAGGTTCCAGGAAGTTTTCGCTGTTGATGTCTTGGTCAAATGTGCGGTAGTTGACAAAGTAATAATGACGGAACAGCTCAACCTTTTCACGAGCTTCTTGCAGCATGACGTCTTCCGCCGTTAAGGGATGGATTCCAAATGTCTTTGCAAGAACCTTCATCTCGTCTTCCGTTGGGCACAGTACATCGAGCCACCACACCGGCCTCTCCCCATATCGAACTGGCTTCTCTGCTATTTTTGGTATGTCTGTGTGGTTATCTTTTGGTGCTGCAAGATTCTCAGGCGACTTGTTCCCGCCACGAATTGAGTCGGATCTCGAGCTGGTATTTGTTTCATCTCTCACAGGCGGTGACATGAAGCCCTCCCTTCTAGTGTCAAGGGAAGGCTGCCGCGTTGGGGGCTTTGTATCCGCCTCAAGCTCTGCCGAGTATCGAGGTTTGGATGGCTGCGATAGGATATCCTCAGAGTCGCTCTCTTCATCCGAGGAGAGGACGCGGGGTTCGGGAATGAAGAGCCCTTGGAAATCGCTTCCCTGCTGAACAAGCTCTGAAATCGTCTGACTGTGAATCGTGCTCTGGAATTCTTCGTTGAAATAGGTAAATCTATAGGGCGCCTCTTCGTCGGTTTGGAACCAGCCCTTGCGCACCGGGCGCAGACGGCCGTTGATGAGTTGAGGCTCCGTAATCGTCTTAACTCGTCGCTCATCGCTGCGGTCCTCCTTCTCGTATCGCATCCAGTCTTCCAGAACAGACAGATCTGGCCATCGGCCACGACGGCGGCGCGTTCTATACCGTCTCTCGTATCGAGAAGCGGTCTCATCGTCGCCAATATCAGACATGCCGGGTCCAGGGAAGCAAACGTCGCCGGAAGGTTCTGGCGCCAGCCTTCTTTCGTTGTCACCATGATCCTCCTCGACGTCGAAAAGCGCCTCATCACCGCTTCCCATGGTGAGTTCATCTCGTATCATGACATCGCCAAAGTTCAAATCCATGCCATCGGACGGACCAAAGGTAGGAGAGCCGGGGATAGACGGCGGGTGATTGACATCGTACTTGTCCTTTGTGCTGAAGGCGGTCCTCAGCCTCGCCCTAGAAGACGCACTGGATGCCCTCCGACTTCGATTTCGGCCCAGTCGCGCATCGCTTGTGCCGTAGCTGGGGATGCCACCCTGCGATCCCGGGCGCCGTGCCGGCTCAGTAAGTAGCGGCGAAGACTCATCCCAACGGCCAGAAGGGCTTTCGTCGCCGCTCTGGGCCGTCTGCATGGACCGGAGGCGGGTGCTGCTGATGGACGAGAAGGGATTCTGAAAGGAGCCGGGCCCAGCTATCGTCGACGACCGGCGCACACGCATGGGTTGCTGTTCTCTGCAGGAAGAGACAAGAGGTTACAAGTCAAGCCAGCCAAGAAAGGGGGATGGGCATGTAGCTCGTGATCACGAGGTCTTACCTGTGATCCAGTAGCGCTTCGCTGTCGATGCTCGTGCCGCTGAGGCTGGCCTGCGCCACCTGGTAGAATCCATTTCCCGACGACTCGCCCATCTCATGGTCGTGCAGCATGGCAAAGCTCTTGCGTCTGGTCCGCTTCTTCTTGCCGCCGCGATGGCCCTTTCTCTTCTTCGGCGGCCGCTGCGGCGGCGATGGTTCAGCGAGAGCTGACGATGCAGCTGCTGAGGGCCCGGGGCCCAGGGGCGTGAAGCGATTGCTGCTCGACATCTTGGGCAGCTTCTTCAGGGCATGCAAGGCACCATGATCCGCTGCGTAGCCTGCGCGAGGGTCTGACGACAGCAGTAATGATAGCAATAGTAGATTGATGGCATGAATAGGGGGCTACAAGTCGTCAAACTGCTGTGTCCAGGGTTGTTGTGCCCTGGCGAGGAATCGTTGATGAGTAGACAAGCACATAGTGATGTCAGCACAGCTGAGCCCTGCCTGACTTTTTACGGGCACCTCAGTTAATTAGCGGCTGGGGAGCTTAGCGGGGAACTCCGTTAGCGCTTGGGCACACAATTGTGCACGTTTGTGTTTGCCTGCTGGAGGTACTCGTACATACTTGGCCCCAGATAAGGTTTTGAGCTCAGCAAGGAATGGAGTCTCTTTGTCTTTTTGTTTCTCCGCTCGGCGATCCGTGGATCCCCTTGCTGTGTCATCTGTACGAGTTACGGTACTTGCAATAATAGGCTGCATATAAACACTGAACACAACGTTCTATACGACTAAGTAAATCTTGAATACTGAAAGGCCCCTTTCCCTTTTTCCAATACCGGGCCAATGATTAATCTCCGATGCTAGTATGCACATGTCAAGTGACAGATGTGCTGGTTCAAACGCACGCACTACTTCACATCACCCCTGGTCTCCTTATGCAGCCGCCACACCCTTTGCTGGCCCTCCAAAGTCCCACAGCTTCACCAAAAGGCTGTCTGGATTGGTGGCAGGCTCGTCTTGGGGCAAGAAGACCCTCTTAGGGATCTGGAATTCCACCACCGGGGCTTTCTTAATATCCTTTGCCATCTCTGCGTCCAGCAACTGTGGAATATGTTAGTGCATGTGTCACCCACCGACTGATGGAAGCATAACCGGATTGTACTTACACTGGCATATGAGTGGTCGAGAAAGTCTTCCATGTTGTATGACTGCTTGGTGAACTGCTCAGAGATGATCTTGGCAATCGTCGCAACGTTGGGGTGATAGTGTGACTGCAGCTGGACAATCTCCCACAGGCAGCTGTCGATGGCGCCGGTGTCCATAGGATCCGCCTCTGTGGGGTTGAATGGATCATCTGCGCCATTGTTCTGAATGTGCTTCTTCAGCTCCGGATCCTGAACATGTCGATGAATCATGAATGTGCACGTCGGGTGGCGCCTCAGGAGGTTGTACATCCAAGGAATAACCGTCGCGATGGCGCTTGGTGGGGCGTTTAATGAGAGGCGTGAAAGTCTCTTGATGAAGCTGGCAACCAGAGCAGCAGGAAGATGCGTTGAGCCAAGGAAAGTATCCAAGAGGCGGAAGAAGCGTGAGCGGTGCTTGGAGTGTAGGATGTCTTTGTCGAGAAGAGAATAAAGCTTGGTATAGAATGACGGGTAGTCTAGGTTTCGCTCCTGGATGAGGTAGAAGACGCCGGACAGGGCCAGCAGAGACATGGAGCCTCCCGTGTTGTAACAGCTTGTCAGGAAGTCGGATAGAAGCTCTGGTTTTGTGAACCATGGGGCAATATTTGTGGATATGACACTGAGTATGCGTTTCCGCTCCTCTTTGGTCTGCACAATGCTCAGAATGGCTAGCCAAGCATCTTGTCCTTGCCGCTTGTGCTGGATAGCTGATCTTAAATTGTGAGACTTCTTCTTAGGGCGCGGAACAAAGAAATCTTCGAGCTCCTCAGCAGAATGGGGAACGCCGTCCAAAGCTGACAGCAATGCGTAGACTTGGTCAAATAAGTTTTCCGGAATGTCATCCTTGTCCAGTCGGCTTAGAATTGCCCTGCACACTGGTAAGCATCGTAATGTAGAAAATAAGTTTTTACCACTGGAGACACTTACTTTACTGATTTAAAGGTGTAGTATCGAATGTCGTCAAACTCTTCGACGTAGGTCTCGAGGAATGCCTTTCTCACATCCTCGTTATCTGAGTTGATCAAAACTGCAACAATGTTCTCCAGAAAAGCCTGTGGAAATGTGTATTCTTCCTTGTCGTAGAGATGCTCTCCCTCTGCCTTCAAAGTCCTCATGCAGAGAGTCAGCGCAGTCACAGCAAGGTCTTCATCCCCTAGCATGTTCTGCAGCAGCGTCTTGTACTGTGAAAACTGATCCTTCAGCCAGCCAACGACCACGGAATCCTTCTCCGACAAGCCCTTCTTCGCGATGAGGGAGCCTTGAGCAAGTAATCGCAAGAAAATTCGGCATAGAGTGACTGCCGCAAGCGTTGACTCGTCCTCTCCGTCCTCGTAGCGGCTGGCGATGCTTAGCAGAGTTGCAATGTCGTTGTAGTTTTTCTTGGACTCCAGGATGCCCTGTTCCATGAGGAGGATCTTTGCATTTGGGTCTTCGGCCTCCTCATTTGATGATCGCCGCCTCTTGGCGACTTTGGTGACTTTGTCTCCTGTAGAAGCTCTTTTGCGCTTCGCGCTGTCTTTAGAGCCTGCAGGCATGATGAGACGTGGAAGAAGAAAAGAAGACTCTGGATAGGCTGAATAGTCCAACAACGGTGTATGCGAGAAATTCAGACAACGAATCACTTTCTAAAACTGTGAGAAAACTGCCGTAATTAGCTTGGCCAGAGTTCTCTGTCAATCGTGCTCTTGATATGAGAGACACAAGAAATTCTTATCTCATGAAAAGATAATTTCAAGATTTCAAGGAAGCCTTGCCTTTTTGGGCCAATGAGCGGCGGACCCTTTCCGCGCCAAAGTTCCCGAAGCCGGCAGAAACTCGGCTACACCCCAATCGATTGCTCAACCACCAAAACTTGGCCGTCACGTGACGCAAACGTGTTACCGAACTAGCGCGATAAAACCTCAAACCTCACTCCCAGCTTCCGATCAACGACAAGGCCGAGATACCCCGTCCGAAACGTTCTCACAATGGCGTCCCGCTTGGTACGAAGCGCTGTCGGTATGTGTGGCAGAGACGGAAACTCGCAGGCGGCAGCTCAATTGGTGCGCCGAGGCTGACAATGAGAGCAATAAACACAGGCGCTCCCCTCCTCCGAACCTCCATCTCCCGATCAGCCCCGGCTATTTCTGCCGCCGCTGTGCGATACTCCAGCAACGTGCCCGCCGAGGAACCCAAGAAGAAGGCCCAGAGCATCATCGACGCCCTGCCTGGCAGCAGCCTCGTCAGCAAGACTGCCTTCCTCAGCGGTGCCGCCGGTCTCAGCGTCTATGCCCTCAGCAATGAGTACTACGTCATGAACGAGGAGACCGTTGTGGCCGTTTGCTTGCTGGCTGTGTGGACTGGTCTGCTCAAGTACGGAGGCCCTGCCTACAAGGAGTGGGCCGAGGCTCAGAACGAGAAGATCAAGAACATCCTCAACAGCGCCCGCGCTGACCACACCGAGGCTGTCAAGACCCGCATTGAGGATGTCAAGCAGATGAGCGGCGTTGTCGACATCACCAAGGCCCTCTTTGAGGTCTCCAAGGTAAATTGCGATTGAAACGAGTCTGGTGAAGAGCCCATGTTATGCGACCAAGATATTGATGTCTCTTCTCGTTGTTTAGGAGACTGCCAAGCTTGAGGCTCAGGCTTTCGAGCTCGAGCAGCAGACCGCCCTGGCTGCCGAGGCCAAGACCGTCCTCGACTCTTGGGTCCGCTACGAGGGCCAGGTCAAGCAGCGCCAGCAGAAGGAGCTCGCTGCCTCCGTCATCGCCAAGGTCCAGAAGGAGCTCGAGAACCCCAAGGTCCTGCAGCAGATTCTGCAGCAGAGCGTAGCCGATGTGGAGAGTACGTCAACACCTACTACCCGCTATTCATGTTTCTTTCTTTATTATGGAGTTGCTAACATTCTAATTTGCACAGAGATTGTTTCTGGCAAGGCCCAATAGATGACGAAAACTACTAGAGTCTAGATTCAAGGTCCCCGCAAACTTTCCTTTGTCACGAAGCAAACCCCCCTGTGCATATACTCGCACCTGTGCATTAGCAAATCAATCAAGACACTAGTCGATATATATTTCGTCACCAAGATGATTTTGACTGAGATGATGAGTGCATGCTGTCCTAGTTGTTAGGCGATAGAGAAGGAGGGGGGAATTGCGGGTGTAATTATATATACTCTGTATTTTTTTCACGCTTGGGAGAATAGGGGTTGGCAGTCCTGAGAAAATAAAAAAAAGCTTTCCACACATGCATAGAATTACCTCAATGACTGAACCAAGTGCTGCGTTGTATTCGTCTGGATGAAGTTTGTGAAAAAGTCTTGAATTTCATGTTATTCAAATTGATACTACTAACCCTAGTATTCATATACCTACCTATCTACCTACTAACCCAGGTGCCCTACCTACCCAGCCCAACAACATATACCCAACCCAAGAGTATAAAACCATGTGCACATTATAAACATAAGTTGGCAATATATAATAAATACAGCGGTTGGACAAACTCTTTCATCCTACCCGAAAGTACCAGTACTCGTGAAACAAGTGAATCCACCAAAATAAAACACCATCCTCATTAGTAAATCGGCCTCGGCTCAGTCCACTTCTTGCCCTCTACTGCTGTAGCTGGCTTCGATTCAGGTGAATCAGCAACCAGATCTCGCGTCCACCGGCCGCTCATCCGCCTTCTCCGGGCTCCCTCGCCCCTAATAGGACCGATCCACTCCCAGGCTCGGCCAACCTCGCCACTTCGGCCCTCTCTTTGGCCTGTGCGAACGTTGCTGTTCTGCTCAACGACCTTCCTCACCCTCTGCCAGATCCTCTCGCGCTCGGCTACTTTATGGACAGAGCGAAGCACGTCGTCTCTCAAGTTGGGCAAAAACAACCAGGAATCATCCAAATCTTCCTCGCCCAGCTCCTTCTGGTTGGCCAGTCTTTCCAGGACGAGGTCAACGAGAGCCGGGACCTGCGCCGAATCCACCAAGTGTTGGCGGTATCGAGCTCGCAGGTAGAAGATGGCCAGCACAACGGACATTAAAAATCCAATTGGGAGTCGATATCTTGCCAGTCCGAGGCGGACGGAGCGCTTGAGCGCACAGGTGATCGGAAGGCGAGCGAGAGAGCTGGACGATAGCTTGCGGATTGAAACATCGGGGGAACCGGGCGATCTGTGGGATCAGGAGCGGATCTGATTAGCTGTTGTGTCAGAAAAAAAAGAGATTGAAATTTGGGGGAATGAATGGGGGAGTTGAAGTCGCAGCTTCAGGGGCCCCCATTGAGAAAAGGAAGGATTTAAAAACTTACGTGGTAGTTGCAATCTCCACAATCACCTCTTCGCGAGTGGTAATTTCACCAATGGCAGCAACCCAGAGATCTTCAAACTCATCGCTGTTCAGCCTCTTGTTGCGTTTCCTGCTCACGGTTGACTTGAGCTCCTCCTCGGCGATGGCAGGGGAGTCGACCTTGGCGCCGGACTCATCAACCAATTCACCGCATTCGTACTTGGCGCGGCGTTGCCTTAATTCTTCAATGGCCCTGTCAGCAACTGCTTGGACTCGGCGTGCCTTTTCTCCGTCCGGCTCACAGGTCGGGGGAAATGGGACAAGGCCACCAAAAGACAGGGGGTGAGGCTTGAGAACAAAGTCGCTGTGGCAGCGAACAGAAAAGTCCTCGTAGCAGTAAGCATGTGAAGGGCACGGCTCGCACTGAGGCTCCACGAATGGGATGAGGGCGTCAGGCACTGGAATGTCATCGGGGATGATTTGTGTTGCAGGCCGGCCAAGTCCGCAGTAGCCAACGGCAATCTTTTCCTGTCGATACCAGGCCAAATAGACGCCGAGCAGAGAGATGAACAGCACAAAAAATGGCGTCCTGAGGTTTGTCCGGCGGGCAGGCTTTGACTGTCTCCTAGGAACAATTGTGGCCTCTCCCCTCCTGGCTGCCTCCTCTAGCTCCAGCTGCGCATCGGGAGTGAATTCTTCCCCGGCGTCCACTGAGAAATCTGGTGACTGATGTCTCACCTTACGAGCAGACAGTTCAGATGGTCGCACAGCAGCGGACGGCCGTTCAATGGACAGAGGCTCGATGAACTCTTCTGGGCGCCGTCGGATCAACTTTTCGCTCCTAGCGATTTCGTCGCCCAGTCGTCTCCGGCTTGGCGTCCTGAATGCGGGAGAGCCCCTCTGGAACGGATTATCGTCGGTAAAGACGCTTTCTTCTTCCTCGTATGGAGCGGCAGATCGAGGTGCAGCACTTTGGGGCGCATTGAAGTAGGGAGTGACGTAGGGAGTACTCTTCTCGGTGAATGGAGTAGCGGTAGTAGTGTACGGAGTGTTCGCGTTGGGGGTAGGCGCATAGTGAGACGCAATGGGCGTCTCTTCCTCCACCTCGGGCTCGTCCTTGATTTTTGGCGTTGCGGCTCTCCGGGAACCAGAGCGGCGCGTTGCTTTGGGCGCTTCGTGCTGCGGCGCCTCTGCCTCATCCTCATCGTAGTGAGATGATGACTGGCGACTCATGGATCGGCTGGCGGATCGCGAGGCTCGCTTCGTCTGGCTCTTAAGCGGCGTCGGTGCTGCCTCGTTCTCCTCCCTCTTGATCCTGCTCGAAGCCTTTCGAGGCGACGCCGATCGACGCGGCTTAGCCACTGGCGTTGGCTGTTCCAACTCATAGTCGTCCCATTTGCCGTTGTCCTCGGGGCTGCCAGCATTGACGATGCCCATGCTTGACCGCTTCGCGCGAGCGCGTTGAGCGCGCAGCTTCGGGACTTGCGGCAGGATATATTGCTCGACGAGCTCGATCAGCTGAGGCTTTTTGGCAGTGGCAGGATACTCGACGTTGTGCGTAACAAGAATCGAGCGCAGTCGCGGCACGGTGACGCTGCGCGGGTCGAAGCCGTCTTGGAGATAGTCGTCTGCGTCCGCCATGGTTGCAGATCCTCCTCTCCCAACAGGTTGGCAATTGGATTTTTATTTTTATTTCCTTGCAAATGCAAAGAGCAGGCAGTATCTCTGTCCCGTACAGAAAGGGAAAAAACAAGTATTCACTTTGGTGAAGAACCAAAAATAAGAGAGAATGCAAGTGCAGGAATGCGACGCAATTTCGCCCGTTTGTCTCGGAACTTGACAGCTAGCGAATAAAATAAAAACCGCCACAGCGATCAAAACAAGCGGCAGGGCCCCCAATAAAGGCCGGGGTGTCTCCAAATGTGAAACTAGCTTCCGGTCTCACCCCCTAGTTCGAGAAATGAAAGGTGAAGCTTTGGATTTGATGTTCCGCGACGAGCCGCGATGGCCAACGACTTGTCTGGATGGACGATTGACGCTTGACGATTGTTTGTAAGGAATAAAATTCTGCTGGTCTACTCGCTGGCAGTCGAAGTCTACCTATGTGAATTCCTCTGAGGCTGTAGTAGCGCCGTTGTCTGTGGCAACCCCTGGAGCCTGGAGCCTGGAAAAGAAAAAAAAAAATAAGCCGGGCAGTTCCACAGCAGCCAATTTTGCTGGGTCAAGGCAGATGCCACATGGCTTGGGTCGGCTATCTGCTCAACTGCTACTTGCATCTTGCAGTGGCGCGTGCACAGCCACACTGGGTGCGCCACACCCCGCCACAGCTCCGTCATGCCATGAGCGACGGAAATGCAGCTTCGCGTATGATCGAGATGCCAAACTGTCGCATCTGCCATTGAAGGCTCGACTTTGACGCAGCGTCTTTGCAATGGCGTCGAACAAGGTCATTATGGCGAGCCCTCGCTTTATTTGCCGCAGCTGCTCTCGCCAGGCGCGCGGTTCTGCCTCTTATCGACGGTCTTATGCGACAGCTTCTTCCCAGGACATCTACGATGTGGTTTGCATCGGAGGTGGTCCTGCTGGACTGAGTCTCCTCACTGCGCTGCGTAAGAAAAGACGGTATATCATTTAAGGACGAGCACTAATGGCTTTTGATACTATAGGCGCCAATCCCACCACATCTCGCCTCCGCGTCGCCTTGGTAGAAGCTCAGGACCTCTCCAAGACAGCTTCCCTCTCTCTACCGCCGACCCAATTCTCCAACCGATGCAGCTCCCTCACACCTACAACAGCCCAGTATCTAAACACTATCGGGGTGTGGCCGCATATGAAGCGCAGTCGCATCCAAGAGTTTCACGAGATGCAGGTCTGGGACGGCGTGACGGATGCCCGCATAGAGTTTGATTATCAGTTCGGCTCCTCCGTCAGTCAAGGAAACGTTATTGCTTATATGGTTGAGAATATAAATATCACATCTGGTCTTTTGAAGAGACTAAAGGAACTCGGCGGGGTGGATGTTTTCGATAGCTCAAGAGTTGAAAAAATTACGTTTGGAGAGGAAACCGAGGACCTGGATCTGACAGAATGGCCTGTTGTGCACTTGCAAGGCGGCAAGTCTCTGGCAGCTCGACTCCTTGTTGGAGCTGACGGCGCCAACAGCCCTGTGCGATCATTCGCACGTATTGAAAGCCGGGGTTGGGACTATGACCGGCACGGGCTTGTCGCAACGCTGGAGCTGGAGGGCGATGGATGGGGTGGCGAGTATCGGAAAACCGCATATCAGCGATTTCTTCCAACTGGACCTGTTGCCATGCTTCCATTGCCTGGAAACTACGCAACTCTGGTCTGGTCAACCACGCCTGCAAATGCCGCGCTGCTGAAAAAGCTGTCTACCAAGGATTTTATTGCGCTGGTCAACTCTGCTTTTCGACTTAGCCCCGTTGACCTGGCTTATATGCACACTCAGGCTACCGGACAGGAGGATGAGCTTGTTTGGAGGCTTCAGCATACGAATTTCGACCCTGAGGCCATCCCGCAGCTTGTTGTTGGCGTTCAAGAGGGCAGCGTCGCATCGTTCCCCCTGAAATTCCGACATGCAGACTCTTACATCAGTGAGCGTATCGCTCTTGTCGGTGACGCGGCGCATAGCGTCCATCCGCTTGCCGGACAGGGCCTGAATCAAGGACAGGGCGATATCCAGAGCCTGGTCAAGACCATCGAGTACGCTGTATCTCATGGCCAAGATTTAGGAACGCAGATGGCTCTCGAGTCGTATAACAGCGAGAGATATGCTGCAAACCACGTGTTGATGGGGGTGTGTGATAAGCTTCACAAGCTGTACTCTGTGGGGAGCGGTCCCCTGATCCCCCTGAGGTCGCTGGGTTTGAAGGCCGCCAATGCCCTCGGGCCGCTCAAGAACTTTTTCATGGATCAGGCCTCTGGTCGGGGGCTGAGGGTTTGAAACAAGATTATGCTTTGCAGCTGTTGTATAGAATTAGGCTTCATCGCCAAATCCGCCTAGAAAAGCATGTCCCCTTTGAAAGTAAGGAAATAGCCCAATTGTATCAATACCACATCTCATAAATCGCTCATTCACATCATTGTAAGAATGTCTCAAGGGGCATCGCCAGATATGAACATGACAAAATTCTTGAGAGTATTTACGAAACTTCTCCCAGTCAGTTATGGCTACAGACAAAGAAAACGAAATTCTAATATTTTTGCCTTCCACCTCCTTAGTTTTACCTGTCAACCTCACCTGTACAAGCACATTAGTAACGGATTTCTCAATGAATTTGTTCGTTTCATATGGATGATACATACCAAACACAAGATCCATAGTACCGATTAAAGCGACCGCATCAGCCAACAAGTGACCCTTGGCGACGTGGTCAAAACCACCCAGGTGGGCAAAGCCAGGAGCACGGATGTGGCACCTGTATGGGCGCTCACTGCCGTCACTGACCAAGAAGACACCCATCTCGCCCTTGGGGGCCTCCATGACAGAGTAGGTCTCTCCAGGGGGCACGGCGTAGCCCTTGGTGTAGAGCAGGAAGTGGTGGATCAGAGCCTCCATGTTCTCCTTCATGGCAGCTCGGGGAGGAGGAGCAATCTTGTAGTCCTCGACACGGACAGGGCCGGCAGGCATCTGGTTCAGGCACTGGTGGATGATGCGCAGGGATTGTCTGAACTCCTCCATTCTGCACAGGTATCGGTCGTAGCAGTCGCCGTTGGTGCCAACGGGGACGTCGAACTCGACCTTGTCGTAGGCGTCATAGGGCTGGTTCTTGCGAATATCATAAGGAATGCCAGAGCCGCGGAGCATGACACCAGTGAAGGACAAGTTCAAAGCGTCAGCGGCAGAGACGACACCAACACCCCTCAGACGCTCAATCCAGATACGGTTATCAGTAAGCATCTCCTCAGTCTCGTCGATACGGTCTCCGAACTGGGTAGCCCACTGGTAGATGTCATCCAGCAGTCCAATGGGGATATCCTGGTGAACACCTCCGGGACGAACGTAGGCGGCGTGGAAACGAGCACCAGAGACACGCTCATAGAATTCCTATCCAACTGTATTAGCCACACAAAATCGTCTTCATCCTATGATTTCTTCAATCTGCTTTGGAGTCGCATACCATGAGCTTCTCACGCTCCTCGAAACCCCACAAGAAAGGCGTCAGCGCACCAACGTCCATGGCGTGTGACAGGACGGACATCAGGTGGTTCAGGATACGGGTAATCTCGGCAAACAGAGTCCGAATGTACTTGGCACGGTCGGGGATCTCAATGTTGAGGAGCTTCTCAACGGCAAGAGCAAAGCATTGCTCGTTGGTCATCATGGAGACGTAGTCCAAACGATCAAAGTAGGGCAGAGCCTGGAGATACGTCTTGTACTCAATCAACTTTTCGGTTCCTCGATGCAGCAGACCGACGTGGGGATCGGCTCGGACGATTTCTTCACCGGTAAGCTCGAGAATCAACCGCAACACACCGTGGGCGGCAGGGTGCTGGGGTCCGAAGTTGACAGTGTAGTGTCTGACTTTGCGATCCTCGACGCTGTTGTCGCGCGGCTTTTTGTCGGTGGTGGTCGTGGGCTCGGGCCTGGAGGGGAAGCCGTACACGTCGCCGGTCTGTTTGAAGTGCTCGTCGGTGGGAATCAGCCGCGTGCCAACATGCTCGGGCGACGCATATTTGCGGAACGCAGTTGATGAGAAGGGTCGAGTGGCAAGAGACGTCGCAGGTCGCAGGCATAGTCGCCTGGCACTCTGGCCAATGAGTCTGTGGAGGACGGCCATTGCGGAGGAGCGAGGCCCTGTCGGAAGAGCTGGAGATTAGGGACTAGGGACCAGGGAGGTGAAGGAAGTCAATCCCCAGGAGAGCCTCTGCTAGCCCGAGATCAATGGCTGATTAGACGGGTGATGCTCGCCTTGGAGTTGGTGATTTGAGAATCGGGGAAGCTTGCAGTTCCGTGATGGTGGGGCGCGGGATATCATTTTTGCGCCGCAGCTCGGGGCCAATCAGCGGGCTGCAATTGGCAAATGGGCAAATTGGTTGAATCATAGATCATTGACCTTAGTAGTAAAGATGGTGATGATTAAACCGCATTTTAGAGGAGATTGATGCGCTTACTTTTTATTTATTTCGGTTTATTTTTGCCTGCACAGATTAATTGCTATAAACACAGAGGGTAATCTATATATTTTGGCATGAAAAGAAGCATCGTCTGAATTCAACTGGATAGAACGGGGTAGTAATAGTAGTGTATATTAGTAGTTAGTAGGTATCTCGCCACGTATGACTTGGAACCCCCCGTCTCTCAAACTCTCCCCAACCAATTATTCGCAAAACAGTTGTATCATAATATAGAAACCATCTCCCAACATCTATTTCAAGTCATCTCTCAACAAGCCAAAACGAACCTCGTCCATAATCTTCCCATTCTTCTCAACAGCCCCTCTTCCCCTCCCCTCCAGCACGAAGCCGCACTTCTGCAACAGCTTTTGGCTCGCCACATTGCTCTCATACGCCTGCGCTTGTAGACGATTTAGTGTTGGCCATGTTTCAAAGGCCCATCTCGCGAATGCGCCGAGCGCCTCAGTCCCGTAGCCCTGGCGCCATACTGACGGCGAGAGGTAGTAGCCCAAGTCCCAAGTTCTGTAGAGGATGTCTGCCTGAGGACGAGAGCCAATGCCGCCAACGAGGAGTGGCTCTGTTGTCGAAGGATTGCATGGACAGCCTGGCTTTATGAGTATCGCAGCGGCATGCGGGTATACGGCGGAATCACCCTCGTGGACGCTCCGTTGGATGAAGTTTTCGGCGTCGGTAATGGTGTATGGGCTGGCGAAACGGTCGCTCATGTAGCTGGCGACTTGCTCGTGGTTTGCGGCTAATGCCAAGGCCGCAGCATCTGACAAGAGATATCGCCGAATAATGATTCTTTCAGTTTCGACTAGAATGGTGCCAGGCTCGCTGCTTGGAGGGTTTGGCGACGGCAGCATTCTGTCCATCTCTTTGCTCGGCATGGTGACGGCTTCGAAGTCGCTATTGGACTACCGAGCAGTTGTCGGTTTTATTTGGACTTTGCCTTGCACCAAGTTGAGAAAGCAAAGGTGAAAGTTTTTGTTTCGAAACGGTAGAGTTCGCGCATTCATATACCTAGTAGGGGGTATTGAAGGATTGATGGGAGTGACTCACTGCGTAATGCTATCGGCGGTTCAACCCACTACGGCTGTGGCGTATGACTCTTCATACCTATTTCACGACACCAGTGAGTAATATCTCGACTTGCTTATATTTTCATTCACAAGGAATATTGAGTTGCTTTAACATACTGTAACGTGCTAGGCTGTACACATTTGGAGGTAACTCATAGTCTCCTGCTTCTACTCCCAAATCCAGGCTCAAGCATCTCTACAAACTCAATGCACCTCTTTTTAATTTCCCCAAGCTCTTTTTTTTTTCCCCCCCCCCCCCCCCCCCCTTTTTTTTTTCTCTATAAGATTTACTTCTAAAAATCGTTTTCACAGAAGCAAGAAGAAAGATATGCAACAAAACATCTGATTTCTCTAAGCTGGACAAGTCGTTTGGTACGCCGACTAAAAGCCGACTCTACACTCTACTACAACACCAGCTGTTGCCAAGTCTATTTATTTGCGGCCTCATTCTACAGAACAACGCCAAAATCCTTGTCACTCTATGTATATTGCATAGACTTCTAAATGAACCCTCCAATCGTGTTGCCGCGATCATTTCACAAAGCTCCTCATAGATAATGCGCCGGGTTGCTGCCGCTCGTTTGACCAAGGTTCATACCAGTGTCCAACACCAAATCATCGCCAGATGCCAAAACAATATTCCAGAATGGGTCGTCGAGATCAAGTACAAGGGAGTTTGCATTTGCGGTGTGCTCTGTAGCCTCGTGCTGCGGCTGTATTGACTGAGTTGTATCACCATCCTCCACGCCCCAGACTTGCTCAACTGCCAATAGAGGTTGCGGTGGCTCATATGCTTTCCAGAAATCCGGCTGATATCCTAAATTAGGGTGCATGGTGGAAGCGCTTGCTGTGTTTGCTACTTCTTGACCTGGGTCTAGTATATCGGCCGTTCTCAGAAACCCTCGCGTCGTCGAAAACCTTTCTCCCAAGCCGTCACCCCAAACTTGTCCGCTTGTCGTTGAAGACAGAGGATGTATATTTGAATTGGGCATGCCCAAGCAACTGTTCGAGAAACTCTCCAAAGAAGACCCTGGCAAGGACTCGAATGTACCTGCCAGGCTCGAAAATGTTCCTGATGTCTCATGATGACCTGGCCACTGCTCGTAACTGCTCGCAGCAGCAAACGCTTGTGGAACGTCAATAGCTCGCTCCTTGCCCTTGTCTTTTCGGAATTGACCGTATTCGTTCCTCAGTCTCATCTTGGTTCTTCGAGACAACAGGTCATCTCCCAGGCTCTGTGTCCACCACTCTGGATACTCTTTCGCAGCATCCGCCCACTGCTGCATCGCCGTAAACGTTGAATACAGGCTACTCCAAGTGCATGTAATGCAACTCCGATGCCGGCATCTCTGTCTTCTCACAACTCTCGGTACGGAACATCCGCATGTGCTCGTGTTCCAGTTCCAACTCCAACTTCCGGTGCCAACGGTGAGCTGGGTAATGGCAGAGTTGGCTATGACGAAGGCCTCACATGGCTCCACGATATACCACCCGATGGGCCGAATACAATGGCTTTGGCAGCAGTAAATCTCTTTTGCTCCGCACATCTGCGCCCTGGCAGCTGTCTCGCCTTCGAAGTTGGTGAAGCGCAGGACGGGTTCTCTTGGGCAGAAGTTTCGATGGCAACTTGGTGCAACGGTACAGAATCTGAAAGGAAAGCCTTCTTCAAGTCGTCTAGAAATGTTAGTCATTAATTTCAAGGTAACCATAGCTCCACGTAAACACGAGATTACCAAACACTTATATGTCAAACGCTGTGCTGCGGCTCTTGTGATCTACAAATCGAATGACTTGAAGGTAGTCAGTGGTGTTTGGAAGCAAGCCAGCGCGTTGTTTGTTGTTCAGAGAAGCGGTCTAAGATCGGCTCAAAAATTTGGTGTTTGTACAAAGGCTGCACTGTCACTTGGATTCATGTGCTCTTTTTGCCAGCTGTGATTCATGCTGCGCCTTGGACTGTTTTTCTCTAGACGGCTGTCGGTTTCCACCCGTTCCATGATATAAAAATAGCATACATGTTACTGGCAGATGCGTCAAAGATGTATTCAAACAATTATTGCAGACATGTACAAAGTTAAAAAAGAAAGGTTCTTATATTCAAGTATGCGAATCCATAAATACCATGGGCATTGTAATGAATCGACTGCAAAAACATCTTCCTGCTGGTTTTGGATTCTGGACTTAGAAACCTAGACTCCCTATCCACAAGTGAATAAAGCGTATCTTTTCAAATCGTCACGATATGGATTCATTATTACGTTATTAAAATGTTCTCTGATGATAATGATGCGCTCAAAACCTTGTGATTCGCGCCCCGAGAAAGCCAATGGTTAAGATTCGATGTACAATCCTTGCCTTACCTGGACCAAGTACCTTTATTCAATCATTTTTTCTATTTTTATTATTCCCCATTGTGATATCTTCATATTAACTCATACTGATATTGATGTCAATGTGATTCTCATTCTGTTGGTGTTGCTATCTCTTCGCAACAGATGGAAGTAGACCCCCCGTCCTTTTTCTCTGCATGTTTTGTCTCGATCGCCTGTTCTGTATCGAAGTCTCCTGTATGTCTATTTATGGTAAGTACTTATAGAGAGAGAGAAATAAGTGCGAAAAGACATGTCTAAGAGAAACTTACTCTTGCCAATTTACTCGGCCGTCTTTATGAGGCGTTGGACCAAAAGTTGGGTGTTGCTTCTGTATGAATGCAAACATGCTGCTGGAATCAAGACCCTTTACCAGTCGAACGGGAGTGAAGAAGAGCAATAAAATGGCACATAGCCAGGATCCTACTAGAATACTCGGGAAAGCGATGAGAAGTTTTACCGACAACGCGGTCACGTCAGAGCTCCAAACAACAAAATCGCTGGGATCGTCTTGAGCCGTGATGATATTGTCAGTCTTTGCACTGGCATCGATAGGAAACAGCGTGGAATCGCTCAACAAGCTGCAGGTAGCGACAAAGGCTATACGGACGAGACGATTTAGATCGTTATGGATGCTGCTAGCGCCAGCATCAAAGATTGGTCTGTAGAAGCCGAGCGACTTCAATCCGGACTGTAACGCAAAGCTTCCAAGTTGTTGGCCCATGGCGCCAACCATTGAGCCGTTTATGAAACCGAATATTTTTTGCACACCCTTAGAAAGTTCTAACCCAGGAAGATGGTCGCTGCTGAGCCCACTGGCAGTGCTGTTGAAGCCTTTGTATGACCAAGTATTGTCTTCCCAGCATGACAATATCGGCCGTCCCGGGACCACCATGTATGCTGCACCTACATCAGAGTCTTGGAAGCGCTCGGTGCGGTACCAAGGATCAGTGCTTGGACTGAAGCTTGTCCTGTTGATAGAGGAAATAATCGCGGACCATGTGATATTGCTTTGGTCAAGAGTCCCCTTTGTGAAAACCCCAGCAAGGAAGAAAGCAATGGGAGGCCTTCCATTAAAGAGCGAAACTCGGACATTACCATGAATACCACCATCGGAGAACTTATACGTGTCAACAGCGACGACTTTTTCGTTTACTGTCTCATAACTGGTGTGGTTGAGCTGCTCATAATCTGTAATGCATGAACCAGTGACGTATAGCTTGAGGTCGGGATACTTTTGTAGGCCAAAGTCGACCCCTGTTACATTGTAGCTGTAATTGGTGCGCTGTATCTGCTCGCCATTGCTGCTGCTACCCAGTTTCTCCGTGTTAACCATGACTCTCTTGTCGAGAATATCGGACGGGAACGCGCTGTTACCGGCCGCCCGAAGAGCCGCTGGAACCTGCAAAGCAAATGCTGCCTCTTTCTTGGAGAAGTCTAGCGGATCGGAATATGGTGTATACACAGTCTTCGGATCAACAGGAGCTGCGTTGCTAAGAATGATCATCGGGGGAATAATAATGGCCACAGCCGTCTGCGCTACCCACGCTGTCATAATTAGAAACAAAATAAAGAAGACCCATGGGCGAGCGTTTTCTCTCTTGATGTATTTGGAGATCTCTATGAATGATCCATCGATGGCTCCTCTGTTGTTCCACAAAATCGGGACTACAGGGTGTAGGACACTCCCCTTGTTTTGTCTCCTCTGCCATTTAAAGACGAGGAACAACGCTAGAGCAATTATGATAGTCCAGACTTCGACCATTAGTAGCCCGACTATGATGGAATAGGCTGAGTTGAACTGGTTAGCAGCCCAGCTTGGAACAGAATAGGCATCTTGGGGGCCATGTTCAGTCGGGTAGGAGAACCGTGTCCAAAGCAAGTATGTTCGTCGAGGCTGACTTGCTGCTAGCACGACCATGACGGACACTTATTGGCAGACTGTTCCCTCTAGTGAAGCTTCTGGTATCTCGAAAGCGGGTTGAAGCAATAATTCTCCTGGTTCATGTTTGGAGGAAGGTCTGATCCTCCTCTTATGCTCACCGCTGAACGTGGCTTGGTTCTGGTATATGTACTTTATGTGGAATGACGGAGCCTTCAACATGAAACAGGGATGGCGCGGTTTCTAGTGGACTGTGAGACAGTATGTATCTTTTTTCGTATATTGTACTCTGTACGAAAGAGGTACCGTTTATAAAGCCATCCCACGCGAGTAATAATACATCCAGAAGCCAGGGAAAAGATATTGCATAAAATGAACAGCTCTATGCAGGTACTTTGGGCAACAGCACATTGGAGGAGTCATTCCTAGGGTATTCCTAAAGCCGTTCGATATTAGTCACAGCTGATGCTTCAATAATTCTCCCCTCCAATTTGGGAACAGGTGTTCAAAAGAGGAAATGACGCGTTTACGATACCTCAATGTTGAATTGGCACCAATTAGTATGCGTATCTGATCATGCTGCCTGTTGGACTGCCCAGGTACGGGATCATCTGAGACTTGTGACATGTTTAATATATGTAACCCTATCGTCAGAAGGGCCTCTTTCCGAGACAAGCATTATGCCGCAGCTAAGGTCCCGGGTTTGCGCCTCTGCAAACAGACCATTCCCTCAGATCCTTTGCAGGGTTGCAACTCCTCCCCAAAAGATGATTAGGATCGAGGAGATGACTCTAGCTCAGAATTAGTTTGACGATTGCCGAGCAGTTTACGGAGTACTTGAGCGACATTCTCATGCGGTCCGCGCCACGTGGATCCCATTCCCGCCACTCTAGAAAGGGGTATTTTGGCTTCTCTGAGACACACCGCACAGCCTTCATGCACCAGTTAAAGGAACTTGGGCGCCTGTGCTGGCAAATAACTGAAGTTTAAAATAGAGGATACCGGGTTGAAAATCCTGCTAATTTCTCACGGCACCCCTCAAGGCACTTAACATTTATCTCAAGTCATGTCTTATTGCAACTTCCTCTGTCCTTGTACTGTTTCACAGCTTAGTCTATATTGGACGATATTTGTAGTAATTGTAGCGTTGGTTGATGCTCATCGATGGGTACGTTGACTGACAGCCTGGAAGATACCAGCAACCCTCCCTGGAGCCTAATAAAAGTTTGCTCTTGTAAAAAGACACTAGAACGCTGTTGAAAAGTGAGATGGACGCAACAATTACTCCCAGAAACCAGTATTTTCTGAGAGGTATGAATGGCCAATCTTACTTCGTCCTCATGAGGATATTTAAAAAGTTATCATCAAGAATAGCTTTTCGAAAAAAGAGAGCAAGTGTCACATTTGAAACATCTGCACAGGCGGCTATCTCATAACAAAATTGCTCACAGGGGGTTGTATTCGACGAACACGCATATTGGGCATAGAGCCAGTAACATTAACTGGTAGGAGGAATAACTGATTTTTCTGCCATCATTGCATTAGAATCTTGATTCTATAATGAAATATCGATATGTTTCTATTTATTGGTAGTAGCATAATAGCTAGAGAAGACATTTCAAGATGCGACCAGAATCTACAATGGTGTAATATGTTCGAACTTACACGTGAGGCGACTTGGTTCATCTTAAACTGCGTATTTCAAATCATGTTTGCCTATAAGCAATAACAATCGACTTCTTCAACAATTTGATCAATCAGCTGGCAATATCATTCAAAGGCAAACGACCAATACTCCTGAACCAAGCTCCTTCGGACCCATAATAACCAAAGGAAGAGAAAGAGAAAGGGAAACAGTGGCGGTCAAGGTAACAATTCACACATATCTTAGTTACCTGTGCTGCAGAATTTTGTTCTTTTCCTTGTACAGTTGTTATCCTGGCGCCCTGACCGCCGGAATACAAAGCCACTTTCAGAAGCATGAAGACTTCACTTAGAAGCAACATAAGAATCAACGCTAGCATAGTCATTCATCAGCATTACGTAGTGCTCTAGTCTTCCTTGTGCAAGAAACTGTAGTAATCTCTCTCCTCCGCAATCTGCAGCCCCTTCTCCGATCTTCGGAGCTTGAAGATGGACATGCCTCGGAGGGTAATGTCCTCGCCTTCCTTGACGCCCATCTCCGGGTTGTCTTTCTTGGAGGTAAAGGTAAACCGGTACTCCCACCCAACTAAATCATCAACATCTCCAAAGACGTTAAATGTTTTGGTCCTCATGTTGTGCACATTGGCATAGTAGTTGGCGCAATGGTTCAACCAGCCTTGCTTATCTAGGCCGACGGTGGTGGGAATCACTGTTGTTGCGAACATGTCTTGTCAGCCCCTCTCTCGGATTACTTCCGACTCTGGTTATGAAGGAGTGTTAAATTGTGCATTGATAATTCGTTATGCCACTTACTATAATCAGAAAAGACGACATCATTGGCGAAAAACTCATCGAGCTTGACCGAATCCCCGCTGCCGCTAAAGGCATTGGCAAATTCAGTGATGAATTCTTGCGCGTTTGTGGCCTTGGACATTATGCCGAGAGATTAACCGTGCACGCTATGACTTCTTGAATTACTGAGCAAAATGAGCAATCTGTTTGTCGATGTTGATAGCAACTCAACCTTGACGTACTCCTGCCCTTTTATGCGCCTCAATATGTTAACCCCCACCCCGGCCCGGCCTAGGCATATCTATATCCTTGTCGGATTCCTTCAGGATGATGCCTGCTAGATTCATGCCGGTAAGACGACTACTCGTATGCCCATGTGGTTGGACACCTCGCTAGAGCAGCAACCTGCCCCATTCACACCCAGGTGCGGGCAGTGATATTTCCCCGTCTACGACTTCGTGCCGTGCCGTGTGAACAGGGATTTCATCGTGATACGCGTGTATGTCACCCTGTTTTCGAATTGTCCTAGCAGAGACTTCATAGCAGTTCGGGGTACTTTGCGTGCAATTTGGGGTGCTTTCCGGGGACTTTTTGTGGCTTTTTAATTTAGAGGCGGCACGATCGGCAAGAGGAACTGTTAAAGACTTTTTATTTTACTAATCCTTTTTACCATCTGTATCTCGGACAATTCCACCCTTGGAAATCTCAATACATGGGGGATGCGTGGCCCGTTAGTGAGCACTAACACTCGTGAAATACCCCGGGCCGTTCACTTTGTCTTACTGGCCGGCATCCTTTTTGGAAACAAAGACGATCAGATCCACCACACGGCGACTGTAGCCGTATTCATTGTCGTACCAGCTCATGACCTTGACAAAATTCTTGTTCAAGGCTATGCCAGCCTTGGCATCAAAAGTCGATGAGTGAGGGTCAGTGAGTATGTCAGTAGACACAATGTCGTCTTCAGTGTAAGCGAGGATGCCTGCTCACAGGACTTTTATTAGCTTCGATCCATAAAAATAATCTCAGACTAGAGTCTCATACCTTTGAGAGGTCCCTCAGAGGCCTCCTTGATCGCAGCCTTGACCTCGTCATAAGTGACGTCCTTTGCAAATCGGACCGTGAAGTCAACGAGAGAAACGTTGACGGTGGGAACTCGGACAGACATGCCAGTGACCTTGCCTGCCAACTCAGGAATAACCTTTCCAACAGCCTTGGCAGCCCCAGTGGAGCTAGGAATCAGGTTTTGTGCGGCAGCACGACCGCCACGCCAATCCTTGGACGAAGGACCATCGACAGTCTTTTGACTCGCGGTGTAAGCGTGGATGGCAGTCATAAGACCCTCGACGATGGTAAACTTGTCATTGAGTGTCTTGGCCAGCGGTGCTAGACAGTTGGTTGTGCAAGAGGCATTGGAGATGACATTGGCACCTGCGTAGGTGTCCTCATTGACACCCATCACGTACATAGGGGCGTCAGCAGAGGGAGCAGAAATGATGACTTTCTTGGCGCCACCCTTGAAGTGGGCACTGGCTTTCTCTGTGGTGGTGAAAACACCAGTAGATTCGACAATATACTCAGCGCCGCTATCCTTCCAGGGGATATTGGCGGGGTCTCTCTCCTGGTAGAACTTGATCCTCTTTCCATCGATAACTAGGTCCTTGCCATCGACTTTGATGTCGCCTTTGAAGCGGCCGTGAGTGGAATCATACTTGAACATGTACTCCTACGGAAGTGTAACAGTGAGATTAGATGCTATCCTGAAGATATGCGAAAAAAATGAGAAGTAGGCTTTCTTACTGCATAGTGAGGCTCAATGAAAGGATCGTTGAGTGCCACCACCTCGACGGCGCCCGTCTCGAGGGCATTGCGGAGAACAACTCGACCGATTCGGCCAAAGCCGTTGATGCCAACTTTGGGAACCATTTTTGCCAAAAGAGGATGCTTTTTGTGGTTTAATATGTAGGAATAGTGTCACAGTGCTTGGTGTAGACGAGGCTGTAGGAGAAGGGATGAAAACGGATGAAAAGAGAGAGGGGGAGGAGAAATATCTTGTAGAGGGGGAGAAGAGGGGCAAACTCGACAGGAAGGCATCATGGATTGGCCAGCTCCTTCTAGAGAGGCATTCTGTAGTATCTCAGTTGTATCATTGCGTCATATGCTTCCCACTGTTGGGTGTTGTTACAGCAATATAACAGACTACATGTATACAACGCCGTCACCAATCGGACTCTCAATCACCAACTGCCTACCCCAGTACCTAACCTGTACCTAACCTGTACCTAACCTGTAGTACCTGGAGAAACCGGCGAAACACGAGACAATCAACTGTCTGCAAGCATCGTTCGATGCTCGCTAACACCACCTCTGGCGTGTGGTGGCATGCAGTAGTGTGTGTTACCATGTTGGGCGATATGATCGTTGCAAGGGGGGCGGGATCCGATGGACAGGGGGCGGTGGTATTAACGTGGCGATAACGGCTTCCATCAAGGGCTCTAGAAATCCTTGTTCGGCTTCCTTTTTTATACATGAGCCTGTTAGGTCGTATTCCTTTATTCCCTACCATTACGTGTGCAGATGGGTTATTCCGACGTGTTTTGATCCAATCGAAAAATCCCGTGCTCTACCAGGATTACTAGAACCTAACTGATACTGTTGGTTCGCTTCCAACAACCTTGAGGGACACGTGGGAGAATGAGATGCCGTGCTTATGACGATCTATGCGCACGATTGAGCCTCCAAAGGCCTAGTGCGTTCATGCGTGTAGCTGGTAACGTCGCATTATTTGCCCGTCAAGGCCGTGATCTGCAATTTAGCCCAGATTCACAACTTCATTGTTCGCTTGGATAGCATTAAATTAGCCAGGGAGTAAGATGATGCAAATTTTTTCTTAAATATTTTTATTTCCCTCCAATGAGCTCATGAAATTCCATGCTCTCGTTATCAATTTTCCCAACACGAGATTCGTAAAACAAAAGCAGCATAGAGTCAAGTAGATACATGAATCGTAAAACAATTACCTCAAGCAGCGTGATTCACCACGACCGTCATGCCACCATGAATATCACGCTCGATCTTTCCCAGGCCATATCGTGTAGTCGTAAGACTATATATGCTGTTAGCGGGTCATGATTCTTAGGACATTTTGGGCATCTTGAAACATACCTCCACAGAAGGTTGCCCATCATGTTATGTCTGCATCCAACAATGTAGCTGTCTACCTCCTCGACCCACTCTGATTCCCTTTCCGCGACAATTGCGAGAAGATCTGCGGCTGCGACATCATACCGATCAATATTTTTCTTGAGTTCTACACAGGTGTCCTGAGGCAAAGTTAGTGATGCCCGTTAGAATATATGTGTGCCGCTGGAAGCAACACCTACCGCAATGGCCTCTTGAACAGTCATGTTACGGTTGTACATCAAGACGGGAATCATGCTATCAATATCTCCAGTCTTGATCTCTTTTCGGAGAGAGAGCATATCATTGGACAGCGACATGTTCAAGTTAGTCTCACGCCAGATGTCAGCCATCTTGGAGTGAGTCATGATCCACCTAGGGATGCATTGATTGTCGACATATCTTGGTGATTTATTAGCCAAGTGCACGTTGAATAGGGTGATTTATGTAAACATACTCATTCAAGGCTAACATCAATTGGACTGCGCTTGTTCCCAGTCTAGTCTCAATATACTGAGCAGGCGTTGGAATGACACCCGTGAGCTTACGGCGCTGCTCGCGCTGTTGGTTGTCCATGTAGTAGTAAATCTCATCCACGAGGCACATAATCTGGTCTAGATAACTTTGTCAGTTAATGATCTAACCAGGGGAGGGGGAGTTACTTACCGTGGTTGTAAAAGTTCTTCACCTCCTCGCCAATATCTGCTAAGCTAGCGATGACAGGCAGTGTTGGGGGGTTCTTGTCGAACTGCCATTTGTCCGTCTCCTCATTGGGGACTCCAAGGACATATCGGACAAAGTGGTAAGTCTCATCCCTGAATTTATCGGCATTTTCAAGGTTGATGAAGAGTTCTGAGGTAGATTGGTCGATCTCGTCGTCCCATGTGAACAACCAGAGAGACCAAAAGGTGCCAACTTCTAACCTCTTATACTCGCAACGAGGCCACCAGATGCAAGACAACAGTGCATAATCAATATCAATGAGGGCAGCTGCCATCTTTGGAGAGTAGATCCTGACAGTTGAGAAAAAGTGTTAGCTGCATTGATTCAAGCAGAATAATTATGAAAGACACGTACTTCTTGATTCTAGCTTCAATAGCTTCTTTCAGCTGTGCATAGTGTGGGTTCATCTCATCAGGCCAGTCATTGTAGTATGGTCTGAGGTTGGGGAGATAGTACGACTTGGTGCGAATTCGTGCAGAAAGATCGATCCTGGGATCGTCTACCGGCCGTGGGTCATTTGGGGCACGCTGGACTTGAGCCATCATGAGAGATTTGTGTGAATGATGATGGAGAGGCTAGATAGGAAAAGATAAGATGGAGAGAGTATTATATGATGACTTTGGAGAATGGAGATGAATTGCGGGCTTTGACGGCTACTTTTATATTCGTTGCGAGGCCTACCTTCTTCCTATCAAGCTCTTGATATCTACCAGGTAATCTTTTGAAACTGCATACATGTAAGCCAGTCTTACAAATTGCCTTACCACACCACGCAGGTGCAAGTCTACAATGAGTACCTGACATGGAACCTCTAGCAAAACCTTCTAGACTCCAGAGGATTGTCAATGCTATTACCTCCAATACCACACTGTGTAGATACTTAGAGTCCGAAGACTGGTCATTTTTCGAGTCGGCGATGATACTTGGTTCGAGTCACAATCCTAGTTCATGTCCTCTCTGCGGGTTAACGGCATATCACACGGCTAGATTGGAGATGATCTTATCTTGCCCTGTAAGGTGAGATCTCCCGAGGCCGTGTTAGTCGTACGCCGTCTCTAACTCGATACTCGACCCTACCTTATCTGTATACGATATTCGATGGGTAGTGGGTGTGAAGGAATAACAACCTTGAACCCAGTGTTGACATGGATACTATTGGTTACAAATGACGTGAACACGGAATTGGCAATTAGTTGTATAGCATTGATAATGATATCACCATACATTACAAGTAGCTTATCTGGTGCTACAGAAGAATGTGCATACCGTGATGAGTTACTTTAACGGAAAGTCCCGAAGACTTGTAAGCTGCATATTATCGGCAAAACTTCAAGTTTCAGGCTGGCTCTGACGATATTACAAGGAAGGAATCAAGTAGAGCTATACGAGTACTATCCCGTTGTCAATATATCGCTGTCAATTACGTCAACGTTACCAGTGCGAAAGAGCTATGACCGGCCGAACAGATGGAGACTTGATCAAATATAGTAATACAAGGGTTCTTCACCACATTATTTGATTAGTACTATGGCCCATATACTTGACGCCAGCAATATAATGAGATGTATAGAGGCTGGATTAACTTCAACGGCCATGACTCAATCTAAGCCGTGTTGAAGAAAGGCATCGGCGGAGTTGATCTATCATATTGATGCAATTTCAAGGGGGGAGGTGTGGTAAATGGAGGGGTGTCTGTGTCTGCCGTCTTCATGACACACCTCCGCCATCCCACATGCGACACGCCCTCTTCCTGGCCCTGAGATCAATTCCATATCTTTCGTAGGATTGTAAACGTGTTTGCAGGGGAGCCTTGACCGAAGTATCCGGATCGCAATATGACTGCCGTGCTTGAATCGTGCTGGCGCTTACTCTTCGGTGCTACTCAATGGATCAACCAGAATGGCCGAGGCTAGCTAGGCTTCCATGCCAACCGTACAGTATGTATTGGCTAATAATGAGCGGGTCTTTGTTACCATCTGTGTAACTACTTAACAAATTATTTGCAATTGCTCGCAAGCGTATCGTTTATTCGCTCTGAATAAATGCCCTTGACAGCCTTCTTTGTGGGGTTCTTACTGTTCATCTTGTCATTGAACCTGCTCAACTCTCTCTGCAATTGAATACAATGGAGCAACTCAAAACTCGGCTTACGGAGCCGAATCTGTCCACAGAGCAAAAGCTGTTGGTATTGATCGGTCTTCCTGTGCTTTACGTCGTAGGCTTAACCGTTTACCGCCTCTACTTCCATCCTTTAGCCAGATTTCCTGGGCCTAAGTTAGCAGCGGCAACAAAATGGTATGAGTTCTACCACGACATCATCAAAGGGCAGGGAGGTCAGTATTTTGTGCGAGTGAGTGAGATGCATGATAAATACGGTAAGCATCCCCAAGCACTATTGCTGATTTCAAGGTTGTTTGTCAACGGGAGCTAACTTGAGAACATGCAGGCCCAATTGTCAGAGTCAACCCTGATGAAATTCACATTCGCGATCCTTCTTTCCTCGATACCCTCTATGCTACCAATCCCACAAAGAGGGACAAATATCCGCCTTCTGCGGAGATGGCAGGGTTGACTTATGGGAGTAAGTAGTCAGTATCATTTAACTCGACTTGTCGCTGACAATAGCTTCTCTATGTAGCCCATGGCACAGTGGATCATGATATGCATCGGCGCCGCCGAATGGCAAATTCACGCATGTTCTCAAAGCGTGCTGTTGCAAGCGCCCAGGAGCTTATTCATGGCCACATCAAAGAGCTTACTGAAGCCTTTGAGAGGAAGGTCGGCTCCCCCGAGCCTGTTGAGATGCAGACTACTTTTCTTGCTTACACCACTGATGTCATCTATCACTATATGTTTAACAAGGATGTTGGTTTCCAGAAAGATTGGAACAAAGCCCAAAGCTGGCGACACTCTATGGAAGCAGTGGCTCAAGCAACTCCCTTCTGCAAACAGTTCCCCTGGCTCAATGGAAAGCTCCTAATGTTGCCGGAGTGGATCTTGAAGGTTATTGTAGCAAAATTGCAGCCCGATATTGCAGGCCTTCTTGCCACACACAAGGTTTGTTGAATGCATGATCTTATTTTCCCCTGTGTTTTAGAGAGTTCTAATTACTTATCTTCATTAGCTCATGGGTAGAATTGCTGCCGAGTACGTTGCGCACCGGAGTACAGACAAGGGCAAACGTGAATCCGAGGAAGATGAGAAGAACATTAAGCCCTTGACGATTTTCCACTCCATCGATCGCAGCGCCCTTCCCAACGAAGAAAAGACTGCTCTACGACTTATGCAAGAGGGTCTCACTGTGCTGTTTGCTGGTGGCGAGACTGGCTCACGACTTCTGGCTCACACCATCTACCACTTGCTGGACAACCCTGAGATTTTGGAAAAGGTTCGGAAAGAGATCCTAGAAGCTGCTGGAGACTCTAAAGAATTGCCTGACGTCAAGGTCCTTGAATCGTTGCCCTGGCTGGTAAGTTCATCAAATGCAGCTAGGTAATCCGACAAGACAAGGTTAATCAGAACTCTATAGGCCGCATCAGTCCGCGAGTCGCTTCGCCTACGCGCTACTACAACATCCAGACTTCCACTTGTCTCTAAAAAGGAGTTGATTTACAAGGATTGGGTTATCCCCGCTGGCGTGAGTGGTTTTGTTATCCGCAGAGCCTTGCTCCACTAACCGATTCAATGGCAGACCCCTGTTAGCATGAGCCACCCTGACATTCTTCATAATGACGAGATATACCCAGAAGCCTTGAAATTCAAGCCTGAGCGATGGTTTAACGCTACTGAGCAGCAAAACAAGATGTTCATTCCATTTGGCAAGGGTACACGCATGTGCATTGGCGTTGAGTAAGTGTTCCACCTCCCCCCTGATCATAGCTGCCGACTGACAATGCCGTGAAATAGTTTCGCATACATCGAACTGTACATGTCTCTTTCTACACTCATTACCCGGTTCGACTTGGAGTTGTATGACACAACTTGGGAACGTGACGTGGCGTATACGAGAGACTGCTTTCTGGGCGAGGCTTCTCGAGATAGCCCGGGCATTCGAGTCAAGGTGCTGGCAGACAATAAGAGGTGGGTTTCGGATTAGAAAAAAAGACATTGGTAGTTTGTAAAAGCATCAACAAGAATTGGGTGTACAATGCTTGCGCCATGTGAGGCGTCTGATGGACTACCAGTAGTTTACAGGATGTGTTTTGCCGACCAATAACAGCATATTAGATAGTTAAACAGAGTCGGCGATTAGCTTAGCATTCGTTTTCAACGCTTTTTGTGCCTAAATATCCTTGAAAATTGGCGACCATTTACACTTCTATCTTATATGGGACTTATATTTGCCAAGTTGAGAAGGAAAGCTACATGTACACTACATGTAGTCACTTCAAATGCTCCCAGCCTGTAAGTCGAAGACGTAATCGATGCATAGCCAAAACTAGGTTAGATTACATTATGCAATTGTAGCAACAAAAGCACTCATATTGCTGCTACGATACAAGACCTAAATGGACCTTGTTACCGGGGACTCATCAGGGAGAAGAGCCACCTTCTTCCCCGTCATGGTTGATACATGTACTTTCTGTTTTCTCTATCGCGAGGACAAGGAAGGCTCGGCGACTTTCGAAATTCCTTGTCTACTATTGAACCAGGGTACCAGTTCTCTCATATCGCTTATCGCATATCACTTTTACTCCTTGGGCAGTGATTGGCAAACAAACTTGTTGTTGAGGATTCGCTGCACGGATGCATCGCCGCGGCTCGTATCCCCCGTTTTGAGATTCTCGTACGAGGATATGGGTCCCTTGTGGGTTGTGACTTGTGTGCCGTCTGCATGTCAGACACGCCCCTCCTTTTCGATGCCAGCCTTTTGATGATCATCCTGGCCCCTTGTTGCCCCGTCATATCTCAGCATAAAAGTACAGCCCGGATTGGTTACTGCCGAGATCCGAAATATCCACGAGGTAGGCATAAATAGAGCATGTGGGCCAAGTGTTTGTCATTCTTTTGCTCAGCCATCTGTGTTGCATACTGTGCATGGATATTTCAAGGACCAGGAGCCTTGCTGATGCTATCAAGAAACTCCGTCAAGGCTAGATATTCAGATAAATTCGTTAGTGCAGAGGAGGGTGGGAAGTCACGCACTTAGACACACGCCCCCTCCATTACATCTATCTCCATTACAGGAATCAAAACTTGCCGATACTCCAAAATAGCTTGATTTTAGAATGGCTGCATCTCTGCAGATCTTCCATCCTTCTTGCTCTCTTGAACCAGGGGGGCAGCAACCGCATTCTTTCCATCTCAAGACCTAAATTAAAAACGCACTTGCATACTCCATATGGCCGCCCAGGTCTGATACGACCTCGGCTGCATCTTTTAGGTGTCGAGGACCGAGATGGTTTCGTGTCACCGTGGCTCACACATGGCTTATCTCGGGCCAAATTAGGGCGAATAATTCCCTTCTTCTTGAGGAAAAACGGGCAAATTGAGCGCTTCCTGATGCTACAAGATGTTCTGGGCAAGGATCGGCTAAACATTTAATTAAGTCTAATGACACGGGAAGCGATGTACTGTTGATTTCGAAGCAATCGTTCGGACACGGGCTTGATTACTACTGGTCCGGGCATGGATTTGGATTTTTCGGACTTAAGGTTTAGTAAACCGTCCTCAGGATCCTCCTCCTTAAGTCTTCCATCCCTATAAACGCTGTCTTTTTTTTTCTCTTGACAAAATCAGACTTGCTGCTGTGGTTGCCCTCATAATCGTCGTTGACTGGATCGTATCAGTCACAGCACATTCAAGATGTCTTCGTTTACATCCCCTGACATCTTGAGCCACCTTCCCATAGAAGCTATACAACCTTCTCAGCTTCTCTATCTGCTCCCTATTGGATTCGTTGCAGTATGTCATTGATTACTAGTCCATTAACCACTTCGATAAACTTGATTCTTACCTTTATTTCTAGTGGGCTCTATACCATCTCAGTATTGGTTTTTACAACCTCACTCTTCATCCCTTGGCTGGATACCCAGGTCCCCTACTTGCCAGATCGTCAACGCTATGGTACGCTGGAGCATTGGCCAGGGGCACCATTGCTCAAGATCTTTTGGCTCTTCATGACAAGTACGGTGATACTGTGCGCATCACACCAGATGAAATCTCCTTCATTGATCCAAAGAATTGGAAGGAGATCTATGGCTACCGTGGTGGCAAGGTCGAAATGATCAAAGATCCTCGTTACCATGATACTGTCAAGCCCACTCCCACTATCCTGACTGGTGATTATGACCAGCACAATTACTACCGCAAGGTTCTCTCGGCACCGTTTTCTGAGATTGCTCTTAAGAAGAATGAGCATATTCTCCACGAGTTCGTCGATAAGTGGGTCTATCGCGTGAAAGAGCTTGGACAGAATGGCACAAAACGCATCGATGCTACAGATTGGTTTAACGTAAGCAATTTGCTGGACTGAGTTAATGAATGAATATTAAGCTAATATCCAACATTTCTTAGTTTCTCACGTTTGATCTTATTGGATATCTTGCTTATGGCGAAGAGTTCAACTGCATGACCAACTCCAGGCTTCATGATTGGATTGAAGCTAGTTTGGCTATGGCCACCTTGATGACGCTCGGGCAGGCCGCTCGCCAGCTTCCTTATCCCTTTGACAAGATTTACAAGGCATGGGCTATTCCTGAGTATGTTTACAGACATACCAAAATGCACCGAACGCTTGTTGAGGTATGCGATTCGAAACAATTCTGTTTAGCTCTATGAAGGCGTGCTAACAAAGGATTTTCTGATAGGAACAAGTGAACTCCCGACTTGGCAAGGATCCCAAGCACATGGACTTCCTCCAGCGCATGATTGAGATCTATAAGGCGGGCAACCTTGATTTCCCAACTCTTTCTGAGCACGCCTCTCTTCTTACTATTGGAGGCAGTGAAACTACGGCCACGCTGCTCGCGGGCGCTGTCTACTTCCTTGCCAAGGACCCCAAGGTCTATGGCAAGCTTACCAAGGAAATTCGCACCAGATTTGCCGATGAGAAAGAAATGAACCTGATTAATCTCTCTCAGTGCAAGTATCTCCTTGGCGTTGTTGAGGAGTCTCTCCGCATCTATCCCCCGTCACCAGCAAACCACACTCGTATGGTTCCCCAAGGCGGCGCTACGCTCGAAGGCAAGCACATCCCTGGAGGATATTGTGTAAGCATGCCCATGTATGGCTCATTCAACGCCAAGAGCAATTGGGCACAGCCCACTCGCTTTGCGCCTGAACGTTGGACCGGGGAGGAGCCCGAGACATTTGGCCGGGATAGAAAGGAAGCCCTCAAGCCATTCTCCTTTGGCCCCCGAAACTGTCTAGGCCAGCAGCTTGCTAATCATGAGGTGCGATTGGTAATTGCTAAGATGGCTTGGCACTTTGACCTTGAATTGATGAGCGAGAGCATTGGTTGGGAGCAGCAGACGAGCTACACCTTTTGGAAGAAGCTTCCTCTCTACGTTAAGATGATTCCCCGAAAGAATTAGATGGGAATTGTAGTGGTAGTAGTCAAGATATTACATAAAAAATGACTATTTGGTTTGAATAAGAATGCATTTCTTCTTTTCTTTGCTTTGTAACTCATCTTCAAATACGTAACAACTTCACTATCCATATAATGAGACGACCCATGTATTGACAAACGCGAATGGCAACGTTCCAGTACAGTATTTTGCACCTCATTCTTTTACAGCTTCATTACTAGTGATTATAAAATACCAGACAGGTAAAATCTGATAGCTCATCGGTTGTTGAAATAAGACCTACACTATCACGGCCTGGATCGTATTCGTGTTTATGGAAGAAAATGACGCGCGGCTACAAGTGGGAAGACTGCCCAAACGGAGGCTAACAGTATCAGTTAATGATAGGGACTACTATACGCCTTGTAAATATCAATTCTAGAAACTTATATATGACAATTCACGTAATCCCACCAACGAGGTTCCATTCGTGACACCGACAAGGGTTCATTTAGCACGGCAGCCCATGGACTTAGGCGTCTCTAAACTTAAGCTGAACCTTCAATCCCTTCATAAACACGAGTGCACTGGATGTGGAGTGTGGTACGGTCAGTGTGAAACATTCCAGGTGGAGTTACGGGAATAGGAGGGCTCCGAGAGCATCACCCACCTGCATGAGTCGGATATGTTTTCGTCCTCGACAAGCTCAAACTCGTATCGCATCAAGAGAGTAGCAACGAGCTTCTCCATCTCTAGCCAACTGATATCTGTCGTGGGCAAGGTATCTTTAGTTAGCAACTTCTACTAGGCTCCTGCAGACATATGCCGCAATGTCTCTTGCATATGCACTCACTTTTTCCAATGCACGTTCTCGTACCACCGCCGAAGGCGAAGAAGAATCTCTCTGGCCAGGCGTTAGTGGTTTCCATGCATTAGCGCCTTGATATGCGTTTCTCACTCAGTTCACTGGAGTTCTCGCCCTCCAACCAACGCTCAGGCCGGAACTTGTCGACATCGGCACCCCACACCTCAGGTAAACTGTGGATAACCCAGGGGCTGCTGCCGACGACAGTCTGTTTAGTGGCATTAAACGTCAGCAGGCCAATGTAACCAAGAATAAATGGGAGTTGAGCAACTTACACCGCCGGGAATAAATTTGCCGCTGATAATCATTCCCTCTTTGGGAACATCCCTGTCGAAGCTGAATCCTGCCGGGCTGAAAATCCTCAATGCTTCGTGCATGACGGCTTGCAGATAGGGACACGCCTCAGCTTCCTGGAAGGTAACTGTGTTTGACAGACGGCCCGCTGCTCGCCGCTCCTCCAGCTCGGCTATGAGTTTTGATAGCACGTGGGGGTGACGGAGGAGATTAAGGAAGATACTCCGAAGAGCGATAGCCGTTGTGTCAGACCCTGCAAAGACGTTGGATGTCATCATGAAAGAGATCGCGAGATCGGTCCTAATTGAGTCAGCGGCAATAGGTTAGTAATCGGATGCTTTGATGGGAACAGGAGTCTGAACTTACAACTCTGTCTTAGCGTGTGCTGCTTGGAAGAGCTGTCCCACAATGTCTTTGTCGTTGCCTCCCTTGTCTCTTCGGTCTTGCACCTCGGACTTTGCAAACTGGAAAAAGTAGCCATTTCTATCGTTTGCGCCGAGGAAATTTCCAAAAACAGGCAGGATGAACTTTTGATGAAACTTGAAGAACCACGGGGCGTGCATCAACCAGGCGGTGCTGCCCATGGCTCGCTCAATTCGGGCAAACATGCCATCGTCAGTAGCCTGGGCAACAAATCCATAAGGCTTTGTAAAAGATACGGCTCCAATGACGTCAAAAGCGAAGAGTTGAAACCAATTGCCAATATCAATGGGGCGTGGCGATGTAGCAAACGAATCAAACTTGATGAGCAAGTCATCGATGAGACGGGTAACCTGCGGCTCAAGGTGGACAACCGACTCCATCGAATAAGGCCGTGCCACGAGCCGTCTCTGAGCCGAATGGATCTTCTCATTGCGTTCTCCCGTCAAATCAAATGGCCGCGATCCCTGAAGCACCGAGTAAGAGGCGGATTTGGCAAAGGCACCGTTGGCCCCTGGTTGAGAGATGATTGGTTAGCAATGCCCTGATACAAGCCGATAGCACGGGAAGCGTTTCCCCGGATGCGAGTGTAACACTGCACATCATATGTCATCTGTCATATGTTTGCGGTGGAGCATGGAGCATGGTAGGAGAGAGAGAGAGAAAAAAGGAGGGGGGTGTGGCCATACTGTAGATTGTCCTAAACGCATCCGGATGCCCCACGCTTCTATGGGTCGACGATATCGAGAGCAATAGTCAGCCAAGATCAAACAGGAATAGATGCGATGATGCTGGTTTCAAAACAGATCAAAAAAGAAACGTAAGGGAAAAGAATGATGTTTCGGTAGTTCAAAATCTTACAGCTCGTTCGGTCCGATTCGCACAACATTCCCATACCGTTGATGCAACTCGATCAAATCACGATGCCATTGGCCTCGGTATGTGGTGTACGCTCGCCATACCTTGGTCAGCTTTGCGGCAAATGGCCCCGGAAACGCAGCTATGGGCGAAAAGAAGCACTGATAGACGACATATACGGTGGATGTGACAAGTAGGGCGGAGCCGAAGAGGAGGAAGGGGTAGAGGGCAAGGGATTGGACAGATGCGAGCATGGCTAAGAGTCGCGCAATCCTACTGGCTGGAGAGGAATGTGTGATGCGAAACGCATATGAACGCACGCAGGATGGCAGCAATCGTCGGTGCGTATCGTAGCCACAATGGTGATAGTTGGCACTGGCATTAGGAAAACGACTCTGCAACAACAGTACGATTTATACGTCGGTTCAGTGGGGCAAAGACCAAGAACTGAAACGAGAATTGAGTAGGCAATGTTGGCAAAAATGAAGTAACTACTTCTGTCATCCTGGTTATGTTGCAATCCATCCTCGTACATGTGCATGTTTGCTATCCATATGAAGTAGTTGGTTTCCACAAGCACACAAGCACTGTGTGCCGATGGTCAACATAGCTTGTAACTTGTAACTTGTTAGTGTAATTTCCACACTCCGTGGGTTGGATATACAATTTGTTCCTATAGTGACAATGATTATCTCTTTACCCCATTTCACTTTGCGGTTGCCTAATACTCCGAGTTCATCTCCGCTGAGGGTTGTGTGTGAAGTCCATGGAATAAAGAAAGCATTGTTGTCAGCAATCACATCTTCGCACTACTTCGCACTACTTCGTCCCGCGATAGACAAACTAACGGACCTATGCATCAAAGTCCGCGGACTACAGGAGAGGAGCTAGTTCTCTTACCACCCTACAATAACATATAGACTATGAGATGCCATAACCCTTGTGATTTTCGCAGTGATTACAGCACTAAGAAGAAAAGGGGAATTGCACAGATATTTTTGTCACCATATAGTAATTTATATGAGGTGACATGAGATAAACACTAATACCATGGACAAGATTTAGTTTAAGTTACTAGAGCGGCGGGGCTTTTAGGTATGCGCTACCTTATGTTCAAGGTTCTTAGTCGCTGAGAACCTTGGAAGATATAAAGCTCAGCTTACTGAGCCATGGGTTACTTCTATGATGGCGTTGCTTCTTGAACCATTCATGACTCAACTCCCAAACAATTAACCCCAAATTCTCACCATGTCAACTTCCGAAGCCATCCACCAATGCGTATTCATTTACCCTAAGCCTGATAAGCTGGACCAGGTTTGTTTGACGCTGAACCGTCTTTCCCATGTACGTATAGTAAATCTCCGAGTCTAGGTTAGGCAGATTTTCAAGCAGCTTGCGGACGCGGCCCAGGCTGACGAACCGGGCTCACTTGTTTGGGCCGTGCATGAGCGTGATATTTCCGCGGGGGAACCAATGATTGTCGTGTGGGAGATGTGAGAGATCCTTTACCGATGTTGAGATAGTGATACTGACGACCGGACAAGATACGAAAACGCTGCGGCACGACTCGCGCATCGGCAGAATCCTGTGCATGTCAAGCTTGTTCGCGTGCTTACCGAAGACGGACTGTTTGCGCGACCGGTAGAGATTATGCCGCTTAATCACTTGGCTGGCAGCCTTGGGCCTGGGTTGAAAAAGGTGTAGATCACAGATTATATCGACTACCTGTTTCGGTAGGTAGTCTTTCTAGTGGGACAGTGTTAGTTCAACATGGATGTGCATTTCTGTTGCAGATAGGCCTCAGGTACATTGGAGGCAAGACAATAAGGAGCGGCTAATTCGACACCACATGCAGGCGGTTAAGCGGAAGTAGGATAACCTTGTATCCTGCAGGCTATGAAATACATACGAATCATACATCGCAGCATGTTTTGCAATTTGATTGCTGAGATATGGATGAATGTACGGAATAGCGTCGCAATCTAATGGACTGTCTTATTAATGGCACTCAAATGGTGGATAACAAACCATTATGGCATCTGGCAAAGTGTCCGACGTGCGGGAAATGAACATATCCGTACACATATCCATGCAAGAAGTATTCGCCGATAATCCCGTGCTTACTACTAGTAGTATATACGGAGTAGTAACTGGGGCGATGAGACCAAGAGCATTTTGACAACGGGTGTGGCTTGTTCATCCTGGTCTAGACCCCTTCACCCCGGCTTCAATACAAGAAGCACATGCTAGTAGCATAGTCACTGGCGTTGATAAATCACTGGATGGATTGTAAATGAGGCAACGATTGCGACAGCCGTGGCAAATACCCTGCAAATAGCTCATGCAAGGATTGATTGTCAAGACTCATGCGGAGTGCTGTAGACTGAAATCACTAGTAGTATATTTGGACGTGGGGTTCCACAGAGTGAGCTCAGATATCGATGCCGATTTATTTGCCATGTGCAGTTTGACACGGAATTCCGGTCCATCTATGTTTACGGCTTGGAGTCTATCTATATAGTTCTGGATTCACGGAGGGGTGTGTTTGAAAGGCGGAATATCCCATTGCACAGCGGCTATTGCCGTGATTCAGATTTTGCGTCTGCAGAGCGGAGACGAGTCATGTAGACAGATTCTTAACAATGGTGAAGCTTTTGCCTTGACAAATCCATGAGAGGGATCCAGAGAGTCCAGCCGAATCGCCGTGATGACGGAGTCGAGAGGTTACGCTCTGCATCCTAGGCTGCCTGGGGGAGAGGATAGTTAGGTAACTAAATTAACTAGTAATATTGAGACAAATTGTATTGTAGTATCTTGTGTGCTTTGGACTTTATTTGTTCTTCCTTTTCCACCTGTTGCTGCACAAGTGGGCTCAAAGTCTCTTGATCTTAGAGGGAGCAAGGAACACTATGGACACCTTCAATGCCACTCCGTTGGCTTGGCCAGCCAGATTGGTGGAAGAGCCAATTCAGAATGACAAACTATTTGTCTACCTTGGCTCAGCCGCTGTCATCTTCCTCATCTATCTCTATAGTGGACGCAAATCTACTCCTTTGCCACTCGTGAACCCCAGCGGACGTTGGGAGCTTACTAGGAACCGCACCAACAAAGAATGGTTGGCCAAGGCAAAGGAGATTATTATGCGAGGTGTCGAGAGTTTCCCAGGGAAGCCGTTCAATATGATGGCGGCTGATGTGGGTATGACGACTGTGGTTCCTCCTGAGTTTGCTCATGAAATCAGGAACAACCCGAATCTGAGCTTTGTTGAGTTTATGGCACATGTATGAAAGCTCTCATCCACAGAGAGAATTACCATGAAGGTCTGGCTAATGTTGGTATAATAGCTCTTCTTTAGCAACCTTCCTGGATTTGAGCCAACAAGAGAGGGCATGTTTGACAATGATATCGGTATTGTTGTTATTCAAAAGTACTTGACGAGCTTAGGTATGCTGCCTACAAGTGCATGTGATTGTCTTGACAAAGTACCACTAACTAGGGGTTTTCTAAAGCTCGTATGACGGAACCACTTTCACAAGAAACCGAGTATGCCCTTCCCGACATTTATACTGAAAATGAAGGTACATCGCCTATGCCCAAGATGAAGCAAGCGGAAGAAAGCTGACAATGGTTGTTTATTCAGAATGGCATGATGTGAATCTGAGAAACACCAACCTGGCCCTCGTTGCTCGTCTCTCCTCGCGCATTTTCCTCGGCGAAGAACTCTGCCGTAATGAAGACTGGCTGCGAATCACTGTCAACTACACAGTCGATTTGATGAAAGCCGCTGAACAGCTTCGCCAAGTCCCTGGCCCTCTCCGTCGTCTTGTCCATTGGATCTTACCCGAAGCCAAGAAGCTACGTGCCGAGGTGAAACAAGCCGGTGACATAATCCGTCCTATTCTGGAGAAACGCCGCAAGGAAAAGGCCTCCCACTTGGCCCAAGGAAAGGAACCAGTTGAGTACTACGACGCCATTGAGTGGTTTGAACAGATTGCCGAGGAGAAGCAGCGGCTGTATGACCCGGAGATTGTGCAGCTGTTTTTGAGCACTGTTGCCATCCACACTACGAGTGATCTCTTGACTGTGACTATGTTTGACATTGCAAGGAACCCTGAAATAATCGAGCCCCTATGTGATGAGATTAGGAGTGTGCTGCAGAATGGAGGATGGAAAAAGACATCTCTCCACGACATGAAGCTTATGGACAGCGTCATTAAGGAAAGTCTGCGATTGAAGCCCATTGGTCTCGGTAAGTTGTCACTGTTACAGTCTGTCTGAAGTCAACGAAGCACCAATGATAGCTAACACAATGCCACAAGTCTCCATGCGCCGTGTTGCCACGTCTCCTGTGACCCTCTCAGACGGAACCTACTTTTCCAAGGGCACCAAGCTGGCTGTTTCATCCCACAAAATGTGGGATGCAAGCGTCTACCCCGAGCCCCAGAAATGGGACGGCCATCGCTTCCTCAACATCCGTGAGACGCCCGAATCGGCCAACACATCTCCGGTCAAAGGCAAGGAAACGCTGCTGGTCAGCACTAGCGAGCGGCATCTCGGGTTTGGCCACGGCAAGCATGCCTGTCCCGGGAGATTCTTTGCGGCCAGCGAGCTCAAGGTGGCGTTGGCGCATATTCTGATGAAGTACGATTTCAAGGTGCCCGAGGGAGTGGAAGTGAAGCATCGCATCACGGGGGCTAGTTATTACGCGGATCCTTTTGCCACGCTGTCGCTTAGACGACGGAAGGATGAGTGGTGATTGGATTTTCATCGAGGAGAAGAACCCGAGTCAAGTTTGAAGCTTTTGCTGTGATTACCTATGTACAGTGATTAGAGATATCATGATAGTCTTTAGCTGAGAAATTGACCGACATATGGAAATTATCTGTCACGTAAATCAATTACATTGATGTATCTTGGTGTCGAATATCGGAGGTTGAGGCCTGGTTGACTTGACCCCTTGAATTCCTGTGGATATGCCATGCTGTCACTTAGTGCTTAGTACATGTAGTGAATGACTACTAAGACACTTGAAGCAACTCCAAGTTAGATCGCATACGCATCCAGCTGCTGAGATGCAAGTGTCTGCATCTCTTGTAAAGCCGTATGAGCCATCGTGAGCCACCGATTGGTCTCCATCTTGGCGTTGATCCCTCAATCTTGGTTTGGAGGAAATGTCACTTACAATAGACATTTGCATATAAACCCGTGATTTTGTTGTGATGCTGTCGTGATGTTGTCGTGATGTTGATGTGATGTTGTCGCTGCTTACATAATGCAGCTGCCTCTCACCTATTTTTCCAGGTCGCGAGAGATTTCGAGGAAAGCAAGGCAAGCTTGATCTGGGGATTTGCCAGTACTTCCTCATTTTCAGGTGGCCCGTGCACCCACAGCCCCATATCTTTGCGGGTCCTCGGCAAGCCAGATTTTCTTCTAGCGCTTCCGTCGCTGTAGCTCGACCGCTAGCAGGGCACTAACAGCGCCTAGTCGAGGCCGATAAGGGCTAGCAGGGGCCCGAGCGGCATGACAGCAGCGGTCCACAGGGCTTGAGACCCGCTGAATCGCCAAGGTTAGTTGGCGATCCCACGACAAGGTTTTGATCCAACATCGCAACTTCATCGCGCCACTCCCCCCCCTTCAGCCAACGCAGCCAACGCAGCCAACGCAGCTGATGCTCGTCGTAATATATCGCATCTTCAGGCAATCGAGCCGTATGTCGTGATAGACGAGGGGGGATAGAACAGGTTCCTGCCGGTATCGCGGCTCGCGTTCGCGCTGTTGTTGGGCCGAGCATTTGCGTGGCCTTTCGGAAGGATTTTATCATCCGATGCCGAGAGATAGTCGAGGCTAGCTTCAGCTGATGGCTGCCTTTCTGCTATCTCTAGCTTCACCTTGCAAGCAACCGAATCCGACCTCGCACACACAATGGCGGCCGTAGCAGCAGAGAGCAACCACGGCTCGTATAGCGAAGATGTAGAGAAGCATCTCGACTCGTCAAAGACGCCATCCCATGATTCTCAGTTGCCGGCCGAAGACACGAATCTCGTCAACTGGACCGATGACAGCGATCCTGAGAATCCCCAGAACTGGCCAGCCGCCAAGAAATGGATCATCACTACTATCCTCTCGACGCTGACATTTTGCGTCACCTTTGCCAGCAGCGTCTTCAGTACGGCCACGGCTGAGACCGCGAAGGAGTTCCACGTCAGCAACGAAGTCATGGTGCTGGGCTCCAGCCTCTTCGTCTTGGGCTTTGCTCTCGGTCCAGTTGTTTGGGGGCCTCTGTCAGAGCTGTATGGCCGCAAGAGGCCCATGTTTACGGGGCTCTTTGTCTTTGCCATCTTCAACATTCCTGTTGCCGTGGCGCACAATGTCGAGACTATCCTGATTTGCCGATTCTTGGGCGGGGTCTTTGGCTGCTCGCCAATGGCAATTGTGGGCGGCGCTCTGGCAGACTTCTGGAATCCCACTGAGCGCGGCGTGGCTGTTTGCTCCTTTGCTGGCGCTACCTTCATCGGCCCTCTTGCTGGACCTATTGCTGGCAGTTTCATCGTTGCGTCCTCGCTGGGCTGGAGATGGACTGTTTGGCTTACCCTCATCATGATTGGGGTATTTGGGTCACTGGCCTATGTCGTTGTTCCCGAGAGCTCTGCGCCCGTTCTGCTATCTTGGAAGGCCAAGAGGCTTCGAAAAGAGACTGGAAACCAGAACATCCACGCAGCTCACGATTCGAAAAAGGTGTCTTTCAGAGCCATTCTCACGACATATGTTCTGAGGCCCATCAAGATGCTGGCCATGGAGCCTATCCTGCTGCTCTTGACAATGTGAGTATACAACTACTTGCCATCGCTGTGTGATCCAAATTGCTAACATCCACTTCACAGCTACATGGCATTCGTCTACGGAGTCTTGTATCTCTTCTTTTTCTCATATCCCATTGCATTTTCCGGCCAGCGTGGTTGGTCTACTGGTTTGGCTTCCCTCCCATTCCTTAGCATCATGGTAGGCATCGTCTTTGGGTCAACTTACATTGTATACTTTACAAAAACCCAATTCGCCTCACGAATGGCGAAAAATGGACGGACAACTCCTGAAGACCGTCTACCACCCATGATTGTAGGCGGTATTCTACTTCCAATTGGCCTATTTTGGTTTGCTTGGACGAGTAACAAGAATATCACCTGGGTGCCTCAAGTTCTCGCTGGTATTCCCACTGGCGCAGGCGTGTTGATCATTTTCATGCAAGGATTCAACTACATCATCGATGTCTATCTCATGTACGCTAATAGTGCCCTGGCTGGCAATGCCCTTATTAGATCTCTTCTTGGCGCTGGATTTCCGCTTTTCGCGTCGGCCATGTATAATCGCCTGGGCGTTGATTGGGCCACTAGTCTCCTCGCATTCTTGGCTGTTACCATGGTCCCTGTCCCAGTCCTGTTCCTCTTCTATGGCCAAAAGATGCGCAGCTGGTCGAGAATGAGTCTGAACAAGCAATAAAATGAGCCGGAACCAGAACAGGCCGCGGCACTTGGTGGGGCTGATATATATACAGAGGCTATCGTAATATTAGAATTAAAGCATGTAATAGGGCATAGGGAAGCAGGAGATATGCAGGAGAAAAAGCTAGAGTAATTCTTTATAGAGAAAGAAGGTGTTGTATTTTCATTGTCCTCTGGCCTAAAAGATATCTGTCCCCTGGTGATCCATCACGTGAAAGTTCATCCTTCATCTTCTCCTAGAAGCTCACCCGGAGTAGAAGCGAAACAAGTTAAAGTCGAATTCTTCCCTCTTAATCGCTGGCTTATTCAGAACTTCAGGCATGCATGGAATCTTTCCATACAAGTATTTGCCCCGTTTGTGCCTCTCAAAGAAGACCTCGGAAGTTTCCAGAGAGTCTAGCACGAGGTCTGATTCTGTGAGGTCTGCGGCTCTCATTCGAAGTTCTTTTAGCTCCGTTGACTCTTTTTGATCGTTTTGCATTTCAACATGGACATAAAAGACCATTTCATCGCTATTCTTTTCTGGTTCCCCAGGTTTCCGTATCTTATCCTCGAGAAGACTCGCAAAGCAGAAATCTCTAAGGTTTCTGGTCAAGCTGACGGTTTGTCTAGCAGCGTTCCAGAATACCCAGCGATCCTCCAGTAGCTTCCCTGTTGGTGATTTCAGGCGGAAGGCGTATCGAAAATCGTTTGGAAACCCATAGTTTGAAGGTGGCGCATAGGCAGGCAAGATATCGAACTTGGTGACCATTTCTTGATCGTAGCCGAGTCTTACCACTGCACGATTACTATCTGGAGTGAAGACGAGATATAGACGCTCTCTCAGTGGGCTAATATTAGTCATAGAAGCTTGAAGCGCTTTGTCGTAGAAGCCTATTTGAATCCAGCCGTAGACCTCGTCTAGAAGCTTTTCGTTTATGCGAGTCCCCCTGCTTTTTCTGCCATTCAAAGGACCGTAATTGCTACGTAGATGGAATTCAGCTGAGTTAGATCATATTTGGAGAGATGCTTGAAAATGTTTATAGCACTAAAAAAAAAGAAAGGATATGGAAAATCTCACTGGATAGCAACAGCAGTATCGTGATTTTTATGTGTCATGACCACAGGCGCTCCGCTAAGGCCTTTCTCTGTTTCCATGTCATATTCAAGCTGATTAGGTAGACAAGCGATGCATTTTCCCTCGCTTGTAAATGCTTCCAATTTTGGATTTTTCAGATCTGAGATCTGGTTCTCGTCATCATCACCGCCATTGTCGTCGGCCTCCTTGCAGCCGGTGAAATCAAGATTAGCTTTATCAAGTGCATCATGCCCAAGTTTCAGAGCAAATCCAAAGCCGAGATATGGATTCTTCGGATTCTTTCCCACTAAAATAACACCGAAATCATTATCTTCTTGCTCTTGAGTCGCTTTATTGTTTTTCGCCTGCTTCGCGGGAGACTTATTTTGTCTTTCTTGCGCCTCGGTGTACTTTTTCAGATACGCAGGAGAGACATAGCATTTTGTCATACTAGAAGATGCATTCTTCGGAGCTGGATTTATTACCAGATCTTCTTGTTTCACGCCGGCAAGATTATGGCCCGCAGTAAGTATTACATGATGGGTCGGATGTGGCATGTTGACATAAAAGCCGTTTCCTTCCCTAATTTCTCCTATTTTTGTTTTGTTTCAATATTAAACTTACGAGCTTTAATAGATATGGAAAGGCCAAGAGGAATGAGATTCATTGGGATGTAGACGGACCATTTTGCTTAAATTGTAGTTTCACAATCCACTTTTGCCGATCTTGAGTTTTGATAAGCTTCAGCGTTTCTTCTTCTTCATGGCTCAAAACATCGTCCCAGCTAGCATCTCTGTCCGCTGGGTCCAATACAAACTCATCTCCATAACTCTCAGAATCAGAGTCCATGGTGAGTTTTGGTCCAATGAATGAATAAGCTTTGGAATGAAAGGAAATGTGAATTATTAACAGCCAGCCCTAGACTATGAATACAAGATGCGGCTTTTTAGCAAGGGGGGAAATTTGACAGTGCATCAGCGGTCATGTTCAGGCATCAAAAAGAGCGGAGAAGAGTGGATAAGAAAAGAGTGAATAGAAATTTAGGCGACATTAGGCATTAATACAGCATAGAATATTTTCATCACCGAAGCGACATATGATTGAACGATTTCGGATCACGAGGCTACGAGGCTGCATGTGTGCCCCATACCGCTTGGAATGGATTGAGACCTGACGCAAAATGACGATTGCTTTCTTTAAGCCGCAAAATACATCATATTTACAGGAATGAATAAAAGGTGAATATTTTTATTGATATAATTTGCGGGTTACTATCGCCAAGCTAAAAGCATACTTACCCAATAGTAGTCGTAGTAGAACTGCATATGAGCGAGCATTTTACCGCTTTGGATATTGGTAAATTGTTTGTTTGTTTGTTTGTTTTATTATTAACGTCCATTAAGTAAACTAATTATATAAGTCCTTATTTAAGCATTAAGACAGTAGGAGCTGCAGTTATTTAAACCCTATATTTACTACGTTTTAGTTTAATAAAAGAAATAAAGGGGAAAATGTTAATTTATATCTACAGAAAGGGAGTTATATAAGCTTATTTTTTTTATTAATTTCTAAAACTTTTTATAGCCTTTATAATTTAGGAAATATATAAAATATATAGCTTTAAATAAAAGGTTTTTTTCTAAGATATTAAAAAAAAAAGGTATAATTATTTAATATTTTATAAAATATCCTTAAGTTTTAGGTTTATTATATTTATAAATAGGTCTTATATTATAGCTAAACCTTTTATAATATTTTATAAAATTATTATATTTAAATTTTTTAATTAAAAATTTATAAAAAATAAAATATAAAAAATAAAGCTTAGGTAGTATTATAAAGATATTAAACTACTAGCATTTATAATATAATAAAAAATTATTATTTTAATAAGTTTTTAATATTAATTTTTATTTTTTTTTATTTATTTTTTAATATAAATAATTATAATATAATTATTTATATATTTTAAGAGTTTTAAATTTTTTTTAATTAATTTATTTACTTTTTTATTTTTTAATATATTTTTATATTTAAAAATTTATATTATTTTAATAATAATATATAATTATAATTTTTTAATTATTTTTTTTAAGTTTATATATATATTTTATAATAATATTAATATAGTCTTTAAGATTTTATTTACTATTATAAAGTTATTGAAAAAAAAAAAATATTTTTTTAATATTTAGGTTTAATATAATTTATATTTTAATAAGTTTAATAATTTTAAAAGCTTTAATTATTTTTATATTATAAACTTTAGTATTTATTAAATAATTATATAATAAAATAAATTTATAATTATAATATATAATAGTATTTTATTTTATATTTTTTATTTTATTTTATAATTTATTTAAGTATATTAAAAATATAATTTAAAAAAAAACATTAAATAATTTAAGGTGTTTTTTTACTGCTTTAGCTTTAAGTAAGCTATAGAAGTTTAACTTTATTAAAACTATTTTATTATTTTTAATAAAAAAAAAAGTTTAATTATTTTATTAATTAAAAAAATTATATATTATAGTTTAATTATAAAAAGTTTAAGTAAAAGCTTTTTATTAATATATTTATTAATAAAGTAATTTTTATTTAAATTAATAAACTTAATTAATGTTTAAAGTTTTACTTAAGTAAATACTATAAATATAGGGAAGACTTTTAATTTTTTATTATAATTACTATATTAATTATTTTTTAAATTAAAAATATTACTTTAGCTATTATTTTAAAAGCTTTATTTATTTTTTTTATTAAATTTATAATATTAATAGTTATTTATTTAAAAAAGTAAGATAAGTTTTATTTTTTATTTTTAAACTATTAGGCTTTTATATTATATAAAGTTACTAAAGTAATATAAGCTTTAGTTATTAATATAATTATATTTAGGGAAAAGCTTTTCTATATTTTATTAAATAATTTAAAGAAATTTACTATTTTAAAAGCTTTTTTAATTATTACTTTTATATATTTTTTAAAAAAAAATCTAAAATTAAAATATACCCTTAACTATTTAATTAAGTTTTATAATATAATAATCTTTTTTTTAAAATTTATATTTTTTTTATATATTTATTTTTTAATATAGTAAAAATAAATAAATTTTATTTTATTTAAGTTAAAGAATATTATATTAAGCTATTTTTAATTTAAAGTGTTTTAAAGCTTTTATTAAAGTTTTTTAATTATTTTTTTAATATTAGCCTTAATTATAAAAATTATTATATTATTAATATATTTAAAATATATATTAAAATTATTAATTTTTAAAATAAAAAAGAAGTAAAATATAAAAATAATTAATAAAATAAATAAACTTTAAGGGGCTTTATATTCTAGTTTTATTTTTAAAAAAGTTATACTATATCTATTGTAAATTAATACCTTATATTTACTTATAAAAAACTTAACTTACTTTAT